TCACTGCCCAGGGTCTGGTGACCTAACAAACAGTATGTGACTTTTTTTTTCCAACCTTATCCATACCCAAAGGACATTTGTCTTTCTATAAAACTGAACACAGTGATCTAAACACCCATAACCATTTTGTGTCTGCAGATGGAGACAGACAACCTGTAAAGTTTAGTAAATATTCCCTCTCCTATAACAACATCAAATTGCAGGATAGTATAATGGTACTGTGACTTGGCTCCTTTGCCAGTCAAATGGATAGTATTTTTTTTCCTCTTTGTCCCTTTTAAACTTATAAGTACCTGAAACCCTGAGACCACTAAATAGCCATAAAAGATCTAAGGGACTTAGAAAGTGGTGGCATCAGGTTTTTTCCCCTAGTCTGTATCTTTATAACTGAAAAGTAGAAGTAACATCAAGAGTATCCAGGTTTGGTGGGGCAGAGATGAAGGTTGACTGTGGGAATAGGATAAGGGAGTCCCAATTATAGAAGGAACCTCCTATCTTAGAGGAACTGGTGTTATGGTCCCAGAGAAATGGCAGTGGTAGACCCAGGACAGCTTCCCTCCCCAGAGTGTGCAGCTAAGGGACGTCCCACAGAAAAACTGGCCAAGCACCCTGTGGCCACTGAGGTGGGACCCAGGACCCACTGGCTGTCAGGGCTGCGGGATGCCTGGGGCCTTGGCAGAGGTAAAGGAGGGGAAGGGACTGCTCCACTCCTGTCCCCCTTGCAGGGCTTAGTGGAGGAGACTATAGGATCTGTTCACTGGATAGAGGAACCCTAACTTCCTTTAGTGATACCAGAGTCACGTTCATGTTCTGAGCAGGATCCAAAACTCCTTCCTCCTCATGAAAGTAGTCCTAGGTCTTAGCTGGTCCTTTTGTGCCAAAAAAGAAATCTATGAGACAGCAGTTCAGCTCTTACACATTCATGGGGCAAACTTCAGGGGTGAGTGTGAGCTTGAATCTAGTTTATCAGGCTCAATCTCAATCCAGCTGAACAGGGGCAAATTTCCTCAAAGAAAGTTCTTCCTAATCACCCTGAACGGGTCTCTGCAACATTTAGAGTTTCCTGGCAGATAGACAGGCAGCACACTCACTCACAGATTCATTCAAATTTACAACATCTTCTCCTGTTGTTTTCCTATGGGAGACCTGACTGTCAGCCTTCCTAGGAAGGCTCCCTGTTAGCTTCACTAGAAAACTTCTTAAGGGCTTGGTCAGAGCCCTCTTATATCCTGTAGGGTGGAGACCTGGGGCCCAGTCTCAGAACCTTACCCTATTCTGCAACTTCCCTGTTGAGTTTTTCCTTATCTCTAGATTCTGGACCACTGATCAGTCTGGAGAGCCAGGAGAGTTGGGTCAGTCTTTTCTTCCTAGGGCTCCTCCTTTTGAGCCAGTTGAGCAGCATTTTCAGCTGCACAAGGGGTTAGTGTGGAGGGATATCTCGCTGGGGCCTCCATATGTTATAGAAATAATATGCCTTCCCTGTGAGGAATCTCTCTACACACTTAGAGATTAATGAAGGGAAAGATCTTTAATAATAGTGAACAATTGGTTCTAGCTAATGTACAAAGGAAGACCAGCCTCAAACAGAAGCTTTTAACTAGCTTGTATAGTCTTACAGTTTATGCAGTCCACATATGCTGTCATCCTTCAATTTCTTTCAGGTCTCAGTCCCAGGCTGCACTTTGAACAATTTAAACAGAGACAAGAAACTTCAAGTTGGCCACTTAGACAGATGGGAGACTTACACAGCAAAGATACTGCCAGAACTATTTTAAGTATACGAGTGTCATTCTTGTTGACTATCTGTTACCCAGGTTCATCTTGCACACCTGGCAGCTTTTCCTGAAACCAGCACAGGAGACAAAATGGCAGAGCAGGATTTAATGACTGTTGTGGTCATGCACTGTCCCTTTGAGCTGCCCCTTTGAGCCATGTTCTTTGCTATGGGAATGGCCCTACCAGCTGGTTGTAAGTCAGGGCTATCCCTGGTTATGCAAGTGAAGCTTAATTAGAAGTTAATTTTGGTGAACAAACATTAGCAGAATCTTGCTCAGCAACTCTAAACATCAGTTGTGGTTTGAAATTTTCTACAGTTTCTAAGAAGTGTGGTCAACACACTATCCTCTAGCTTTACTGGAGGCAGAGTTCCTGTAGCTGAGTTTTCCTTTGTGGAACTTACTATTTCCTAATCAAGTTTCTTTTTAAAGTAAACCCTTTAGTGAATCAACTTTATTATTTCAAGTTTCTTCTGTATCATTTCCATTTCCTGATGGTCCAGAAGCAGGGGCTTCTGAACAGCAAAACCAGCAGCCACCGACCACATGAACCATGGAACACAGTCTACCACATGGAGCCACAGAAATGCTTTTGTCATATAGCCTCTGGCAGAAGCCTGCCACCTCAAGTAGAGTCAATCTGCTTCATCTCCTTGTGGCTTCTGTGGCTAGTCTGTGACCATACAGCTCGCCTGGCTCATCTTCAGGTTTCTGTTGGTGAAAGTTTTCTTGTGTCCCACCAGGTCCTGCTGCCACTTTAGCCCCAATAAAACACACAAAGACTTATAGTAATTATAAAACAGTTAGCTGATGACCAAGGCTTCTTACTGACTAGCTCTGTCTTAATTATTAACCCATTTCTATTAACCTATGTATTTCCACGTGGTCTTGGCTTACTGGAGAATGTCTGAACCTTCTACTCCTTTGCTGACTACATGGCAACCATCCTGAGAAGCTCCCTCTGCCTACCTTTCCCAGAATTCTCCTCGTCTCCTAATCCCACCTATTTTCCTGCCTCATTGGCCAAACTGTTTTATTCATCAACCAATAAGACACACACACACACACACACACACACACACACACACACACACACACACACACACACACACACACACAAGGACATCCCCCATCAGGTTTCTGTCCCTAAACATGACTCAAGGAAGGCACAGTAGCCCAGCTAGTGAGGGGTGAGGCCTGTGTCCAGAAACAGTCACCAGAGTCAGACTTCCAGCCACGACTCTTGGAACGCTTGCAGTTCTCAGCTTTACATTCTTCAGGTAAAGCTGCAGTCCTGGAGCAGAAGAGACATGCAGCAGCTCCAGCCTCTGTGGATCTCTGACCCAGAGAGAGAGAGAGAAGTGAGGCAGCATATCTTACGTCACCAAGTTTTGTGCTTGCTACAGAGTGATATTAACTGGGATGTCACAACAGAACACAAAACCTGTCATCCCAGTAGACAAGGCATTGACAGAGCTCAGCAATTAGTAAAGAAAACCAAATGTAGGAAGCTGAAGGATTTTCCTTTTTGGGGGTGGGGCGCTGAGACGGGTTTTCTCTATATATCTTTGGCTGTCCTGGAACTCATTCTGTAGACCAGGCTGGTCTTGAACTCAGGTATCTGCCTGCCTCTGCCTCCGAGTGCTGAGATTAAAGGCACATGCCACCATGCCTGTCTAAAAGTGGCTTTTCAATAAATGTGAGAAATAATGTGAGCTCTGGCTAGAAATGGGGCCATGACACACACACACCTGTTCTGAGTATCACACATGAAAGGTGACCACGAATTGGAGAAAAGAAAGACATGCTTATCTAGTTTAAAATGAGGAACCTCTCCTCCAGAGCTGGAGAGATGGTACAGTGGTTAAGAGATTACTGCTGGGCATGGTGGCAGAGGTGGGCCCATGTTGAGTTCTGGGTCAGCCTGGTTTACACAGTGAGTTCCAGGCCAGCCCTGGCTGCACAATGAGACCTTATCGTAAACCAAAACCAAACAAGAAGTGATCACTTCTCTTGCAGAGGCCTTCAGCTGCCGGCACCGGCACGGGGCTGCTCAGTTGTCTGACTCCCAGAATGGCAGTGGCTAGCCACCACCTGAAGCAGACAAGCTGCTGTGGCACAGGTGGGCTTCCTTCATTCCTTTTTCAAGGCAGGGTCTCTCTGTAGACCAGACTATCCTGAGACTTGGGGATCCTTTTACCTTTGTCTCCACACCTGGCTCACATTTTACTATCCAGCTGGTATCTTTACACTGGCTAATCAAGTCACACCCCGATCCTTCCCACCCACAGTATCTTCTTTTATGTATCTTTGCTTTCCCTCCTCCCTTAAACAACCTGCCCTCACTTCCTGGCTCGCACATTTTTGACAGAAGATACTGAAGGCTTGAAGCTATGTGCCATTGGTCTTTTTGGGCCTGTTACTTTACTATGTTCTTTGGTGTTACTGGGGACTGAACCCAGGGATTCAGGCATGCTAGGCAAGCTCTCTGCTGCTGAACTACATCCCTACTTCACTTGGAATACTTTTCCCCTAATTTTATCCATTTCCTTGCAAATTTCCTCTTCTTCCCAGCTAAGTACTGTGTATACATTGGCCACAGGAGCCCAGACTGTCAACAAACAGCCAAGAAGGTGGGTGGAACTCAGATCGCCTTCCCTTGACATCAGAAGTATTGCCTACAGATAGATTCTAGGAGCAAGAATCACTGCCTTTGTTCCCACCGTGGAGGCCATCAGGCTCCAAAGGATAGTTCCACATCTGTGGGGACACAAATGGCGTTGGTGGGTCTCAAATGAACTCAAAGAGACTTGAGGGGACAGTGGATAGAGGTGGTAGTAAAGTAGTAAGTCAGTATGCCAGGTTTATGCGTGTGAAACTTGAGACCGCCCCCCCAACCAAGAAGTCACATTGTAGCATGGCGCCCCCTGGTGTGTGTACAAACTTTTTTCTCCTACTCTTTGGTTTTATTTAATTACTAGGGTTGGGTAGTACTCCATCTTGCATGTAGAGGTCAGAGGAAAAACGGTAAGGCTGGTTCTCTCCTTCCATCTTTATGGTTAGGCATTGCCTCACTGCCCTCCTCCCCACACTTGGTTCTGTTACAGGTGAGTTTCCTTTCTGTGACCAGCTGCCAGGCCCTGCACACAGATGGCAGCATGGTGACACTTCCAATCACCAACCTGATGAGCAATCTGTGCCATCAACTTGTATATATCTGGAATCAATTAGCTAGCTCAATTGGTAGAGCATGAGATTCTTAATCTCAGGGTTGTGGGTTCGAGCCCCACGTTGGGCACCAGATGTGGATACACAGATCAAGATTCATGGGACTGGTCTCAAAATAGGTTAATGTAACTTCATTTGGTGAGATGCACTTACACAATAAGCGGGTGACCACTGCAAGATCCAGCTCCAAGGATTCATCCAGACTGCCTTGTGACCCGACTGGAAGCAAGAGAGAACCCCATCCCGACCTCAGACCTAAAACCCATTCTCCATCATGCCCGCACCTGTGACCACACCCAATCGGGAGTGGTCAGTGCTACAGGTTCGGTGGGGCGGACATTTTACTACACCAAAGCAGCTGGGCACGCCTGCCTGTGAACAGTTTCTTTTCCCCCAAGACAAGGTTTCTCTGTGTAACGGCTCTGGCTGTTCTGAAACGTACTCTGCAGACTAGACCGGCTTCAAACTCAGAGACCCACCTGACTCTGCCTCCGAATGGTAGGATTAAATGCATGCTACCACTATTGGCAGGCTGTGAAACTGTTCTCTTGATTATGGTACTTGAGGTAGGAAGACCCACCCTAAATCTGGACCATACCTTCTAGTGGCAGCATATCTAAAAGAACATAGTAGAGGGATACTTTTGCTTTTTGCCTGCTTACACTCACCGTTTCTGGCAAGTTCATCTATCTTGTTGCTGTTGAAGCATTCTTTTGCTAGTGTTAAGACCTAGCTCTTCAGGATCCCAACTAGACTGAAGACAACTGGAAACATCTGGCCTCTTGGACTGAATAACAAGTGGGTTTTTGGATTTTTCTTCATTGGAAGGCATCCACAGCCTATAAGCCACTTTAATAAATCCGTGTGTGTGTGTGTGTGTGTGTGTGTGTGTGTGTGTGTGTGTGTGTGTGCGCGCACGCGTATGTTTCATTCTATTAGTTCTATTCCTCTAGAGCAGTGGTTAACTTGTGGGTTGAGATCCCCTTTGGGGTTTGAACAGACCTTTCACAGAGGTCACCAAAGACCATTGGAAAATAGAGGTATTTAATTTTTAGCAATTCTTGTCTAATATGTGCATCTGAAAGCTATCAGCTTCCCTTTAACTGTGGTATTAACAGGTTTTGAGTGTGGTGGCACACACCTTTAATCCCAGTACTTGGGAGGCAGAAGCAGGTGCATCTCCGTGAGCTCGAGGCCAGATTGGTCTACACAGGAGAGTTCTAGGATGGTCAGGATCACATAGTTGAGACCATTTCAAAAATAAATCCTTTTTTCCCCCTGAGACAGGGTTTCTCTGTGTGACAGTCCTGGAACTCACTTTGTAGATCCGCCTGCCTCTGCCTCCCAAGTGCTGGGATTTTAAAGGCGTGCACCTCCACTGCCCAGCTTCAAAAATAGATCTTAAAAATTACATTTTTTCTGTGTGTGCATGCACCATAGCACATGGGTATTAGAGGGTGGCTTGCAGGACTCAGATCTCCTCTTCTAGCATGGAGGTGCAAAGACTGAACTGGGACCATCAGGATTGATGATAAATGTCCTTGACCTCCAAGACTAATGTAGGGCCTAGCTCCTGAAATTTGTTTAAAAATAAGAAAAATTTACAAAATGTCCTGTTTTGTTACATGGGCTTATACTCCTGCTTCATCTCCAAGTGGCTGTGACTACAGGTGTGTGCCTCTGTGCCCAGCTTTGTTAGTAGCTTCTCAGTGGCCAAGCATTCCATTCCAAATGTGTGGTCTGCAGGTGTTTCCCACAGATGTGTTAGACACATGTGTTGCTTCCATTCCTACATCGTCACTGTTCTGGGGAAGGATCACCTTCCATCACATGCTGGAGCAGCTGTAGGATAAACCATCTAGAAGACAGGATGGAGGACCTGCTGAGAGAGATGCCTTTAGCAATGTCAGCACTGGGAAGGTGGCTCACGTGCCTGTTAACAACCCTACTGAAAATAAACTAGCAAAAGGAATCCAGCGTGATCACTCCCCACATTGCACAAGACACACTGACTAGAGTAGTGAGGCAAAGACTACAAAGAGAGCCGTGAGGAGATGCTGTGAGCATGCAGCTAGAACGCCCAGGACCCAGAGCTGGAACAAGTCACACACCAAGAAACAGTACCCCGAGGCCAGCTGCATCAAACGTACTACATGCTTACCTTTATGCCTCCAGCGAGGAACAAACAGGCTGGCTGGACTGCTCCTGAGGCCACTCAAGGATGGCCAGCTCTTCTCAGCTGTTCTTGTCACAGGTTTCTAGGGGTGAAGGTTAGTGGAACCTACACATGAATTAATGCCATTTGTTGCCTAGAGCTGGGAACAAATTATAGGCTGGGTGGGTGACAGCAAATACATTGCTGATCCTGAGTTCCAAAAGCCCAAGGACCTGTTTTCCAAAGAGAATAACATACAGGGTCTGGGATTAGGGTTTCAGACTGGACATTCTCCATTTTGATCAAAATTGGGCATGCTAAATACAACAATGAACCAGTGAGTCTGGGAGGATGGTGAGGGAGGGAAAGGCGGAGAAAACATCTGTGTTGGAATGGGAAACGTAGAGGTGGCAGGCATTAGCTGCCACACAAACTCACAGGTAAAGAGGAGAGTTTGTTGGGGGGAGGCTTTATATAAGGTCACCAAAGCAGAATACCTTTTCTGCGAAGGTCTAGAGGGACCTGATTCCAGACAAGAAATAGCCACCTGAGTACCACTCGAGGCTGGGTAGACGGGCTGTGCAGGCTCACTGGCTGCCAAGGATCCTCACACAGCAAGATGCCTACGCTTCCTTTATTCACTGGACTGTGCAGGGTCCACTGCTCTGCCACAGCACAAGGGCTTCCTTACAAGTTCGTTTCTCAGTGTGACTCTGATGACCTCGATGTGAGCAGAGCATCTGGAAAGCTCATCTTCCAATAAAAAGGGACCATGTTTATGCTTTTCATTTGACACTGTCTTTGAGGTGATGTCCTGTATAAATGGAGACTGACAGGTTCTTTAGGGCCTAAGAGCACCTGCACCAGCCCTGACAGTTCTGTTAAGAAGCAAGTTCAGTGTTTTTTTGTTGTTTTTCTTTTTTTTTTTTTCTTTTGAGACAGGGTTTCATTGTGGCTTTGGAGGCTGTCCTGGAACTTGCTCTGTAGACCAGGTTGGCTTCGAACTCACAGAGATCCACCCGTCCCTTCCTCCTGAGTGCTGGGATTAAAGGAGGGCACCACCACCGCCCAGCTAAATCAATGGGGTTTAACTCATTGTTACTTCATTTGCAACAAAAACCATCTTTTAAAGGTATATTGTAGCTGTTTTACAGATTATATATGGTCAACAGTAACAGAAGACTCCAATTTCTCTGGTGACTTGGAGGCAACCCAGGGCCCAAGGTGGCATTCTTGGTTTTAGTTAGGTGGGTAGCCTAGGCTGGCTTTACTTTAAACTCTCCATTGAGCCGAGGATAACTTTGAAATCTCAGTCCTCCTGCCTCCACCTCCCTAGTGCTGGGGTTACAACTGTGTCCTATATAATCCACTTTTTTGTGGTTCTAGGATTTGAACCCAGGGCCCTGTGAATGCTAGGGAGGCAAGCAGTTTACTAATGAGCCACCTTGCAGCCTGAACACTCCTCTGAAGCAACCTGATTAGTTGTTCCATGGGCTCTATATAAACTCGGAATGAAGTGCACACAGTTAATGCAGGTTCTTTATTGGTTCCAACATGTTAGGAGATGTAATAAATGATACCCTTACATTCTCTTAACCAAAAATATAACAAGTATTTACACTTAGTAAAAATACAAAAGCATACAGAGGCACTGTCTTTCTAAAAGACATAAGTTTAAGAGGCATCAAAAACTAGGAGACAACATTGCTTGTTACAGGATGCCTTACAATCATTGAATTGTGCAGATAATTGTCACTTGATTATAGCAACTGTGCAATTTTGCTTTTTGATACTCACATTTCAATTTTAAAACATCAAGTTTCAACTGTATCATGTACATTAAAAATAAAGAGACCCTTTAAACAGCACAAAAGCTAACAATGAAGCAGGGTTCAAGTTTCAACTTGAAAATGTACCTGATTCGTCTCAAGGCTGCTACCTCCCATCTTTTTTTGTAGCATGTAATGGAATTCTGAAAGGATATACTTAATGTCTTCTAGAACCTTTCAGTCCAATAATCACTGTTTTAAACTTAAGGAATCCTTTTCCTTTTGCTTTCTTTGTAATTATAAAGAATTTCCTCCGGTTACTGCTCCTCTTCCAGTTTGGTAGAATGTCACTCTCTAAAAGGTTTTTCTCCCCAAAGATCATGCTGAAAGACACTAGTTAGAGGAAATGAAGTCTGGGGACTGCAAGTTACCCTGCTATAAGCAGCACTGGGATCACTAATCAAATCTTTCACTGTTTGACAAAGTCTGCACTAAGGGTCTCCTGCTTTGACTGTCTTGGCAGATGCTGGGCACTAGTTTCTTTAGTAACATTACACACTTAGAACAAGGACAAACGGGGATTTGGAACTGGAGCAAGCATGGGCTTTAAGGCTTCCCTTGCTCTAGTCACATGACAGTGGAAAAAAAAAAAGAGCAGACATGATTTTTTTTCAGGGACTCATATACATCAAACTACAAAGCATTTGGTTTTCATTCTGATCAATGTGATCAGCTGCTCTGAACACTCACAGATAAAGCTCACTATAACCAAGGCAGCTCCACAGTACAAGTTCAAAGCCATAGGCCTCAATGCTCTGTGCGAGATATTTACACTATTAAGGACCAAGGCAGGTGAGGCTCCATCTGAAGACCTGCTATAGATGAACAGAGGCTGTTCAAACAGCACATTTTCCTAGAGTATGGATAGAAAATGGTGACAATGAGTACCCAAACTTGGATTAAAAAGGTGGATATAGCAAAAATATTTATTTTGTTTTGGACATGAAAACAATATTATGCAAACAGGTTAATAAAAAAATTCACAATCAGAAGACAGCACAGTTCATAGGCCTGATCAGTTATGCATGGCTGTCAAGCTTCAGCTGCCACTCAAGCTCCAGCCTCACCATACTGCAGTGCACCTGGGCTCACGTCTAAGGCTTCTGAGCTAATGTCTCCCCAGGGGAGTTCTTCAGCCACTGCTTTTCCTAAAGAGACATTCTGTGGGAGGACACAACACTGTTACATGCGGAACTCCTCTGATTCTAAGGTGATTAGACAGGAAACAGGAAGAGAGAGCAACGGAAAAGCACAGCCTTGGAAAGGCAGTTGGTCAGGTGACTGCTCTGCAGCAATGCTGTCACTGTTAGTGCACTTATAATGGCTTTGGCTTTTTTTTTGGTAATTACAGAAGTTTATGAAATTTTATTTGCCTTTTACATTAAAAAGCAAATGGAAAACTTTAAATATATATACAAAATGTTATGTTTAATTTGTAAATATGTGGAAAGTCCACTTTATTTAGTAAGCAGTAACTGAATTTGAGTAAAGAGTGCCATATACAGGAGGTCACAAAGGATGTCCTCTCCAGGGCAGAAGCCCCCTCCATTATCCTAGTGCCTCTCTCTTATACAAGTCTATCCCTTGGGTACTGAGTTCTGCTCAAAACTCAAGTTCAGTGACTGCACATGTGGCTGAATGAGCCAAGGTGATCACCATCATTACATCTGTGATACTTGAAAAAAATTCTATTTTTTTAAAAATTATTTTGTGTCTAGGGATGTTCTTTCTGCATGTCTGCATATATCACAAGTATGCAGTGCTTTTGGAGGCCAGAAGAGGGTGCTGGATCCCATTTCTGGAGTTACAGGCAGTTGCAAGCCACCATGTGAGTGTTAGGAATTAAACTCGGGCCCTCTGTAAGAGAATCTTAACCACTGAGCCTCTCTCCAGCTCCTACAATATTTCTTCTAAGCTAGGAATTTCACACTTGAGTTGTGAAAAGTTAGCTTAGGGTGGATTCCTATAGAAACAAACTCTAGGAAAACCATTCCCACTGGATTTATAGTAACCTCCTAATTGGATGCACCATAATGTTCACTTCAGAAACAGATTCACTGCCAACTATCCCCTCTTTGGAAATTAGAACTCTCCCTTCCCATTTAACTCTGCTCCCCTTTCCAAAAGATTGCCAAGACCCCTGAGGCTGCCCATGCCACAACGAGCAGGCTGCTCACATTACACCTGTACAGGTGTCTGTTTCCCACCTGAGTGTCTGCTACAATAGTGCCACATCTCTGTACCTACGTCAGGATGATGTCTGCTGCTCAGACCATAGACAGCTTTATAGCCTCAGAAAAACAACAGCTAACAAGAGCTCTTGAATACAAACAAAACCACAATACTTTAAATAAGTTACTTTTCAAATACACAAGACTATCCTTGGTATTGGCAGACATTTTGAATGTGTCCTTTAGCCCAAGCTACGGCTTGGAAATAATAATACCACTATCTTTAAAATGATTTACAAAAAGAGAGACCTATAGTGATATACAGGGGAACTCTGAGCTTGAATGTAGTCCCAAGGCAGGAGTGATGTGCAAAGTGTAGGCTGGGATCAGGTGCAACATCCAGTTAAGGAAACTGCACCTGCAGGGACAGAAGAAAAGGAAGCAGGACTCAGAAGAGCGCATCCTCAGCTCAGCGAGGAAACCCCAGGGTTGGTGGCAGCAGCTGAGCTGTTGGCTTTGGTCTGCTGAACCACGAGCTCTTGTCTATGCTCCTGACTTCCAGTGGGCTCCAATGGGCATCCAAAGACTAGACCGCGGACACCTGCTCATTTTCTGAAAATAATAAAGATGCAATTAGCTGGCATATCTGTTAATGCAGATTAAGCAATAACCAACCTATTATCTGCTATATAAGAAACTCTCCCCAATCTTGGCAAAGATTCCATTAAGACCCAGGATTCATTGTAAAAGGGAAAAGATTTATACAGTCTGAAGAGAAACCAGAGTTCAGGATTCACTGTTAACACTATGGTTTCTAATCACACTGAGAGCTGGTATGAAACTGGAATTTCAGAATTAAAATTCTTTTACACTTATTTCTTGTGTGTGTGTGTGTGTACGTACAAATGCCACTGTGCATGTGTGAAGGTCAGAGAACAATTTTCAGAATTGCTTCTCTTGTTCCATCCTATGGATTCTGGGGATCAGGCTTGGCAGGAAGCAAAGGCCCTGTTGACTATCTTGCTGGCCCCTGTAGTTTTTCTTTGGTGTGTATGGTTATGTGTGCATGTGTAGACTAGAGCTTGACATATGATGTGTTACTGGATGGATCACTCTCTACTTTAGTCAGAATCTGTCAGTAAACCTAGAGCTTGCTAGTCTGACTAGTCTTGGTAGCCAGCTTGCCTTGGGGATCCTGTCTCCACTTTCCCAGCGCTGAGATTAAAGATAAACACTATACCTTCCAGCCTTTACATGGGTTCTGGGGCTCTGAGTTCTGGTCTTCATGCTTGCATGGCAATCACTTCATCTATCGAAACCATAGATGGTTTCAATGTATCAGTCTATTACTTTATTACTTAGAATGCTAAAAAAATATTTTCAAAGAGGAAACTACTTTTCACTCTTTTGTTAGTTACAAAGTTCATCAAGAGTTTTGCTTTCAAGGAGCTTAGTCAATAGTGTCTTTCATATAACTGCCATTCACAGTTGTCATACTCTGTGAAACTATTGAACAGACATCAAACACCTTCTCTCACAATTCTCTTACTAGGGCTGTCATTATATTATCAAAGATGAAGATATTTCATGTGAGTTAGCATCAGAGCCATGAGTACACAGAGACTGTCTACAAACTGTATCCTATTTAGTGACTATTTCAATGTTCCTTATAGTTTGTGTGTGTGCACTACAGTGTTCACTGAGGCCAGGGGGTTGGCTCTCTCTCTCTCTCTTTTTTTTATAATTTATTTATTCTTATTTATGTACAATGGTGTTTCACCTGCATGTGAGGATCCCAGATCCTCTGGAACTGTAGTTACAGACAGTTGTGAATTGCCATGTGGGTGTTGGGAGTTGAACCCAGGTCCTCTGGAAGAGCTGACGGTACTCTTAACCACTGAGCCATCTCTCCAGCCCCTGGCTCTCTCTTTTGTGTGGGCTTAGGGGACAACTTAGGCTGCCAGACTTGCACAAGTGCTCTTGGCAAAACAAAATAATAATAAATATGTATTTTTTTTGTAGTGCTAGAGTTTGAACACAGTCTGTGCGTGGTAGTCAAGAGCTCTACCATTGAGCACATGCCCAGATCCTATTTAAAAATAAAAAAATTTAAAGAGATTTAAAAACATTACCAATTATCACAGATATCAAAGTAAAGACCGTTTTTTATGCTCCATAATCCACTTAAGAGCCACGAGACAGTTTGTTAACGTACCATCTGCTTCGCTATCTGCATCAGTCACACCTGCTAGTTTGGGATGGGACGGCTGCAAGCTATGCCTGTGAGGTTGGGATCCGGTCTTCATGGGAACCCAGGCCAAGGTGTGGCTACTGGGAGGAGCTGGCGGCAGTCTAGACAGGCTGTTAAACATCATCTTTGACCTCTGCACTGCCACGCTATAGTCGGGAGGTTTTAGATGAGGGTGGGGTCCTTCCTTTAGGTCCGCTAAAGAAATTCCCAGATATCCTGGAGGAGTGGGAGGTGGCTCCCTATACCTATCACCTTTCTTGGGTGAGGTGACACAGTACACTGGTGTGAAAAAAAAAAAAAAGAAAATGCAATGGAAATGTTAATGGAAAAACATAAGAAATGAAGGAAAAAGAAACCCACACTGAACATTACAATGGCAAAAATATAACTTAAACACAAAATAAACACATTTAAATACAATGATAGCAAACTGAAAATGTTCTCACAAATATTAATATTTAAAACCTATTGAATATTTTAAAGATAACTCCACAAACAGTTACATGAAGGAGTGATAGAATCCTCTCACCCAGCAGCTTGATTTTGCCCTCAAGTGTAATGTCAGCCTGAAGACCACCAGTCAGAGACAGATCTCTGCTGGCTGAAGAGTATCTATTCTGAACCACAGCACTGGCACATGGGTCACAGAGACCATCTTCTGGTACTCAGGGCAGACACATTCTTAGTCCAGGCATGCACACCAATGAACTTTCCCAGTTTTGATGAACTAATTCCCTGTGGGATCTTATTTTTGTTTTGAGACAGGGTCTCCATAGCCCTGGCTGGCCTGGAACTCAGAGACACCTGCCTTTGCCTCCTGGTGTTGGAATTAAAGGTGTGTGCCACCACTCCTGGCTGGGATTTTTGCTTTTAACTCCTGTTTTCTGACTAAAGCCTAGGGGAAAAAAAAAAACCTGAAGTTTAGGAAATGTGACATTAAGAATAATGGTAACGTTAATTTCTTTTTGTTAAGTGTGTAATAATCCCCTAGGAGTAGTGTGGAGATTCAGAAAGGAAAGAAGCTCCATGGAGTGAAGGCCCGCCCACAAATACGATGATTACACAGAGGACATTTAGGAAGACACTCTACCCGCACACAAGCAGACCGGATTTAAGGAGTATTGGCTAATTCTCACATCAACAAGAGGCTTGTCCATGTGGATTTCTACTCCTCTATAGTAAAAATCGAATGTCAGCCAGGATCAGAGCAGCCTCTGTTTCCATCTGAGGAGCAGCAGGCATGACTGAGCATGACGGTGGGAAAATCGTCAAGAGTAGAGAAAATGAATGAGGATTTGTCCAAAGTTACCAAGTGAAAGATGTTAAAATCTATACTCAGAGGGACATATACTTTTATATTCCTAGAATCCGGACAAAGTGTACTAAATAAATTCAAGAAACTGCAAGGCCAGCTGGGCGTTGGTGGTGCATGCCTTTAATCCCAGTACTCGGGAGGCAAGAGGCAGGTGGATCTCTGTGAGTTCCAGGCCAGTCTGGTCTACAGAGCGAGTTCCAGGACAGCCTCCAAAACAATACAGAGAAACCCTGTCTCAAAAAACCATAAAACAATAAAACAACAAAACCCTGCAAGGTCAGTAAACATCCCTTTTTTTTAAAAATTGTATCATAATAACATTGATTTGATAGTCATTTCACATAGCAGAGATATTATGTGTAAGTATTCATGCAATTCAGGGAATAAACAATTTGATGACTAAATATACTAAAAAAGCTTACTAGACAGCAATCTATAAATCAGCTGCCACTTGTGATGCACACCCACCAGGCTAGCCACACTGAAATGTTTGGGGTCTCTGTCCCTGCTCTGTGGTGCCCCAGCGTGAGTGCAGGGCCGTGCAATGCTAAGACCTACTTTATCACTGAGCTGGTTAAGGGTCTCAGCATGTCTCTCTGCCTAAAAGTAAAAGAGGACTGGCTGTTTTCATCACGTACACAGAGCAACTGTGTTCCTAACAACTTATGAGGTCACCAGAACAATCTTTTCTTCACTACTGTAGTCTGCAACGAAGCCATCACATCTGACAACAGTCCCTAACAACATCCCTTTTTCCTCTGCTCATGCTTGAGTACCTCCTCAGGAACTTTTGGAAAGGCATCACCATGGCTTTACCTGTGCGTCTGCCTGTTCCATACATATTTGATAGCCGTGTCTCTTTTCTGTTAGTCACTGTCATTTCCTTTCTCATTTTATATACAAATACAAGGACTTGTATGACAGAGGAAAAACAAAGCCCCTGAGAAGCCATAAATTTTGGGGCAATAAATTGTGGAAGGAAGAAAAAAAATGTGTATAGTGGGAGAAATAATAAAATCTGATCGAGGTAGCCCAACACCATCTTTCAGGGGGAGGGGTCACATAACTCCTCAACACCAAGTGATACAAACAAACCCATACTTACCAATCAAACCTCTGTCTGTACTGGAAGTGACAGTTTTATAAACAGGATCAGTGGCATCCCTGGGCTCCAAGCCATCAGGTGCCTCTGCTGGGGCACTTTCCAATACCCTCCGCTTTACTGTCCCATAGTTCGGTTCGTATGTGTCAGAGAGTGAGCTCGAAGAGGCCCAACTCTGCCTCAGCTGGGATGTCTCCAGGCTGCCTTTGCACTGGCCACAAGTTCTTGAGCAGCCTTTAGGACAAGCACAGGGCTCACAGTCAGTGGGCTCGACCTCTGCAATAGGGTCATCTAAATGTGTGTGCCTGTAAGTGTTCAGAAAGTCCCAGTTTTTTGGGTTTGGAAGACTTTGGAAGTTGTCATGGGAGCTGCTGGAGCAGGAAGTCCAACTGCCCCGTCCACTGTCAGCTGCTTCCAGCACAACATGCTCATGAGACATCTCTTCACTGCTCAGAGAAGACGAGACAGCTACACCCTTGATAAGAGATGGCTTTGACAGCATCCACCTAAAAATGGAGACACACAGATGAGTAGTGGATACTTTAGTGGCATACTGGAGACTTCCCAGAACAGGTGTTTCTCCTATAAGAGACTAGGATATACCCAAATGCTTAGCTAGCAATGTTTCCTCCAAGAAACCCTAATGTTAAATAAAAACACAAGATGAAATTTGAAATGAATGGAAATAAGTACACCTTTGTCAACACACTGCTTCCCCAACGTGGAGAATTCAGCATTTCTAAGCTGAGGAGCCATGTTTTATTTTTTCACCAATATCTGAGGTTAACTGAGTATGATAGGATATCATCAGCAACTTCCCAAAGTGCCAACTGCACAGATGCCAACATTTATAGCAAGGTTCCCAAACATGGGCCACATGTATCCATCCAACAGTCTATTTCTGTATAGTATAGTATGGGACAGAGATGGTTTCTGTATTTTAAATGGTTCCATGTATGTCCAATCTGCAGCCTGCATGCTGACACATATAGCTATGAACATAGCACAACACAAACTCTGTAAGCATATTTAACACTTGAGGTATTTTTTTATGTGATTATGTGTGTATGTACGCGCATATACGCACACGCCCCCATATGGGGGGGGGGAAGCACAACTCAATTGTGCCATTCTTGAATGTCAACTTTTTGGAAGACAACGTAGAGAGTAAAAACAAGGCCTGGCCCTACTTTCCTAGCTCCTGTAATGTTTTAGATATACATGCTAGACTGAAAATCTGTTGTATGATACAACCTTTCTGAGTAATCTTTAACAGCCAGGAGCCATGTCTCTAGTAACAACAGCAGGCACCCAATACATTCTTAGTGATACATGGCAGAAAGTAACTTGAATAAAGGACATTCAGGAGCACATAAAACTGTATCCATGTATCTTTCAATTCCATACTCAGTACATACAAATGGCATACATGTTTGTAGCCCCATATTCTTACATGGGATGGTTTAATATTGACCTACTGGAAGAGGTTGTAAGTGCTACATATAGATTCTGCATTTGATAGGAACACAGACACAGATGTTTACCCATGACCAGTCTGACTGTGCTCTCTGATCCCTGAAGGGTGATCTATCTTTTCCAATGTTCCTGTTGTGGGTTCAGGAACTGCTAGGGTGTGGGCAGAACAGCGTTCCTCCTGCAGAGCTGCAGACATAGAGTCCACGGAACAGTTGCTCACAATGCTGGACCGAGAGGAGATTTCACTGTGGCTGGAGTCAGAAAAGTTGTCAGACTTAGCTGATGGTATGAGTGTGTAACCTGAAGGAGAAAAGAAGGCCGATCAAACTACAAAATAAGGGGACAGACAGGGGCAGCCAAGAGAGACCAAGAAAACACAGGGCAAAAACCAAAGCAGTAGGAAATGTCAGTTGTCATGCGTTAGAAAGTAAGGATGGCAGTATTCTCCATACCTTTCCTATATAAGCATTCACCTACCATCCATACCACACTCACAGAACTCCACACTGAAGAAAAAAGTCAAAAGCTGGTATTACTGTCCAGATTCACACACTTTCAAATATTTAACAAAACAAGAGCAATGAACATATTATAAACATTAGCAAGTACGCAGAGTATAGTTTTTCAACCTCTTTTTAACTCTGTGTCTCCTCCCTTCATTGGCATAAAATATTTCATGTCCCATGCTGTGGAATGGAGTCATGAACTTGACCCAGAAATCTTCAAAGTGCATACTCTTTATCTCAGATATTCTATTCAAGTCTTTTACCAAATTGCAATCACTATTTCAGTATTTTTAATTTTAAGAAAACAACTCAGGACCTTGCATAGGCTGGGCAAATGAGAGTCCTGTTTTTGTGCAAGTGTGCACACACATATGTGGTATATGTTCATGTGTGTGTAGGTCAGAAACTGATGCAAGGTATCTTCCTTGACTACTCTCTACCATATCTTTTAAGACACAGTCTCACAGTGAGTGAATCTGTAGCTCCATTAGCTGGCTAGCCAGAGTCTCTATCCCTCTGCCCTGTGCTAGGGTAACACAATGCACAGTGGATTTTTCACCTGGATATGGACTCAGGTCCCTAACACTGTTTCAGTATTTTTTTTTAAAATTTATTTATTATGCATACTACCCTATCTGCATGTATGCCTACTTGCCAGAAGAGGGCACCAGATCTCGTTATGGATGCTTGTGAGCTACCATGCATGTGGTTGCTGGGAACTGAACTCAGGATCTCTGAGGGAGCAGTCAGCAGCCAGTGCTCTTAACCTCTGAGCCATCTCTCCAGCCCACTCTGTTTCAGTACTTTTAAACAAACTGTTTTAGATTTGTTCATGATTAACTTTGTTAATAATTAAGTAGCTGATTAGATTAGCAAGTATGGTTATGGAAACAGCATCTACCTACTTTCCATTCTTCTACATCTTACTGCACAGTGCATGGCTACAGAAGCCTTGTCTATTTTGGTGGAATAAAAGAATAGGGAAGAAGTGAGGTGAAGGATCCAAAACCACATCTATGGTATGATGGCCAAATGTACAAAGTGGTCTATTTTGATACAAAATAGATGAGAAATCAATACTTTGGTTTAGAAATAAAATACTGTCATAGCAGGTATGCAAGGGGCTGATCTTTATGAAGTAACAATGCCTTCTTGTTCTCAGGGCAGAGTGAGGCCTGACAGGTCACATGACTTTTGAACTAATTCCTAGAAACATTGCTAAGGAAGAAATAGAGGCTCTTGTATGCTACTGATACTCAGTAATACAAAAAGGAAGACAGCAGCTAAGTACCAGGGTTTCCTTATTATGCCTTAAGGAAATCAGCATATAAAACTAAATTTACTGCAAGAAAAAAATGGCTGTGAAGTAACATTTTCAAGAGGTACTACTAATCATTTCACAGAGAAATCAAGATCCAGAAATGTGTGGTTTACCCTTGGGCTTATGGGGCCAAGAACCCAGTAAGCCAAGCCAAGCCAGTGTTTCTGACTTTTACCACACAGCCTTGCACTTGGGATCACTGTCACTTATCAGTGCCCACGAAATGATTCTTCAGTTTGGAAGATGACCAGGTCAATGGATGTTGCAAACAAACATTCAAACCATTCAGCCTCTCCCACTGTACTGTACAGACTTGTTTCATTGTTTCAATCAATCTTATCCTTATGTTTGTCACATCAGAGTCTCTTAAGTGTAACTGATACTGAGAACTTCGGGAACATTTATGCAATTACATATACATCTGGCACTCAAATTCAAATTTATGAGATCAGGGGTGGGGCATGGTAATTTCACTAAAGTTTCCAGATGATTCTGAACCTGTTGGGCTAATTGCCCTCCCAAAGGCATTTTAAAGTGATGATACAGGACACAGGAAAAGATGGGCTTTCTTGGTTTACAGTTTTTCCCCCCCACAGCTGAGGAAGTATGATGGCAAACAGGTTCTGAGATAGGAGAGTGGAAGAGGCTTGTGAATGGGGGTTTACATGAAACTGAACAATGGTTCCTAAGAAGTATTCTTTGATAATTTCATTCAGTCTCAGCTGCTACCAGAAGAAAATACAGCAAACTACAGAAAATAAGTAGATAAAATTTACTAACTCAACATAGCGGTCAGAGAACATATGTACAAGTGAGGCACAACAAATCAGTTTTTTCTTTGCAGCCAAAGGCTCTACAGCACCATAAAATGCTTAGTAGTATTTACTATGTCACTTGCCCAACAGATGGTTGAATTCAAGCCACATTTACATTAATAACTTAAAACAAACTTAACACTAATAGGAAGTAAGGAGCTTTTCACAGAGTCTTCCTCCGTTTAGGCTTGAACCGGGTACAGAAGCAGCTTAGAGCGGTACTGTGGCCTTGGCTACTTGAGTCGCAGATGGCACTCCCTTTCTCATCTGTGATGTTGCTTCCAACATCCTTCACTTTCTCACAGCTGTCTGTAGCTTGATTGTGATCTGTGTCCTCTTTTTGGCTGTTGACTAGTCTCTCCCTTGAAAGAGTTCTCTCCCTAAATCTTCTAAACGGGGATGTCATTCTTTTCCTGGTTGTGTTCTCAAAACTTGTCCTGTCTCTATTCTCCTCAGTGGCCTTCTTGGTCCTGTCTGTTCTTTTTGCTGTGCTCCCAGTAATCTGAAGGATTTTCTTTTGCAAGTAAACCCCACCTATTCCGGGGCAGCTCTGGCCACTGATCTTGGTGCTGGGCTCACGGGGAGGGGATGAGGAAGACCCTGAGAGATGCAGCAGGATGCTGTGATCAGTTATGATACTGCCAACTGGAGGGAGAGATGCAAAAACCCTGACTTGGTCAATTAATTCTTTTCAATTAGTCACAATTAGCTTGGTTTACATAACATTTCACTATTTTAAAAATTTATTATCTAAAGAATTGAATTATATTAACAGTTTTTTTAAATAATTGAGGAAACTATGTAGCTACTACACAGCATATACACCTCTGTTACTACAAGACACCCAGGATAGAAATTACCTTGCTCAGAACAAGCTGACAACAGGAACAACAACAAAAAGAAAAACAAACAAAAAAACAAAAAGAAAAATAAAAACAATGCTGAAAGCAAGCCACATTGGTAAAAATTATAAAGAGAAACATGACAAGAATATCAGACGTGATCAGAATCATCTCTTAGGAAATGATGCTTTAGGATTTTCAGACCACCACTACCACCACCACCACCACCACCACCACCACCACCACCACCACCACCACCACCACCACCACCACCACCACCACCACCACCACCACCACCACCACCACCACCATCAGAATAGGACATGCACAGGATGCAAGGATACTTCATAAAGCACCATTTCTTGTGCAGATGGGGCTCCAGGGGATGTGATGCAGGTGCCCCAGTGGAGGCCAGAGGCCAATCTGGGTGGTGCTCTCCCTGAGGAGCTCACTGATTGCCCCAGCAATCTGCCCCTCTCCACCTCCCAGTCCCAGGACTACAAAGTGTAGGTTTTACATGGTGCTGGGGTTGAAGCTAGATCTTTATACTTTATTGACTGAGCCATCTCGCCAGCTCTTGGCTTCTGTGTTCTTATGTAAAATGAAATAAGGCTGAGTGGCACTGGCTCCTGCCTTTAATCCCAGCATTTGAAGTAGAGGCAGGTGGATCTCTGTGAATTCAAGGCCAGCCTGGTCTACAAAGTAAGTTCCAGGGCTGTTACACAGAGAAACTCTGTCTCAAATAAAACAACAACAACAAAAAAAAGCAAATCAACAACCCCCCCCAAAAAACCACCCCAAAACCAAAAAAAAACAAACAAAAAAGCAAAAAAGCAATAGATTTACTTTATTAGTGATGAGAACAAAACTAATTCCAAACTTTAACAGGAACTGAGAATGGCCGAATAATGTACTTTCACTGGCATGAAGCTGTTTATGGAAATAGAGGCAATGGGGTGGGGGTTGGGCTTTTCTCTTCTTTTTGGATGGTTCTAATTATGAAGGTCCAAGGGGCCACAATCTTGCTATAGACTCAAGGATGTGCCTCACGTCAGGTCCTCTTGCCTCAGGTGGCTGAATGCTGCTATTATAGGTATGTGCTTTGTTGTTGGAGTCTTTATGTATTTAAGAGTAATTTCTGAAGCCATTTTTTGAAGAGAATTCTTCAAGCTTCTAAAGGTTCTCAATACAACTATGATAGGCCCACACTCATAAACATCACGTCAACTGTTAGCCACATGTTAAAAAACAGTGAAAAGACCAATTTACTGCATTGGTAAGAGTGGATTTTGTGTGGCAGTACACACTTTAAAATCCTAGCACTCAGGAGGCAGAGTCAGGCAAACTCTGTGAGTTTGAGACCAGCCTTGTCTACACAGAATATACCTGCTATACACATTCCTTCTATGTCTCATTTGATTTTCATGAAGCATTCCTTAGTAAAACCTCAGCTACCTGAGGGTAGAAAGGGCTGGGGAGCAAGTGAGCTATGTATGCCAAGCTGGGGCAACAGCAGGGAAAGGAAGGGACACTTGAATTTACTAATCACTGACCACAAATAGAAATACCATTTCCTTTAAACTGTATACACAGGCCTTAAGACAGAGAGTCTTTCTGAACTTTATCAACAAGCAACAAAGAAATAGCAAGGGAAAGAGTGTCAAACTCAGGTGTTACATCACTGTACCCCAGCTGGCAAAGAGAGTCCTGAAGAGTGAAATGTCATTTGCTTACAGAATGAAAAGTCAAGTGTGCTGTGGTGCTGTTTGGTCTGAGAAGAGCTGGTCAGAAAAGTTCCATCTTACCTTTGCGAGGGGAACTTCGAGGAGATGCAGGAGGGCTAGAATGCAGGGAGGATGCCACAGAAACAGTGTCTTCTGTGTGTTTCTTACCACTCACTTCTTCAGTTAGTCCTAAACCTTTCTGAGGGAAACTTGCACCTAAAATTAAATAAATGAAGAAGCAAATAAGTATTATTTTATAATTAAAATGTATGTCACTGTCTAAATCACTAGTAACTAAAGCCCTGAGACAATGGCTGGTACAGTCAACCAAGATATGTAAGTTCACTCAGGGACTAAGTGACTGGGAGATGGTATGCAGGTCTCATTCGCTAGGTTATTTGTTCAAACCCAGTTGGCTAGTATAGAAAGGATTATAATAGGCAGTTAGCTTTATGGCAGAGGGAAATCAATTACACAGTCCAAGTATAGTGTCCCAAACCCCCACAATTATACCTGGTTGCCATCTTAAGAGAAAAGATTGAGGTTCAAACTCTGCCCTCCCCTCTTGAGGTAGCCCCTTCAAGAGAAAGCTAAATATGTCAGAGGCAGTATGGGGTGCTGTGAGTACACATAATAGGCTGCAGGGCTGCCAGGTCAGCCCTTTTCAAGAGCACTAAATTCATACTGCAGAAGAAAGTAAGCAACAGACAGGAAAACTGGATGGTGCTTCCAAAAACATTCTTGGAAAGCTCTACTCTCCACCAGCTAGGCATTGGGCATAGGTCAGATTCTGAAATGGTTGTTGTGGAATAATCTTTTTGTACACTGTGACAATGTGTCTCTCAGACTGGGTTAATAAAAAGCTGAAAGGCCAACAGCTAGGCAGATTTTCAGGATAGAGAGGACAATGGGAAGAAGAAGGTGGAGATGCCAAGCGATGTTGAACCAGGAGGACATGCAGAAGGAGAGTTAACAGCCATGAGCCATGTGGCAGCATATAATAGAAATGGGTTAATTTCAGTTATAAGAGCTTAAGCTATCGGCCAGGCTTTCATAATTAATAATAAGTTACCATGTCATGATTTGGAAGCTGACTGGCAGGACAGAGACTCACTACAAATGGTTCCAGCCCAGTTACTTTTTCAGAGTTTCTAGGAAGTCACTGAGCTACAGACTACTCTCAGCACAGAGCAAGCATGACTGTGACAAGGAGATGGTATAGCAGCAGCAGTCTTCCGAAAAGGCACTCCCACCAAGCAGGCTCATTTGCTTGTGAACTTGTTCTATTTCCTCTTCCCAACAACCTTCTTTTGTTCAACTATAGCTCAACCTCCCTTCTTCTCCCCATCTTCTTTCTCCCTCCATCCCCTTTTCCTTGCCTCTTTCTGTCATTCTCTTAACAGAGCAACATATATAGGTCAGGCTGGCCTCAAACTTGTAGCCTAGGTTAACAATGAACCTTCAATCCTAGGATCAACTGGCACTGTGTAATTACTAAGATTCTGTGTAGAATGAGGCTGAATTACCATCTTATAGTGTCATTATGAAGACTAAGCAAATACATAAAGTTTGCAATAAAGACAGACTGTGTCTACACAGTAAGTGTAAAATGTGAGCTTCAACTACTTGAGTGTGTGCTGCTGGGTTGGGCTGAGCACCCAGGGCTTTGTGTATACTAGTCAAGCACTCTCCTAACAAGTCAAATCCACAGCCCTGACCTTCAGTTGTTATTGCCTCTTAAGATGCATGCAATTTGCAGTAAGCCAAACTGTAACAACAGATACCAAACCATTTTCTCTGCCTCAAGGAAACCCTTGCCAAAAACCTTGTTCTAAAGCCCTTCATTATCCCTGCCTTTGCTGAATAAAGGCTTCGCGTGCTTTTTCTTTTACATGTACCCAGTTAGTACACATATAATAAAGAAGTAATCTGCTTGTATCTTCAATAACACTAGATAAAACCCTGGTCATTTCTTACTCAATTCCGTATCTCAGATCAAATCAAATTAAAAATCACAGTTTTTGCTGGGTGGTGACGGTATATACCTTTAATCAAGCACTTGGGAGGCAGAAGCAGGCGAATCTTTGTGAGTTCGAGACCAGTCTGGTCTACAGAGCTAGTTCCAGGACATCCAAGGCTGTTACACTGTGAAACCCTGTCTTGAAAAACAAAAAACAAAACCTCCCCCCAAAAAACCAAAAAAAAAAAACCCCACCAAAAACATACTTCTACTATGTATGAAATATGTATAATACACAGACTATGTTAATAATACTAGGAACCAAATCTAACCTAGCTTTCCATGTAAAAGTGGACAACAAAAGTAATTCTAATAATGTCTATATGGCTCAATGGTGCAAACAGTTGAAGATTACATTTGACATATTTTATGTTAAAAAAAATTTTATTTTCTTATTTTATGTATGACTTTTCTGCCTGTACGTAACTGCACCATGTGTGTTCCTGCTACCCACAGAGGTCAGAAGAGGCATTGGGTCCCCTGGAACTTGAGTAGTGAGTAGATGGTTGTGAACCATTATATGGGTGTTGGGAACCAAATCCAGGTCCCTCTGCAACAGCAACAAGTGCTCTTAACCACTGTGCCATCTCTCTAGTCCTGTCACTTAAAAAAAAATTATGAGTCTGGTGTGGGTATGTGCAAGAGAGTACAGATGCCCAAGGAGGGCAGAGGCATCTGATCCCTTGGAGCTCAAGTTACATGAAGTTGTGAGTCACCTGATGTGGGTACTGGGAATATAATGGGTTCTCATGAAAGTAGTACATCCTCATAACTGCTGAGCCATTTCTTAGCACCTACATTTATTTTTAATTAAAACTATCCTCTTTACAGTTTTGTGTGTATACATGTTTTGATTGAATGTATACCTGTGTACCATATTTGTGCAGTGCCCACGGAGGCCAGGAGTGGATGCTGGATCCCCTGGAACCTGTTACAGATGGTTGTGAGCTGACATGTGGGTGCAGGGAATCAAACCCAGGCCTGGAAGAGCAGCCAGTGCTCTTAACCATTGAACCATTTCTCCAGCCCCCTACTAATAGAAATGGGTTAATTTAAATGTAAGAGCTATCCAGTTTAATAAGCCTCAGCCATTGGCCAAACAATTGTAGTTACTATTAAGCCTCTGAGTGATTATTTTATAAGCGGCTGTGGGACCAGGAGAGGACATAAAAGCTTTAGAAACTAAGAGTAAAATGGATTATGGCTGTGAACACTCACTCAGCACATGGTCTTTGGCTTGTCCTCTCTTTCTGATGGGGTGCAAATTAACTGCTGGCACCTGAAGCACCTGGCTCACTCTGTGCGGCTGATGCAGGTAGACTTTTGATGTTTGGCCACCTGACCTCAAAGGCACAGGAGACATTTCAGATGACTTGGCTGACTTTTTTTCAGTTAAGTTCTTTGTCACTACGAAGAGAGAGAAAGGTCAGGTAAATGCAATTTTTAAAGGGAAGACTATTATCATTGATGAACAGTTATTTAAAAATTCCATTTTTATATAAAATTAAAAACCTATTTTCATAAAAGAAATTTAAGTATAAATTACCTCTCTGATGTTGCTGTAGAACAAGCTGTTTGTTTTCTAAATTCTTGAATCCATTATCTACTTCTGAGGCCAAGTTCACACTCCTATCACAGGATTGAAATCCTCTCACTGGATCAATTACAGCACACCTCCAGCCCTTCTCCAGAATGATAGCAGAGTGACAAATAACATGGATATCTAACCTACTATCTTCCTTCTCTGTGCCCCACAGACTTCACAACTCCCCCTGCTCTCAGGAAAGACTCAAATGCCTCCAGCAAGGTGCGGAAAGCCATGAGACTCACTATCAATCTGACTCCACCATGTACTTGCCCACTCTTCAATCCCATATGCTTGAGGTTTCAATCATGTCAACCTTTGCCTTGGTTGAATCACTTTACATTAATTGCTTCTTGCATCTTTCTGATCTGCTTTCTCATAAACTCACAGAACCTTTTCTAACACTGTGAATTCCACAATGACAACACTAGTGAGGCCTAACTAGATAGAGAGAATAGGAAAAAAACAACAAAACAAACTGCTTTCATTGCGTAAAATCAATTTTGTAGTCCAAAGGAAAGAAATTTTCCTTCAGTCAGCCCCTTTAGTCCTATGGTTAGTTATTTGGGTTGGTTTCAAGCACAGGCCTCAAACACCAAGATAAAGCAACAAACAGATGTTTACCCATGGCAGCCCAGTTGTAAATAGGTAGTGTTCATGCTTCACTGTGAGAACCTGAAAAATATTTCACCTGGTAATAAGAGGCAGGGGACATCTAGAAAACTAAAACAGAGGGACTCATAGTGATAATATGAAAATGCGTATCAACTAATTGAATTAAAAATATTATCACCTTTTGGTTAGAAATACAGAATACATTTCCCCTCTGTTGAAACTATTTTTTGAGAGGTCTCACTATATAGTACAGACTGGCCAAAAACTCAGTATGTAGTCCAGTGGTTCTCAACCTTCCTAATGCTGCAGGCAACCCTTTAATACAGTTCCTCATGTTGTGGTGACCCCTAACTATAAAATTATTTTGTTGCTACTTCATAGCTGTAATTTTGCTACTGTTATGAATCATAACATAAATATCTGATATGAGACTACTGTGAAATGGGCCACAACCCACAGGTTGAGAACTACTGACATAGTCAGTCTAATACTGTTTTTTTTTTTTAAACTCACGACCCTCCTGTCTCAGTATCTTAAGCGCTGGGGTTACAGGAAGGCACCATTGTAACTCCCTAGAAAATATGCCAGGAGTAAAGACAAAGACAGGTTCAAGTCCTAAATTAGGAGGACAACACAGAAGAACCATTCCTGGGGATGACTGTCACCTGACAGTTCTGGTTACTGAGAATACATATGCACATTTCTTGGCCTTTGTTTCATTTTTTTCTATAAATTAAAATACTGCTTCACATAAGGGGTGGGGGGGGAAGCATTTTTAATCTATTTAATATCACTTCCTGTTAGTAAAATGTCTACTGCAGAACCCAAGATTTTGATTACACCATTATTTCTGGCTATAAATTAATTTCTGATATCACTGACATCATAACTGCTACAGTTTAGAGAAACATCACCATTATCAGCACTTTTTAGGTGCATTATCTCGTTACAACAAGAATTCAACATTAGCTATTACAGACAGTTGTTAGAAGTAAATGGCAATTTTCAAAATTTGAGGCAAAATCTTGATATGTAACCCAGGCTGGGCTTGAGCTTGTAACCCTCCTGCTTCAGACTCTATGGTGCTGGATTTGTGTTTTTGTTTTCTTTTTCTTTTTTTTTTTTTAAAGGAAATAAACAAAAAACAAAACAGGGTTTCTCTGTGTATCCCTGGCTGCCCTGGAACTCAGAGATCCACCTGCCTCTGCCTCCTGAGTGCAGGGATTAAAGGTATGCACCACCACTGCCAGGCATCTTCTACAATTTTCTAAAAATAGTATGAGATGGAGTCATTTGGTGGTAGTGCACACCTTTAATCCCAGCACCCAAGAGGCAGAAGAGGCAGGTGGATCACTGTGAGTTACAGGTCAACTGGGTCTACACAGTGAGTTCCAGGACACAGCATAGCTAGAGTGACATAATTAGACATTGTCTCAAAACCAAATCAAAACAAAAATAATGAGATGGAGTACTGTCTCCAACTTCAATGCTCAAGTGATTTATTATACTGCCTTATTCTTCTCAGCTGGGACTAATGTGTGTACTACCACACTAAGCATACTGTCTACAGAGTACTTAGTAAGGATGTTGTTGTCATATGGAAGGCTTTCAATTTTTAGTATTTATTATTTTTCATCAAATTTAATTGGTTTGATAAAGAATCAGAAGAGATAAAATATGTTCTAGAGAAAATTTCAGGTTAACAGTCTTACTGTGCATTCCTAGCTGGCCTGGAACTCAGAATCTGCCTACCTCTGCTTGTTGAGTGATGGTATTAAAGGCATGGGACACCATAGCTAGCATTTTCACATTTTTGAAAACAGGTAAGAATTAAGAGAAACGTGCTCAATGGTAACAAGTGAGACTTTAAACTCTGCCTCCATCCATTAGTGTCAGTGCAAGTATATTCCATTAATTTTCTTCAGTGGAAGCATTCAATATATTGCTTTTTTTTTTTTTTTGAGACAGGGTTTCTGTGTAGCCATGGCAGTTCTAGAACTTGCTCTGTAGACCAGGCTAACCTTGAACTCACAGAAATCTGTCTACCTCTGCCTCTTGATTGTTGGGATTAAGGGTGTGCATCACCACTGCTTGGCTTGAATATATTGTTTTGATAATAGCTTAATTTTCCTACCTTTGAGAAAGGTACTAATTATGTAGCCCTGAACACATTATTCTCCCGCCTCAGTCTCCCAAGTACTGTTTGTATTTGACAGGGTTTCTTTGTATCGCTTTGGATTTTGTCCAGGAACTCACTCTGTGGATCAGAGATCTGCCTGCCTCTGCCTCCCAAGAGCTGGGATTAAAGGTATGTGCCACCAATACCCAGCCTCCCAAGTATTGTTAATCACTGGAGTGCACCTGTGAGGGCTAAAGATATGTTTTAACTTTTAATTATTGTGTTTAAGAGATCTATAAAACAAAAATGCCTCTAACCAGTAAATCCTATTTGCCTAGGGACAGCTAACTTTCTGGACTGCTGAGGGCTTTTGTTCATGTATGATAACAAGCTATGCGTTTTCACTTCTGTAAACAAGATTGGTTGCCCCAATTGCTTAGGATGTCCTTATCACTCCTACGAAGGAATAATGTAGGCAGGAAGTACATCAGGATGTATGCTTACCCCCCACCCCCAGTGGACAAGGCAGGCAGTATATAATCTTGTGAGTTTTGCCTTTGTTAAGCACCCAACTAACATAATTCACAGTCATTTTCTGGGAATCTGGGGTATGGACTTGGCCATTGTCCATTGTCCTGATCAGTATTTAATAAAGCTTGCTTCAAATTTGGCTCAAAAATTGTGATAGTGTTCTTATTCTTGTCCAGTGGGATTAACATACCACTATGTTTACCTCTTGCTAATACAGGATGTACTGAATGACTCTACCCAGTATTTTAAATTCATTGTGTAATTAGTATGTTTTTATGCTCACTTTCTCTTTTCTATTCAACTGGCATGCTATTATATTACAATAAAAAACTAACACATTTATCTTTTTTTTTTTGTCAACCCATGGAGAATATCACTCCCTTCTGTCAACAGAAAACTTGTAATTCTGTTGTGCTTCTTATGAGTTTAACATTTAACCTACAATTTAATAGGAATCTCCTTCTCCCAGCTCCTGTAACTCATAATTTTCTTAACCTAGATGTGTTCTGAAATCTGGACTAAATGTCAGGATGATGCTTGGGAACACAGTACTTACTGAGCGGAGCAGTAGTGGGCAGGTAGACTGTGAGGTGCCAGTAGTGAGTCAGGATGCATCTACTTCCTCTTGTATCTTACTGATAAGGCATTGCTGCTAGTGTTTGAATCAAAACCCTAAGCTTTCTAGTTGGTATCTGATTTATACCTAGAACAGATGTCACTTTTCATTTAGAGATTAGGGCAACAATGTTCTCAAACAGAGTATTTTCCACAATGTCCCAATTAAAAAAAAACAAAAAAAGACATTCCTATTTTGTGTGCACAGGTGTTCTGCCTCCATGTATGTTTGTGCACCATGCATTTGATGTGGCTCTGGAGTTCAGAAAAGGGCAACAGATCCTCTATCCTAACTGCTGTTATAGATAGTTATGAGACACCATGTAGGTGCTGGGAACTGAACTCAGGTCCTGAGAGAGTAGCAAGAACTCTTAATAGCCGAGCCAGCCCTCTAATGACTTGTGTACCCTTTCCCCCATTTAAAATACTATTTTTAAAAGAAGAACCATTCATCCCCCCCCCCAGAGTTATGTAAGAGCTGGGACTCAGCATTTTATGAACAGACCATGCAGCTTGAGCACATGTAATCAGCACTAATCCTGGAGAACAAAATTTCTTTGCTGTGCTCACCAATGTGAAAAAAGAAAAGAAAACAAAACAAAAGCAACCACTCACAGGTACCATATGCAGGCTCCCACTGCAGTGATATCATCTGGAACTTTTCCTCATCTGTGTCTATGTCCAGACTAGAAAGATACTGTTTCACTTTCCTTGCCATTTGAGCATCTTCATATAGCTTCTTGGCATTCAGAAGGGAGCTTCGGCGTGCTCTTTTCTTGTGAGCACCTCCCTGAACATCCAGCATGTTTGAATTTGTGCTGCCTTGACTCAGTGACCTGTAAGGAGACAGAAACTGCAATGAAAGAAAGCCTGTAAAGATGAGAATTTATCATGAAAAAATGAAGATTCAAAGACTTTTTTCTGTTAATACTATTGCATGCTGACATAAATGAGTTAAAAGATGAAGAGCATCAATGCAAAGTAATTTGGCACAGAGGGCAATATTCTCAATTAAGAACAAGATCTGGCAAAATGAGGAGTTCAAAAGAGTAAGATGCCAGTTCCTCCCTGAGCAACATATTCCATTACATCTGTGTGTGCCTATGAAAAGCTTTCCTCTGGTCCATTTAAACCATTCACTCTAAGATGAGGCAAGAGTCTAGGTCAGGATAAATTTGTCATTATTCCTTCAGCAAGGGCACAGAGCAGTTTTGTTATCTGTGCTGCTTCCAATGCTGTTAAAGCACCATTCTGTAACAGTAGGGCCACTTCAAGCACGGTGACCAATTTTATCAGTAACCATATTTTGATAAGAAATTAAAGAGAACAACCAAGATGATATCTGAAAATAACATTTCAATCCAGCATAGTCAGAGATCAGAAAGGCAATAAAAAAATTGCTACTGTTTCTGCAAATATGTGGTGCGACATTGTTTGCCTTCTAGAAGTAGGAGCTGGGATTCTACTGTTGCAATACTTCTGAACATTATGGAACTGTAAATTGGATGTATTCAAATAAACTACAGCTTTATCCAACTCTTATCATTTTTGTCAAACCTGCTTATACAATGCACATCCAGAACCAATGGAAAGTAGCAACTGCAAAGCAGCTGGTCCTCTCCAACAGGCTAGTAAATTAAATGCTTGTAGAGGGATGTTTGTTTGTTTGTTACTGTGTGCGGGCAGAGGTGGGTACAAGCCACAGCAAGTGTGTGAAGGTCTGAGGAGTGGTTCTCTCCTCCTACCTTTATGTGGGCCCCAGGTATCACTCAGGATTCCACACTTGCATTGCTCAAATGATCTTTAATTGGAAAGTAGGAGTATCTCTATTTTCATATTAGCATCATATTTACATAAAATGCTCTAAGATGCAGACCATAAACAGACTTGTTCTTTAATATTCACATACCTGACTTAAAACAGACACGGAATCTTAATTGTAAATTATGTAAGACAGAACTGAGAAAGTGTTAATGGTATTCTTTTTTCTGTCACATTTTAAGACCTTTGAAGTAGAGTTCCCAAGGGAGGAGGAGAAGGGAGGCAAGAACACATGCTTGAAAACGTAAAAAAGACACCTATTATTTTGTATGTTACTGAAATTAAAAAAAATTCTTAAAAAAAGAGGAAGAAAATTGATACAATTATGCCTTACACTTGATGGCAGCTTTTGGTTTTTATTTTTGTTTTTTGAGGCAGGGTTTCTGTGTAGTCCTGGCTGTCCTTGAACTCAGGACAGCCTGCCCCTGCCTCGCATGTACTGGGATTAAAGGTGTGTGCTACCATTGCCTGATATACTGATGGCAGCTTTTAGTTGTTGCTGGTCAGGCAGAAATGATGACATGATTGTGAGTGACACATAGAAAAAAATTACAAAATTTGCAAAATGGTTTGGAAGAAAAACCTAGTTAACCAATGAATTATCCCTTAACCGTTAAGATGCATTTGATGAAAGAAAGTGAAACCAGAAAAATTTTAGTAAATCTCCAACAATGTCAACGGGAGGCAGGCTGTGTGTGCTGAGCCAGCCCATGCATCCACAGGGTTAATCCTGCCCTCTTTTATGGTTTGTTTATCCTCAAGTGATGGATGACCAAGATACCGATAGCACACGGGGTGGTACTGTACATACTGAATGTGATCAGGGGCAAAGGGTGGGCACTGGTGATTCTAAAAGTGATCTGGAAGATTGAAATTCCGAATATGAAGTTTTAGAAACATCTAAACCAATTCACTTTCCTTGTATTTTTCCTTTTATGTATACCCAAGGGTGTATATGAGGAAAATATAAAAGTCCAGACAAATGAGAAGCATTTCAATAAGCACAGACTAACAATGTACTGCACTGGCCTTTCTTGATATACAAGATAACATCTTATAATGTGGTGACTACTATTATTATGTGAATGTGCATGTGTATGCTACAGTGCATCTGCATATGTCACAGGACACCTGTGTGGAACTGGTTCTTTGCTACCTTCATGTGGGTTCCAGGGATCAAACTCACAGTGAAATAAAGCCTTAGCATTTATGAGCAAATTTTGATGCTAGTGTTTAATCATTTTATCTTAGTTGTTATCCAAAATAAAAAAGCCAGCTTGTAAACAAACGTAGAATACAAAGTTATAATTCATGAGAAAGACAGAAGACACAGTTTCTACTGAACTACTTCCAAAGCAGCAAATACTGATGTGAAATGAAAACAACTGCTGTCCTTAAGCACCAAACAATATACAACCCAAACCCCACAGCTGAACATTACTGTAGCTCAGTTATTAGGTTGTAACATGTCCTGCTTTAGTAGCAATGCCAGGCTATCAGTTTCTGTTTTCAGTAAGAAGGACCAGGGAAGACCAAGACACAAATGTATGACGTAGAAGGAAACACACAAGAAACACACCAGAGGAGGAAAGTAGAGTTCACCAAATGACAAACAAGACCACAAATAAGACTCAAAGACATGGCTCAAAAATTCTTACATGTAATGTTAAATATCTAAACCTCACAGCTCATTAGTTTTAAATATCAAAATTCTATGTATGTTCTATAACACCTATAGTACTCATGTTTTACTCATTTAAAATGAAAAGTCTTGGGAAATGATGTAAAAGATCTTTAACTGTTTGTATCTAGATGGCTAGCAATGCAGAATTAAGAGACCAGAACCTATTTTAAATCACAAAAGGCTGGGCAGCTGAGAAACTTTAGGGAAACAAAGGGATCTTTTTATATAGAGGTAGAAATTTATTAATGTAAATTTTAATCTATGCTTCAAGTTTCAGACAGTGAATCTGATGAAGGGTTAATAATGTATTCACTTTTACAACACATGTTGAATAAAGATGACTCTGCAAAACTAATGAAAAATGCAACCCTTATAAACAGATTTTTTTGAACATTAACATATGTTTACTGTCATAAGATATGGCATTGAAATTAGATAAAGAGTTGTCTTTTGAAGCAGACCATTTAGGTCTGAACACACCATTAATGGGTTGTAAGACTGGGCAAGTTACCTTCCCCATCTGTACCCCAGGAATGACAGACCTGTTCACAGGGCAATAGGAGGCTTTTAAAATGTTATTCATTTAGAGAGCTTACAGCAGAGTAGAGCACAGGGGAAGTATACAATAAATATCCACTATCATCATCTAAACCTCATCAATCTATTAAATTTAGATCTAAAAAGGGATTATAAAATGCCAATATTGGAAAAACAAAACTAAAACACAACGAACAAAATGCTAGTTCCATCACTACTTTCACCTTGTTAGCAAAAGGCATTTGCCAGAATGTAGGCTGACGGAGTTAATAGATGCATGCTAACTGATTTGCGTGCATTAATGAAAAGGATGCAGCACATGTTAAGAGTTGCATAACCTTCATTCCAGTTGTTCATTTCCCCCACTTACCCCAGACTCCGCCACCTCTTCTTCCTGTAAGCAAGAGCCACAAACATTGAAGCATGTGTTTGAATAGGAAAGCACAGAAAAAAGACAACAGTTCAGAGTCAGAGAACTTATGCAGACAGAATAGAACAGGAAATTTACCAGGAAAAAATTATAGCTTAACAGTTAAAAATGGCTTTAATGAATGAATGGGAAAGACACAATGAATCCTGAAGGCCAAACCCCTCTTTAGTGTGTACTTTAAAATGTGTATTTTAGTACCTAATCTATCCAAAAACTGATGTTATTAAGAAGCTTAGGGTAAATAATCTGTTCATTGCATATTTTCCATTCTGTTTTTCAAAATGTAGGGAGTGATCTTGTGCATTCTACCAGGAGTTAGAATGCCCAGTCTCAGAACAGAGCTTCCACACAGTTTTGGAGCCACTCATTGAAATGACAATGAAATTACAAGGAACGTAGAGATATATACATCCATTTTTTGGTGGAAAAATTTCTGACAAAATATTTTACAAGAACACTTGGCCAGCAAATACAATGTAAAAACGAAAATAAGAAGACATTAAACCAGCGGTTGTGGTGTGCACCTATTCTTCTGTGACTTGGGGGGGATTTCAGGCCAGTTTGGGAACACAACGAGATCCCAATTATTACACTTAATTATTGGCTGACAAAACTAAACTGAAATAATTCAGCTCACTCTAAAATATATTTTCTCATACACTTTCTACTCAACCCAGGCTATTCGCAAGCAAACAGCTACGCTTATTAATATAATCCAATCATTTTTTAAAATTGTGTGTTTGCGTGCATGTGAGTGTATGCACATATGCTTACATGTGTAAGGCAGTGGAAAGCCTCTGAAGCTGTTTCTAAGGGTCATAAACCTGTATTTTTTTTTTTTTTAGACAGGATCCTCCTTATTGGCCGGCAACTAGTTAATTATGCTACACTGGCTGGCCAATAAGGTCCAGGAATCCACCTGTGCCTCTCTCCTCTCCCCAGTGCTGGATTATAAGCACAGCCACTACACTTGTCATTTTTACATGCTGCTGGATATTGAACCCCAGTCCTCAAGCTTTCATTGCAGCACTTTATCGAGTGAGCTCTCTCTGCCCTTTGTTAATTCTCAAGCACACCAGGAACCTTAGTACACTATCAACTTAGTTGGCAGGGAAACAAATTTATTTTATCTTCAGGTACTAGAATGGAAACATGTATGAGTAAATGGAGGTTCATATCAAGACAAGAGACAGTGGAAGGTCCACTGTACCAGAACATTCAACAAAAACGAAAACAGACAACAAGCCTCCTCTAGCTGTGCTTTGGTCCCTGGTTCTTACTGGTCTTTGCTTTCACATTTTGGAGAAGTGACATCTCATTACATTACCAGGAGAAAGAAAAGAGACGGGAAGAGGAGATTTTGTACTCCTTCCCCCTACTATGAGAATCTCTAGCTAGAGCAAACATGAGATCATCTACTTAGAAAAACAATGACTGCTCCACAATGATATGACTGAAACAAACAAAAACAATACCACTCCCAACCAAAACTCAATATAACACACACTTAATCCAAAGTATCAAGTATCTTTTATTTTTTTATCAGAATATATGTATTTTAAAATCACAGGAATTGTGTGTACTTAAAATTCATTTTATTTTAATGCACTATATGGAGTGGTCCAAAAGGAAAATAGGATAAAAAAATTTAAACTGTGATGCCTAATTACATGCTGAAGATTATAAAAATTACTGGGACCAGCTTAACAACATACTTAACTCTATACATAAATATGTAATAGCCTTTATAGTATACACACACACACACACACACACACACACACACACACACACCCACACACCAAAACAGCATTCTCATTTTGAGTGTGGTGGTATACATCTGTAATACTAGCAGTTCAAAGGTAGAGGCAAGATGAGTTCTAGACCACCCTTAGCTACAAAAGGAGTTCAAAAGTATTTTCAGATGAAATCAAAACAAAAACAAAACTCTCATTATTTATCAAGATGAAGCAAGGCTAAATGGACACTTTTTGGGAGGAGTTCACATGCAAGCAAACAGTTACATTGTAACTCTAACTTTTGGAAAAGAAATGTTTTAGAAAACTTAAGTACCAGCTACATGAGCTAGGACTTTAAAAGAGAAGCAGAATAATTATTTGCTATTTATGTTAGAAAACATAAAACAATTTGTACTCAGATCATTTCTGGGAGATTAACATTCTTTTTCTAATATATGCTTGTTGGTGCCTTATGTAACAGCCATACAGAACTACTTGTACATTCAGAAAAATAAATGGGAAATAGGCTTAAGTCTTAGCAAGTTATATAAAACTGCTTGAGGGGCTAAAGAGATGTCAGCAGTTAAGAGCACTGACTGCTCTTGCAGAGGACCTGGGTTCAATTCCTAGCACCCACATGGTGGCTCAAAACCATCTGTAACTCTAGTCCCAGAGAAGCTAACACCCTCTTCTGGACTCTGCAAGCATTGCATGCACATGCTGGCAAAACAAGTATAAATATCAAATAAAACAAAACTGCTTGAGCTTCAATTTCTTCAGATGGAAGGGAAAGTTGAATATTGCTTACTTGTTAGGATTACTATAATATATGATTACTGGAGACTGACGTGTGTGCAGCATTTATCACAGTGTGCAATAAAAGCTAGACACTTTTACCTTACCACCCTAGATGCTACTGTAACATGATTCCTATGTAATACCTTTGTCGGAACATCATGGCAGGGTCCATGTTAGCAGAAGTCATTCGAACAATATGACGGATTTCCTTGGCAATCATTCTTAATTTCTCGAAGTTTACTAAGCCGTCTACTTTGGAGTCATTTCCTATTAAATATAAATAATTTTCATAATTACAATTATATCTCCAAGTAGCAGAAACCCAGTTATTGTTCCTGAGTACAAATAAGCTCTATCAAAGTGCCATTTTTTTTTAAAGACTTAATAAATTCATAGGCAGTTCAACCCTGATCCCAGGGAATGAGCTTCTGAGGAAGGTTGTGTTTTCCCTGGGAATAATGAGTCTGAATACAGAAAGTAACTGACTGTCCACAGCTGCTAAAACCAGTTCATTATCTCACAGGCATACACACAGATTACACAGCACACAATGCTGTTCTGGTACATGTTTGCTCTTTTGGAATAAGGCACAGCATCTGAAAACTTAGGCAGCTAGGTGACAAGGGCACTGGGGGCCTACTTACTTACTAATAATTAACCCAGACTGCATTTTTTCTATTTATGATTCTTAAAAAATTTCAAAACAATATATAAGAAGTAGCAGATAGTCCCAAAGGAGTAAATGGTGGGGGATTAAATAATACCAGATTTCTTTCTCAAATGGCAAAAATTAAGTTACACTAAGGTAGCTACCTCATAGGGGTACTTTCTGGCCTGTTAATTCACGTTTCCTCTTTCAGAATCTGAATTTATCACTGCAACTTTAATCATTAGTATGAAACAGACTAGCATGTCTGTTAGTCTTTTTTTTTTTAATTTACAACTTTGAAAATTGTCATCTTTTCTTGGAGATTAGGTAAGAGACCAGATGGAACCTATTTATTGGCTTACCTAGTCCAAACCATGAGGTAAAAAACTCAGTGTTCAAAGGTCAGTCTACCAGACCACAGTAGTATTTAATCACACCTATTACTGTTAGTGCAATACAGTTTTCTAACATGGAATGCTCTGAAGCAAGTTTGAGAACTATATGGGTTCAGAGTCCCATCTCTTTTTAATGTAAGTGGCATCTGTACATTGTTACATAAATAGCTCAGGGCCTCAACACCAGCTGGAAGCAAAACAACACCAAAATTACACTCAAGTCAGGTCATTGTTTTCAGAGTCAGTCAGAAGCCTGTGAAAAGCTCCTGTTATATAAAGCAATGTGATGATGATGATGAAGAAACTCTGAGGTAGGAGACTGGACAATTTTGATACCCTCCCTGTTGAGGACAATTAGCAAAGGCAGATGGGGGACAAGACTGAAACATGAGTAGGGTCCTTTTGTGTTCTGAGGAAAGAAGAATAAAAACAACTTATATCCAATGCTCTGCTTTGGGACTGACTTTATTCTAGGGCTAAGGAAGAACCAAATGCAGATTGGAATAAAGCCTAAAATTTGAAAATGAATTAAAATCATTTGGATTACTAACAGTCTTAAATGAGCAAGGGTTAAAATTTTTTTGGAATAAAATATCAGTCATGTATTTTAGATTATTTTTGTAACTTTTTTCATTATTTCATAAAAACCAAAAAATCAAGGCAGATCATGAGAAAAATGGACATGACAAGATGCAAAGGAAGATGCTAGAAAGAGACCCACAGAGGATCCAGACCACAGAGTCACCACAGAGCAGTTTTAAAATGTTCAAAGATATAAAACCAACATTGCTAACTTTACTAGAGAATAAGAAAGAACAACAACCAAAAAAACCCTAGTAAAACTGAAGAACAATGAACTAGATTAAGAATTCAGCAACCGGCTTAACTGATGAGACACAGCCAAAGAGAAGGACTGACAAACAGGAATGACGATGCCCTGCATGCAGCAAGACAACACGATAAATTGTAGGAAGATATAAGGTTACAGAGGGTTAGGGGTCAAGTCAGACAAAAGTAAAACCAGAGTCCCCAAAATGATGTCAGCAAAGGGCAAATAAAAAACTTGAAGACCTAACTATATAGAATAGAACGTTCTAAAAACATGAAAATATCAAACTATTTCAATATGACCTGTAAATGTAAATCAGAATTACAATGAAACAAAACTACTCAGTAAAGCCTAGCAAAACAGAAAAACATGAGCTAAAGAGAAGACAAAGGTCCTAGCTGTAGCTATCAGCAGGGGCTGAGGATAGTGGGAAGAGCAGTAAGACTAAGGCTGATGTCTCAATAGTGACAATGGGAGTCAGAAGACAATAGATGCTACTTTAAAATGCTGAAGGAAAGTAGCTGCCAATCCAAACTACATTTCTAAAATTGATGTCTTGGCCTTTCAGATGAACACAAGTTGAGTTCTCCATCACTTTAAGGGAATTATGGTGTCTTGTGGGCTACACAAAATCAAACTAAACAACTAAACAACAAGGTCTTCAAAACTACAAAGTACACCAGACACCCCGACACTTAGAAATGTAGGATGGAATAAACAGCAGGAAGTACTAATAGACACAGATGAGATTAAACACAGATTTCAGCAACAAGCAGAAAAGCATGCAGGATTGACTGCACAACGCAGAATAAAAACTGGGGGCTGGCTGGGCGGTGGTGGCACACACCTTTAATCCCAGCACTCGGGAGGCAGAAACAGGTGGATCTCTGTGAGTTTGAGGCCAGCCTGGTCTACTGAACGAATTCCGGGACAGGCTCCAAGACAAATACAAGAAACCCTGTCTCAACCCCCCCCAAAAAAAACAAAAACAAAAAACAAAACAAAAAAAAACCCCAAAATAAAAAACCCAAACAACAACAAAAAAAACTGGGGGCTAAGTAAAGGAAACTTAAGTAGTCCAAGTTCTTCACATAGCCTAAAATATAACATTAATGAATACTGGCAAACAAATTTACATGCTATATCCTTTAGTGAAATGCTAAAAGAATAGCAAAACAGCACAAGGTTAAAAATACTGTTACCACAGAAAAGTTAATGCAGGTAGACTGTAAATGAATTGTATTGGTATAAGGTCAAAAAGAACTTCTACTCATCAAAAAATAACCTTAAAAGGGTCAGGATGTAGAAGAGAACTTTTGTAGGAATATTAAGCAAAAAGGGTTAATGAAAGATGAGGGTTTCAAACTGGTAACCGACAAGGAAGTTATTGCAACATAGATGTTCAGCTTCATTCATAATCACAGAAATGTAAATTATAACCACGGCAAGAGTCAAGTACTTACTTACTATAAGGTGTAGAAACAAAGAGACTGAATTTAATAGACAATGGTAATGCAAAGGAGTGTGAGAACATCCCTAGTGCTAGAAAGCAACTTCACTTTCCACTATACCATCACTACATTTTTTTTCCTTTTTAGGGTTGACCTATAGATTCTATTCTGACTATACTGCATAGCCATTAAGAATAGACCTGCTTGAAGAGCATGAACAGAGAATGGACAACAACAGCATTTTTCACAGGTCAACAAGAGGAACTACCCAATGCCTATCAAACAGAAGAGCTAGTCACAATACAGCACCAAGACAATGGAATGCTAAACAGTTTTTAGAAAACACTGCAGAATCTCCCCAATTCAATGTTGACCAAAACAAACAAGAAATCAAATCCTACTGCAAGAAAAGAAACATTTTGCAAATCTGCTTGTCTAAAGTACAAGATCAGTTGAAACTAAATGTTGCACAGGATAGTAGTCACCTCTGGGGAGGGGAAGAGGAGAGTGGTTGGGATTATGCAGGAGCAAGCTGCCAGGATACTGGCAATTCTTAATTTCTGCCCATAAAATTTACCAGTTGTTCATTTGTTTTGAACAGTTTTATTTATGTGTGATTGAAAAAATTGGAGAAAAAATACATTACTAAACATTAAACAAACACAAGGCTGGGTGTGGCTGGCACATGCCTGAAATCCTAGTGCTTAGGAGATGGAGAAAGGAAGATCAGGCACTTGGGTTAAACAAACATATCACAGGTTACTGAGTGTCAGTAAATGGTTTAATCTTAGTGTCAAGTTTATACTTGAACTCTTACTGTGAACACTTCAATTTGTCCCAGTTAACAATATGGCTTTGGGTGTCATCAACTTGCTACATTAACTGTATGAAGATTTAGTAGCATGGAATCATTACAATGAAATAGATAACAGACTACAATGCTGCAGTGAAAGCTAAGCATGCTAATTTTCCAATGACTTTCAAATACCTTCATGAAGAAATGTCATATCTTTCTTGACAACAGGGAAGAGTGGAATAATTGGAGGCTGCATGCTTTGACTACTAAGAATATTTCTGTATTTTGCCATGTTTCTAGATGGATCAAAAAGGTCTTGTAGATCTTGGAGATGTTTCTCATATTTGCTTGGTAACTTTTCCCAAGTGCCTCTGAGTCGTGCTACAGGTGCCAGGTTCAAGCCACTGTCAAAGATGAGAATAAAAACATTAAGAATGGATTTAGAGGAAAGGTTAGGCTTAGGTCAATAAACTACACAACCAAGACCTACAGTGAAAAAACAGAAAAAGGCAGGACCCATTTTAATATTTTGAAAGAGAGAAGAACTATGAAAAAATAAACAAAAGGGACTCCTTTAAGCTGTAAAACACGAATCTCTTTCAGAGGAATTCTAGTAGCATATCAGTTGCTTTATACTTGGCATTTAAGAGAGAAACCTAACAATCACATAAAAGTTAACTTAAAAGGAACTCGAGCATCACAGTGTTGCTTCACACAGATTTGAAAATGGCTTAAATGATGCTGAGAATGACATGAATAATAACTGACCGAGGTAGAGTCCTGATTCAAAAGTTTCCATCCATGGTTCCAATCTTGTCCCCTAAGTCTGTAGATACCCACTATCTCCTTTCCAGGACTTTAAACAAGTTCAGATATCCCTTAACCTGAAAATATAATTCATGTCCATCAGGCAGACTTCCCCCATTCCTTTACTTTCATGCTGCACACCAAAGGTAAGCTATGATAAACAGCGTGTATCTAACACATCTCAACATTCCTACAGCTTAGTCCTTTGTTTCTCAGGTATATGATCTTTACCTATACCACTATGTGAGGTAGGAGCTAAATGTTTGTTACTCATTGTTTCTAAGAAATCACATCCCCACTACTGTAAGAAGAGTAAAACAGAAATGTAAGTCCACCTCTATTGAAACTCAGAGAGATCCAAGTCCTAAACTAGACTGATTGCCAAAAATTAGCCAGGAGTAAGTAAAAGTACCCCCCCCCCAATGACATTTGTAGCTAAAGAGGGATGGCTGGAACAGTAGTGCTCCAAAGATGGAAGGGAAAGATTTGGAACAAGAACATAAAGGTCTGTGTGGTGACATCAGGCAGGGTTGATCTCTTCAACATCAGAATCAGGGGAAGTAATAGCAAATCAGTGCCTGTAAAGATAAATCATACTTGCTAAGAACTGTGCCCCTGCTTTTCTCTCACATGAGCTTCTGCAAATAGCTAGCACAGGAATAGAAGGAGAAAAAAGGAATTTACGTGTAGCAAAATAATAGTTAAAGAATACCTGCCTAAGGAGGATAAAGGATAAGGCTTCCAAATTTTATGAACCCAGAATAGTACTGGCATTATAATTCACAAATAAGCCATAAGACCATCAAAGATAAATGATAAAACAGACCATGATTATATACATATATGTATACATGTATGTGTACATATATATATATATATATCAGACTAGAAGGGTAATTTATTACTGTGAACTATTAAAATAATTTACTATTCTAATTATGATCATGTTTGATACTAAAATATACAGGCTGGGGGTACAGCTGAGCAGCAGAGACAGAAGATCCTTGGGGAAAGGTGGCTTTCCAGACTAGCTGAACTGGCAAATTCTGAGTTCAAGTGAGAGTTGACTACAGTATGTAGATGGAGCGTGATGGGAAGACAAGCAACATCAGCTTCTGACATTATCTACATTGAAAAGACCAATGCTAAAAGAATACACCCAAATATACACATATGCACCCCCTTCCCAAAACTTTTCTGTTTATAGACATGAGATACCTAAACAGATAATGCCTTATATGAGAAAAAATCATTATACAGATAATTGTACAAACTTACCTTATTATTGCAAACATGGAATTGAAATTCTTGCATTCTCGACAATGGAGGGCAATTTTAATAAAATGTTTAATAATCTTCATTCTTTTGAGCTGATTGGATTCACTTAAAATCTCTGAGGCAACCCAGAATGTCTCTTGGTTTACAATGTCCTCAAATTGTTTCAAGTGAGTATTTCCTGTCTTGGAATCTAATTTAAAAAGATCATCAATGTATTCAGTAGGCTCAATATTACGAAACAAATCAAAGTCCCTCATTGACAGCTGGGTGGCAACCTCAATGGTGCTGAGCTGCAGCATGGACAGTTGGCTTTCCTTAAGTAGTTCCTGGGCATCTTCATCAGAACATAATGTTTCTGTTTCCATGTTATTTTTTAGGTAATACCTAAATGAGAAGGAAATTATAAATGTGGTCATAAATAGATTTCATGACTAAGAACATTTTCTTGACATACTTTTTGTTTCCCAAAGTACAATTTTATGGTTAGCTTTTTAGCAAAAATATTAGACTATTCACTTACAGATGAAATGGGAAAATAAAAGACATCTTGAGAAGTTCTACTTCCTGCCATTTGACATCTATTATTGCAAAAATTATAAATAATGATGAAAATTACCTTGAAGTCAGTCATTTTTAGAAACCACTCATGCGTGAACCATCATGTGTTGTTCATGTCGGTTCTTTGGGGCAGTGATGGGAAACTAACACAGAAAATAGGGTGCTGGACAAGTGGGGTCACTGCTATAACTAAACTTTATCAAATAGTTATTAAGCTTTTAGAACTGGCTGGTGGGAGGAAACTGCAAGACCTTGGAAATGTGGGACATACAAGTCCTAGAATGTCCTAAGTACAGCTCAGTGGCCTATTTTAGTTGGAACTCTGAGGAGAGAATACCAACACAAATGTGGACAGTTAGGGTTATGCCTGAGTACATTAAGATGGACTACTGGATTAGAGGTCACCTGTGATACACTCTGGCAAAGAACATTTTGTTCATGTTCTAAGACTGTTAGAGGCAAAGTTTAAAAATAATTTAGGCAGAGGATATTTCAATCTTGATAAGATACTCAGGTTGTGGGACAATGCCATTACTAGCTGCTTTTACAGTAAGAATTGGGAGCAAAAAGCAAGAGTAGAATCTTTAACTTTAACCAGTCTATGTGATGTTGGGCCTAAGGAGGGCATGCTTTTAAAAAAGATGAGTATCATTTAAAGAGGTGGTTCTCAACCATCCCAATGCTGTGACACTTTAATATAGTTCCCTTGTTGTGGTGACCCCCCCAAACCATAAAATTATTTTTGTTGCTATGTTGCTACTGCTATGAATTATAATTTAAATATCTGATACACAGGATATCTGACATGTGAACCCTGTGAAAGAATCTTTCAATCCCCAAAGGTTGCAACCTACAGGCTGAGAACTACTGATTAAAAGCAAGCAAAGAACTCTGCATCAAGATGAAAGGGAACTGTCTTAAGGGCTTATCAGGACTTGGCCAGACTTTTCCTGCTGCAGTTAAAAGAGGGTAAACTTGTAAATGTATTTTAAAAAAGATTCTGGTTGGACCCAGTAGCACAGGTCTCTATGTAGACCAGGCTGGACTCAAACTTACAAAAATCTAACTGCTTCAGTCTCCTGAGTGCTGGGATTAAAGGGTCCCCAACACCATGTCCTCTAAATACAGTTACTTGGGAGTATGAAACAATAAGATTTTATCAAGGTGTACTTAGACAATTTGATGAGATCCTGTCTCAAAAATAGTAAATTAAAAAGAGAGGGACTTTGGATATAGCTCAGGAGCAGGTCTTATCACGTTAAAGGCTCAAGGTTCCCTTGCCAGTACTTCAAAAATAAATACAGAATATGTAAGTGAAAAACTTCTTTTTGAAAAGAATGAGCTACTGGGACACCTTCTTAGCACAGTGCCACTAAATAAAGCGTTTCCTAGGATTAACTATATCATGTTAAACCATCTAGTTATTTATAAACCACTGCAGCTAGAATCCAAAGGGGCTTGCTACTTACTGCTTAGTCTGGCAGCAGACTGTGTGGTACTGTCTATGTGATAATGCTTTTGCATGCATGTACATTAAAAGAGTAGTCATGGAAGCTTCCACCAAGATTTTTCAAAGAAAGGCTGGAAAACCAGGCAATGTGTGAAAGAGTCAAGAATCAGCCATTGGGCAGGTTGTTAAGTAAGGCAAAAGGTTAAGATGAAGGTTCAATGGAGACTCCAAGATGCTGGAGAGGCTATCAATGTGGAATGTTTGACAAGCCAAAAAAAAAAAAGGGGAAATAGTTCAGAAGGTCACAAAGGTGAGTCTTCCAAAGTCAACAGTATCCTGGACGCAGGCATGGATCTATAGGATTAATGTTTGCCTAGATGGATTTCTGTCTTGTTTTTTTCTCGTATTACTCCTACTTGGAATAGAAATGTTTACCTGGTGCCACTTTCATCTTTTTTTCTGTTTGTTTTTTAAATTCTTCAAGATTCACAGCTAAGAGTTTGTCCTGAATCTTAGAAGAGACTTTGGACTTGGGCAGAATAAGCTGTGTGAAACAAGCTGGAGTATTTAAGATTTTTGAAGACTCTTAGAAGATGGGATTAAATGTGTTCTGCATTTTGAGACTGCATGAGTCTTTAGGGACCAGGGTGGAAGGTTATGACTTGAATGTGAAATATCTCAAATGGGCTCAGGTGGCACACACCTTACAAGTAGGTGGAGCTGGAGACAACAGGTCACTGGGCCATGGGGTCATATTTCTGAATGTTATTCCTGGCTGCCATGATGGGATCTACTTCTGCTCTGCTATATACTCCCTGCTATGATGGACTGCAAACAAAATATATCATTTCTCCATGAAGTTGTTCTTGTCTGGTATGTTGTGACAGCAATGAAAAATTAATATAATATCTGGCATATGGGTAATATTACATAAATATTTGTTGATGGAGAATATGACTTCTGACTGGCATGAAAAAGCACATGGATTAACGACTTGTTTTCATCCCTATTCCGTAGTTGCTACTGGATCCATTTTCTCCTCCATTCCTGTCTGAAACTTCCAAGTGAGACAAGTAAAAGTAGATCTACAGGTAGAAGTTCTTAGTGGTTTTTCCTATGCTAACTATAACTTGCATCTCAGCAAGTAGTATAGATCTGTCCTTGTACAAAATACCTTCATGTCTTCTTCTCTTTAGACAGAATCTCTATGGTACTTCACACCTGAGACAGGTCCTACACTATTTACAGATGGACATAGATTATTTAGGTTTGTCCTCTCTCCTCTTTATGGGAGACTAAGGACCCCTCCAAGATCCTATTTATATAACTAGGGAGACGAAAACTTGACAAGAAGAGAAGTTTTTAATCTTAGAACTAAGTAGCAAAGCAGCATGGTGTTTCTACCTAAAGCATGAATTTTTATAGGGAATCTACAAATAGCACTTTGTGTATTCAAGAATAAGCTCATTCACCTTCCATTGAGTTGAATTCTATCAGCTAATTTGGAGAACTGGTCCGGAAGTCTTCTCTGCTTTATGACACCCTCAGGAGTAACAGAAACTTCACAGAGAGAGTATGTCTCAGATGTACCAGTCAAACCAAATTCCTGAATGGCTTGGCAGACCACTTCTTTAGCTGTGGTATCTTTACTGATGATAATGTAGCAACTTTGTTGATCTGCTTTGAAAACTCTTATAACTTGATCAGGAATATCTATATAAACACAAAGATGAGCCTTAGTATTTTAAAAAGTAACATTTAAACACCTCAATAATCAATTTGGAGTACAAGGATCCCTCCAAACAGTGGAATTTATTTTATACAGGATATGAAAAAAAATGTATTCATGTTGTTCAGAAGATACTAATAGAAGTTTCACAGAGATACAAATTGTAACAATACAATTTAGAAAACATTTTTATTATAAACATTTAATGTTATTATTGTTCTATAAAGCTATTTTTATTGTAAATAATAAAAATAATGCATATAGGCATTTTGCCTGCATGTATGTTTATGTTTCACACATGTGCCCAGTGCCTTCGGAAGCCAGAAGAGGATACTGGATTCCTTAGGACTAGAGTTATAGATGATTGTGAACTACCATGTGGGTTCTGGGAATTGAAGCTAGGTCATCTGGGAGAGCAGTCAATGTTCCTAATCATTGAGCCATCTTCCTAGCCAACAAGCTTATCTATTTTTAATAAGGATGGAGGGACAGTAGTCCATATGTATTGAGTGTGTATATGTAAACACAAATGCAGGTGTTACTGGAACCTAGATGCACTGGATCTTCTTGGAGTCAAACATCATGGGATTACCATTTCCTATCACGATAGAGGATATGATAGAGAGCAGCAACCCCCACCCCCATCAGTAGATAAAATGTTAGCTTTTTAAGGAATCTGACCAGTACTTCAGTGGCAACTCTCAAAAGCCTTTGAACAGGTATGTGTATTTTCTAGGTCTTTAAGGATATCTTTTTTTTTTTTTTTTTTTTTGCCTTTGAGAAAGAGTCTCTTTATGTAGTACTGTTAGTTCTGGAGCTTTCCATGTAGACCAGGCTGCCTTTCAACTCACAGAGGTCCTCCTGCCTCTACCTCCCAAGTACTAGGGTTTTAAAGGTGTACACCACATCTAGCTTCTAATACTTTTTGGCACTCCCTGTGTTTCTTCCTACTGCCTCACATTAAGACACCAATACTTACTCCACTATAAAGTAGCAAGCATTTTCCTAGCTTTTATTGCTTTTCTCTTTTTTTGGGGTGGTGGTGGTTGTGTAATTTTTTATTTTGTTGATGTGTGAGTTTGTGAGTGTGCAGGTAGAGCCAGAGGTTAACATTAGGTTATCTTCTAAAATGGTTCTCTTCCTGTCTTTTAAGACAGGGTCTTTCACTGAACCTGGAGTTCCCTGATTATGCCAGATTGATTAGCCAGTGAGAGTCCCTGAGACCCTCCTACTTGCTACTTCTCCAGCCCTGAGATGGTTGGTGTGCATTGTAGCACTCATTTTTTTTTTTAAAACATGAATGCTAGGTATTAAAACTCAGGTCCTCTTGTTTGTACAAAAAATACTTCACCTACTGAGTCATCTCCTCTGTAGCCCATTTTATCAGTTTCATATTATATTTACTTTCTTGTTTAAGAGGAAAGTGCTTAAATGTTCATATGGTTAAACAACTCAATCTTTGTTCTGTGATTCTGCTACTAGCAAATAAATTCTATGTTCACATGATATGCATGTGTAAACATTTCCTTCCTCTGTCTTGCTTTTCTTCTAAAGGAAGTGCTCACATCTCTAGAACAATGCTTACTGCAATGGTAGACAGTAAAAATGAACAGTGACACGACAACATAAACGCTAAGCTTCCATAGGAAAATAAGTTGTATTTATAAATCTGAATATTTATTGTTGTGACTAGTGATGATGGCAGTTGCTTTATACTGTTTGTTCAGCATTGTCTTTCTAAGTACTATATGCATCATTAGTTGAAAAAAGGAACCAGTTTCAAAAGGGAAGATGAGAATAATGGAACAAGCACAGCAAGAAACAATTCTACAGAATAAAATATGCCCACGCCATTGTACCATAAAAATGAGAATACAGAAAGAAGTCTGCTCCCAGGACTAAAAAGTTCAACTGAATATATATGGATGTGATTCTACTCGATAGCTGCTGGAAGCTCTTGGTCAAGTTTATGTACTCAGTAGTCTCTGCTCTAGAAAGAGGTAACAAGCTGTCTTTCTTTGACATATCTAAAGATCTGAGTCATTAATACTTCTTGCTCAGATTTCTTGCAAGTGAGTGTCTAAGTTGTAGCTAATAGCACCATTATTCTTGAACTTATATAACTTAAGGTTGGACAGTTTTATAATCCACCCAAATAAGTTATGCTTCTCTGCCCTAGTGCTGGAAATTCCTGTCTGCAAATGGAAGTGTGTTGTCAGAAGGAAAGTGAGTGAAGGGGTTTCACAGTACATTTTCTTAAAAAAAAAAAAAAAAAAAAAAAGAACCGAACCATACTTGTTTGTACCTGCACTCTTCATGAACTGGGCCCTAAGTTCCAGGAGTGGGTTTCTTTGTTAGGGCTTTGGAAATAACCTCAGCAAGAGATTCTTACTTATCTTGAGGGAATGACAAAATATCATTTATTATTACCATCTTTAGGGGAAATATATCCACAGACAGGGTGGGGATTTGCAGAATTTCACTCTGTTCTTGGGAAGGAACACAGAGTTTTGTATCTTGAACAAGGCTAAAAAGCTGTACTTTCTAAAGCCATTTGTTCCTTAGGGGAAAGACAACATTGTTCTGTAGCCACATAACAAAAAGTCAAGTATAAAAAGAAAATAAAAGGTGCTAGAAGAAATCTGTAAATAGAATTATCCAAAGGCATCACAACTAAAACCCTGATGAATCTGTCAATGTAATCAAAACCAACCTGGAAAACAATGAAATCAGAAGAAAACAGTATCTCCTCATTGGCACCAGCAAGAGTATAACCTTTGTTTTAGAATCACTGTATGTTCGTTATTTACAAACACACTGCAAGATGAAGAATCACATACAGGGCTAAACATAGTATTTGGGTCATGACAGATGTAGGCATGATATAGAATTAGAGGAACAGTAAATATGAGCTCAAAAGAATAAAAAAGGAAAAATGTTATAATCACATCAAATTCTAGTCATGAAGCAAAAATGCATCCACACAAAAAATTCCATTGAAAGAAAAGTGCTTCTTTTGGGGGTGGTGGTACTGAGAACCAAACCCAGGACTTTTTTATATGCTGGGCAAGAGTTTTGCCATTAAGTGATCATTGCAGTCCCAGAAAGCCATGCTTTAAAAGACCTTGGAAGCATATGATATTTACTCATCTAGAGATTCATATTTTATTTATATATACCTGATTTGTTTGTTTTGTGTGACAGGTATATGGGTGGAGAGGACAAACACATGCCATAGCACTCATATGGAAAGCAGGACAAAATCTGTCCACATCACGTGGACAGGCTTAGTGGCAAGTGTACCCTTACCTGCTGAGCTATCTCATTAGTCCTCAGATTTTAATTTTTATTACATTCTTTTTTAAAAAAATATTTATTTTGTAGACAGTGTTCTTCCGGCATATATGCCTACACACCAGAAAATGGCACCAGATCTCATTATAGATGGTTATGCGCCACCATGTGTTTGCTGGGAACTGAACTCAGGACCTCTAGAAGAGCAGTCAGTGCTCTTAACCTCTGAACCATCTCTTCAGCCCCCCAGATTTATTTTTAAGAAACCAAATTAGACAAATTAAACAAACAGAAATTCCGGATATCTGGATTTTTAAAGCTAGAAACACACTTCTGGAGTGCTAACTTAATTTATTTTTAAAGATTATTTGTGTGTGTGTTAATAACCTGTATAGATGAGCACCACATTTGAGTAGTTCTGTTGAATCCCATGGAACTGACTCTGGATCCTCTGAAAGAGCAGTCAGTGCTTGAAACTGCTGAACACTGCTACAGTCTCTAGAGTGGTATCTTTGATTCAGTATGAGTAAAAATAAATAAGTACTTTTAAGGAGCTGGGTGTGGTGGCTCATGCCTTTCATCCTTGCAATTGGGAAGCAGAGATCTTAGTGGGGGGCAGCCTGGCTTACCTAGCTGATGGGGGAAGTCCTGTGTATATGTCAATAAAGCACTGTTGGCCAATATGGAAGTAAGATAGGTGGGACTAAGAGTCGAGGAGGACTCTGGGTAGGAGAAACACAGGGAGTCAAGATGTAACCGCGATAGGGACAAGAAGCCTGGAAACTTCTCTCCGGTAAAGAAATACTTAGATTAACAATTATGGGATAAATACTTAAGTCAGAGCTAGCCAATAAGAAACAAGCAAGGCCAACAGCTTCATAATTAATACAGCGTCTTGTGTGTTATTTGGGGACTACAACGCGGCAGAGCCCAGGTGACTGGCGGGTGATAAACCAAAGCTGCTGGCAAGGAAAAGGTTTCTCTTTACATCTAGCAAGTTCCAGGACAGCCAGGGCTACACAGAGAAACTGTTTTAAAAATAAAACCTTTCAAGGATATACTGACCTTGAGATCACACTAAAGAAGGAATAATTTTTCAGGTATTTAGAAGGATCATAAAGAAAATAAAGTTTACTTTTTCATTCTTTTTTTTTTTCCTGAACCCGTGTATCTACAGTGTTCCAAGTGATGAAAATAGACTGTTAAAGAAGAAAGGTAGTCTCTGATCTCAAGAAATTCACTAATAGTGGTTCAAGAAAGTGGTTCAAGGAAAGACAGTAACAAGTAGGACAGCTCACAAAAACCAAGGCATGCCCTAACACACACATCAAAGGTCATGGGAGACTAGAAAAGGTCAAGAGTTGCCAAACTTATCCTACTCATATCAAGAAATAATGAGCATTTTACTTTAAGGCACTTATACAATGAGACAAAAATTTCCACAAAACAATGCAAATATAAAACAGGTGGGAATCCATGAACACAAATACTTAGCAAAGACACAAACCCTATGATTGGGGACTGGGGACTAGTTAAAAGAATTTTACCATCTCTAAAAAATGTTGTTACAACATTACATTAAGATACACAAATATTTAAGGGCTTTGTTAAATAAAATGACCAGTGCAAGTATGTACCATTAAATCTAAGGGATCGGTCAGCAACATATTTTACATTCAACAAAATTTGTGAAAAGATCTAAGTAAATGAATCATTGCTAAACCTGAGAGGTAAAGATACCTGTACTTACCCTTTCTCTAATATTTCCATTAAAAAAGTGAGAATCTTTGTTTATAACTAAAAGCAGCAAAAGGCTTTAAATGCAAGAAAAACTATGTTGACTACAACAGATAAATAGGATTTCAGATACTAAATGAAAAAGTAACCAGAAAGAGTTCTTTATGTAAACTTGGGGGAGGGGGAATCGGATTCAAATTTCATTTAGTCATGCTGATTTTTTTTTAAGATGGGTCTCATATAGTGCAAGGTGGTCTCAAACTTGCCATGTAGCTGAGGATGACCTTGAACTTCTGATGCACCACCTAAGTGTTAGGATTATAAGCCTGTGCCATTATGACAGCTATGGAAGCTGCACAGACTTAATTCAGGCCTTCTACATGCTAAGCAAGCATTCTATCTAAGCTGCATTCCCAGCTCCATACTCTAAATTCTTTTAAGTTTGACCTTATGTTAGATGAAAAAGTACTTCCACAAGTATTCCAGGACACATGTCCACCAAGACAGACAAACAGACAGACACACAAACACACACAATATTTCAAAATACTTTTCACAAGTTGTGAAGTGGCATGTATATTCTGGCTCTATATGAAGACAAAAACATACATAGTCAGAAAATAAGAGGATTCACATCAACGAGCAAGTACTACCTCTTCAGTGGAAAGAGAACTCTGCTTCCTACTTCACTGAGTTCTCTATCATATGGTCTTTTTGAAAATAAACTATACACAAAAGACAAAAGAATGCTAAGATACTTACAGTAAAAACCAACAGCTGTAGGCAGCAAAAATAAAGCGAAATTATAAAGAGTCAGTAATAAAATCAAACTATTCAGTAGTTCTGTAGCTTTGCTTGCACTGCGATTTTGATCCAGTAAGGACTTTATACATACAGACACAACATAGCTGAGCTTGACTGACAAACATCAATAAATGCTGGCTAATGACACACAGTCACTGCAATCAAGTATGTGCACCTACTAAGTTTCAGTATTGCTGTTAAATGTAAGGAGCTGAATTTGAAACTGGTAATAACTTTTCCCAACAAAAATACAAATACTATATCACTAGATAAGTCTTTCACAAAGCTGTACATTTTGGGGTCTCAAAAGTGAAATATCACAGACATGCACACATGCTGCAGTCTCAGTTGCAATACTTTTCTAAGCAGATTTAAAAAAGCATCTCAGAGTCCTTTCAAGATGTTTTCAAGGAGAGAATGGAGAAACCAATCGGAGAGCAATTTGAGAAGTACTTGCTCCTCAGGGCTGACTCTCAGTTCTACAGGTGGAATATTGCCTACCTCCTTTTTCCACTTCTCCTTCTTCTTCCCCTCAAGTCCCTCTTTATTACGTCAGCACCACTTTCTAATTATTTACTCATTTATCTATTTATTCATTTATTTTTGTGTGTACACAGGTATGAGGAGGTCAGAGGATAACATACAGGAATCAGTTCTCTCCTTCCATGTGGATTCCAGGGACAAAACTCTGGCTGTCAGACTTGGCACAAGTATCTTAACTTTCTGAGGCAATATGCTGGTTGTCTTCATCCCTAGTATAAATGTTTAGGACAGCAATATAGCCATATGAATCAGCAAACTCAAAAAATTATATGCATTTTCTAAATATCTGCTTTCAAAAAACCCCATGAATATTTAGATTGTTCTCTGGGAGTGTAAAAATCTTTTATTTGTGAATCTTCTGTGGAGTGTAAGAAATAGCACTGTAGAACACACACACACAAAGAGAAACAGATTTTGATTCTACCACATGATGAACGTGAGAAGTCATTAAAATGTGCTGAAAGTGATGATGATAGTATGAGGACCTGGGCTTGAGCACTAGAGAGCTAACACATCAGAGTAAGAACAGCTCACTGGATGTGCAGAGAACCTATAGGTGGCAAAACACACGGAGGCAGAGTCTTTAAGTGCATGCCTCTTTCAAGAAATGATGAAGTAACACGTTGTCAGAACAGGTGACTAGAAAGAAGTTCATTCCTGAAACTCGTCCTCAGCCTAGTGCAGGCATTTCTTTCATGTTACAGAACCGAGGCCATCCTGCTCTTCTGTCTGTGACACCTCAGTGCTCACCTTTTCTGAAAGCAAATACTTAATTTTATATGCTGGCAGCCAGTTTTGTATTTATTTCTAATTTATCTCCTGATACAACACTCACTAATACAGGACCTGCTAGAACTTTCAAAGCAAAGCAATGATTCACTAAAATCTCTGTTCTACAGTCTTGACAGCCTTAATGAAAAAAGGATGTGTAACACCAGTTTGCTGAGTGCAGTAACTCTATCATAAGTTGGGAATGGAAGGAAACAATGTACACAACTACTTTCACTAGTCTGTTTTTGTTAAACCTCGGCAGTTATTAGGTTATAAAAAAATCACAAGAAATAATGTACAGTACAACCTTCAGTAAATGCATTGTTATGTTGAAGGGTTTATTATGTAAGTTGCTTTACGTAAACACAAACTTTACTTTTTCTTATTGGCACTGAAATATATGACTGAGCTCCCTTTGTGAACTAAAACTGAAAACTTAAGCTGAATCAGAAACACTCTGAGGGATCATTTCTCCTGTTTCTCCCTTGGTTTCAATTACATATTCAATTTTTCATTTTTTCTTTTCTTGAAAAGTGATGTATGGTATATAATCAGTTCTTTAAAATGAAATTTTAGATCATACACTTATGTGACATTTTATACCTCTGGACATTGACACCAATTCATATAGAAACTAACTTGATATTTTCATTAGTAGTGAAAACAATACTACACTCTGATAATAATTCTTGATGAAACCAAAATACATGTCCCCCAAAAAACTTTAGCTTAGGTGCTGAGATATAAAGAAATTTTATATCCATTTATTTTCATTCCATCATATCAATTTCTGAAAAATACCACTGAGGTTCTTTTATTACTAACTTTCAATTTAGAGATAAGTAATATGCTTTTGTAAAAAGACAACATTCCCTGGCTTTTGACATGAACTAAAAAACCAGAGGTAAAATCTGCAGACAAATGCAGTATTTGTTGCACAAGACTCAAGTTAATTGTTTATTAGGTACAAATCTGGCCATATGATGTCACATGGAAGCATTACCTGAAGGATTGGAAAAGTCCAACATGCTAGTGGTGGGCTGCAAGAGGTCTGGGCTGCTTGATGAGAGTGTTCCAGGGATTGGCATAATAGCCAGACTGTGCCTACAGTGTCTGGTTCCCACAATGCTGTCATCTTGTGATTGGCTCAGGCCTCCATCACTTCAAAAGAAAGACATACCTCACTTTCAAGTATTAGAAGGCACATAGCAAACAATTTGCATTCCTAGGTACAAAGCCATAACAACAAAGTCAATTCAGTGTGATGACTTAACCAGCTAAGATTAAAACATTTCAGCAACCAAAAAGAGTAATTATAATGGAGAAACAGCAATGAAATGTTTTTTTGAAAACTACATTAAAACGGAATATAAAGTGGAAGTAATTCTATTATCATAAAAATGTTGAATTTGCTTCCTCTTGTTTTGGTAGAGAAACTCTGAATGTTTAGGGACTACTTGAAATTTGCCAGTTTTTGGCTTTTGGGATCCCATTTCCTAGGAGAGATACCTTGCTCAGTCTAGACATGGCTAGACCAGGGGGTGGGAGGTGAGGGGGATGAAGGAAGGAGATTGGTCCTGCCTCAATGTGGTGATGGGACAGTCTGGTTGACTCCCTATGGCGGGAGAGGGGGGTGGCGGTGGCAGGCTTATCTTCTCTGAGGAGGGAATGGAGGATGGGATGGGGAAGGAGAGGGAACTGAGATTGGTATGTAAAATAATAATAATAAAAAAGACATTTGCAGTCTCATATTTCAAATATATTTACTGAGCTATATATAGCCATACCATGGGAAGTGTCTCCTCAAACACATGATAATCAAAGGTGATTTAAGTGAGTAAGAGTAAGTTCTCTTTTAAGGTTTCAAAAACACGTATTAACTAAAAAGCCATTACCTACGGCAACAAGAAACTCTTCTCTTAAATTACTTAGAACTGTTAGAAACTCTAAATCACTGGAAGGAAAAACATAAACACTGTCAGTTAAACTGTGTACTTCCCAAATATTAGTTTAATTATAAAGTAAAACTATTCTACAGAGCTTAAGATCACAATGGAAAAGATTTCCATCATAATCAATGACCAAAATAAGAGTTCTCTCCCTAAGTTGACTTATGTTGAAATATGGTCTTTAGTCTCTGTTCCCATGTAAATTTTACTCAGCATAGCCTCTTGTTTTGTACTTGCTATAGAGAGGATCACAGAACACTTACCTATTATCATGGTAAAAAATGAGTGATGTGGGAATATATAGAATATATTAAAGCAAAATTAAGATTTAGGCAGATTATGAAATAAAACAAGATGGAGAGTAGCAGACTGTTAATAGCAAGAAAAGGAAGACAGCAAGGACAAGGGAGAGCTGCATAGGCAGGGAGGCATGAAGGTGTGGCATGGGAGGAACAAATTGTGATGGCAGACAGACTGTTAATTTGCTAGTTGTCTCAGGTAAATTCCTTTCTCTACCTAGCCATTGGTTGACAGACTACTATAAGGACTAAGTCAGCTAAGTGGAGGAAAATGGCATTCCTGTTTTTATGAAGAGAGTCAAGTACTTTCAACAAATTAAAATGAGAGCAATTCAAAGCTAGGGAGGAGGAAAATTTTGATTGACAATGAGAAGTAAAGGCACAACAGTAAAACTTACACAAACAATGGTATTTACTACCAGGGAGAAACATCAATCTACTTTTGGGAGAAGACAGGTTTTATCTGGTGAGTCATATGTGCTTACCCTAAACTAGCTCTCTACAACTTGGTTTGCACTGCTGGCTGTCACGAAAAAACATTTTAAGATTAGCCAAGAGGAGAAAAGAAATGCTGTTGAGTATTTACATCATAAAAAGTATAAAGATGGATGTCTAAACAATACTTTCTATGATTTCTGAAAACAAACCCACCAATTTTTGGATTCATAAGGTAAGGTAACTGAATCCAAGGAAACAAACCTTTAAGGAGGTGATCAACTCTCACTAACAAAGCAGAAGAAATTACAACACAACTAAAATTAGGATTATTTTTGATACAGAGTCTCATGTAGGCTTGGTTGACTTTCAACATTCTAGTAGTGAGAATGACCTTGAATGCCTGATCCTCCTGCCTCCGCCTCCAAAGTGTTGGTATTCCATGATTGCAACATCATATCTGGCTTATGTGGTATCTGGGTTCAAACCCACAACCTTTCAGATGCTGGGCAAGTAATCTGCCAGTTAAGCCATGTCCCCAGCCCTAAGTCAGAATTTTTTGTTAAAGGGAATTCACTAAAGAGACAAAGTTCACAGAATATTAGAAGTTCTTAATATTAATTCTTCTTTTTTAATAATCAACAACTATAACACTATCTTTAATAATTAGCAGATTCAACACTATCTAGCTATACTCATGGAAAGCAGGCTATAAACTCATGGTATATAGGGTGTGAGCATGTAGACATGAACACTCTGTCATGCACAATTCAAGCTATGACAGGAATGAAACAACTGGCAAAAAAAATACATGCTTAAAGTTGAACTGATAAAGCCTATTTGAGAAGTAATTATGCCATGTCTTACCAAAACAGTCTCCTGAGAGGTGATGCAGTAACAGAAACAAGACATTTGAAAAATTCCTCAATAATTAGTTCCCTGACACTACATTTATTTATAATAAAAGTAATTAGTTTCATTATGAAACCAAAGAGGTCCCAAAACAGCACGAATGTGCACATGAAAAATAACCCCAAAATTAAAAGCAAACAAAAAATACACTGACACTTGAAGAGAAAAATAGTTCTTGACGCAAAAACAAAGCAGTGTGTTTCTAGGGAGATACAGAATAAAAGTTGAGTGATGAAAAAAAAAAAGGGGGGATCTGATTTCCTGAACACTCAAATATTCTCAGGTTAATAAAGTGTACTTTTATCTCATACTTTACAGATGTTCCTCAGATCAATCACTCAGACCAATAACTTATTTTCATTTTGATTTTTTAAGAACAATTTTCCATTTTAAAAGTATGTAATTGCTTGGAATTTAAGGGTTATCTGCTTTTATCCAAAGTAGATGCTTCTTTTTTTACATCCTTTCCTTCTTGATCCCACAGATACGTCACAGCCCCTCTGGGCTATGTGGGGGAAAAGTGGAGTCTGCCTTCCATACCTATCCTAAGGAGTCCTGGGCACACAAGAGATAATCAGAAATTACAGAATTAAAATCATAATCTTTCTTTCTTTTTTTTTTTTTTTGAGACAGGCTTTCTCTGTGTAGCCCTGGCTGTCCTGGAATTCACTCTGTAGACTAGGCTAGCCTCTAACTCAGAGATCTGCCTGCCTCTGTCTCTAGTGCTGGGATTCAAGGTGTACACCACCTGGCAAAATTACTTAATTTTTAATTTCAATTAAAAGAATCCAAATATTTAAAGTAGGAAATTTGGAAGATAAAGGAAGAAAGAGTAAAAACTTATTTGTAGTTTATAAAAAACAAAATAAACCCAAAACAGATACCTGGACATTTGTGTCTAACATACCACTTGGCTAACCGCTCTCTTGTACTTGTACTTTTAGTGTACTTATAGCTCTTGTGAGGATTACTTGACTACAGGAGTTTGAGGCCAGCATGGGCAAAACAGCAGGGCATCATCATCCTCATCAACAACAAGTTCTATGGAAAGGGTGTTGCATCTTTGGATAAACATCTATATGGACCATTTGAACTCACATTCTCTGTCTATTATCTACTGACATTACAGTGATGTTTTCTTCCATAAATGATTTTTATGAGTTCTTTAGAAAGGGTAAAACTCTGTAATGGTTTGAATGAATATGTCCCCTATAGGCTCAAATATTCGAACACTTGGTCCCTTAGTTGGTGTTACTGGTTAGTGAGTCTTAGAAACTGCTGCCTTGCTGGAGGAAGTACATCACTGGGAACAGACTTTGGGTGGGCCAGATCTTCTTTGGCTGAGTTTCTGAATGCTAGACTTGTAGCATATGTCCCTACATCTAGCTATACTGCACACTTGTGAAAAAAAAAAAGTAACTTGCTGGATGTGGTGGTGCATACCTGTACTTCTAGCACTTGGGAAGAAGAGGCAAGAGGGCTGAAGAGTTTGAAACTAGGCAGGACTACAGAATGAATACCCTACATGGTGAGATCCTGCTTCAAAAACAGCCAAGAACTAGTGCTATGGTTCAATGGCAGAACACTTGCCTTGCATGGGGAAGGTTTCCCAAAAACTGCTAGAAAAATTTATTCAAATTCACTTTAAATGATTTGAGTGTCAAAATAATACATGGTCTCAAAAATACAGAATAGCTTGTAAGACAGATTAAAAACGAGAAACTAGTTCTCACAAAACTGGTCTCAGACTCTATCTTTTAGGATTTCAGTGACTGAAATGACTGACATTTTACTCTACTGCATGAATACAAGAGATACATAGCCCATTTTTATTTATGTTTGTATTTAGCTAACAGCTTCTTGTGACACAAAGCAAAAAACTCCAAATACTAATAAATGAAAAACTAAATAAAAATATATCTGAATTTAAACAAACCTGTTTCTAGTAGATTTTTCTTCCTTTGTTACAAAGTTATCATGTGGGGAAATGCTCAACTAACTGTTTCTGGTGACAGCAACTTCTGTCTCCTGTTATGAACTGGAATCTACATCTAGTAACCTACTTCACTCTCCGAAGAACATGCATGCCTGCATGCCACTGGTTCAGCTGCTTAGAAAGGGCCTTTAATGAGTCACAATTATAACATTCTCTGATTTTAGATGATATATGACACAATCATGCCACTAGTCACAGCAATGTACTGTCCAATCCACCAGGGCTTCTGGAAATAAAACCCAAGACATTAACTGTTAAAGAACTCTCTATGTGAAGTTTTTTCTGCTTTCTGGCTCCTAGATTTTTTTTCCCCCTTTTTACAGTAACTTCTAGTCCTCTCAAATTCTTCCTAACCTCTTTAGTGTGGGTTACCCCTCTAACAGTGTCTTTACCAAGTCTCCACTGGTCTCCATGTTTGTGGTTTGTGCAATATTAAATGTTTTTGCTATTTTAAAGCTATGGTTTTTGTAATTTACACCTTAATGAAAACAGTGATTAGAAATGAACTAGCACTGAGCTCTAGAGTGAAAACAGAGCAAAGTCAACACATTTCAGTCTCCAGTAAGTGACAAATTAAAAGAGACATTTTTCTGGGTAGAAATAAGAACTCAGGAAGAATATTTCCTGGTAAGATTTGTGTGCATATGATGGGGTGTCCATGTGTGTAGGGAACCCGTGGTTAGCATCAGCTATCTTCCTTAATCCCTCTACATATTTTTTTTCAGACAGGTAACAGAGAATATCTGGAATCAGAGTTTACTAGTTCTGCAAGATTGGATGGCTACCTGTTCTTGAACTCCTGCCAGCACATGATATACACATAGAATGACGGTCTCAAAAAACCCAAATATCAAAAACTTCACCAATAGAACCCAGGAGAGAATAAGTAATGCCAACAGGAAAAAATGTTATTTAAAAACCAAAAAATTACTAGCAATGGATGAACTCCAAAATTTAACATGTCCAAAAGTATAGATCCAGTGATTGAAACTGGACCCAAAACATAAAAATACACAACATGAAACAATCTTTTCTAAAATTCACAACACCAAAAGCTACTAGACAGTGATAAATGCACAGAGATAATGGGGAGAGTTTTAGATTTTACTCATGTATTATTTGCTTTATACATCATAAAATCTTCAAACAGGACTCAGATCTCTTATCCCTACAATAAAAACTTCAGTCAACATGACAATCCAACACAATAGATTGGTATTACCTACCTAAATAGCTTTGGAGGCAAGATACTAAATCGTGTTTTATCCAAAATTTTTCTGATTTTGTTTCTTCCACCTGAAACGGTATTTGCTTTAATTTTCTTATTTCCTTTCTCCTGTGGTATTTGTTCGATATCTCCTGGGACATCTTGGATTGAATGGCGATTACTTTTTTTTTCAGCAATTTTGGGAATATGAGGAACACCAGATTTCTCTTGTTCAGTCCTACTGAGCAATTCTTTGAACACTGTAGAAACAAACAAACCCATCATTTCCTTTTTCTTCATTAAAATGTTTATACCAACACATCTTAAGGGATAAACACTTTATCAGGTTCATACTCATTTTAAAATCACCTGCTAGATTCCCCAAGTGATAAAATGAAGTCATTGGGAATAACCAAAAGGAAATGGTAGGCTAGCAGGATGTGTGAAAACGTGCACTACGTCATCAGACTGCCTGGCCTCACACAGCCTTACCACAGCTGAGCTGCAGCCCAGCCAAAGAGGTTGCTTTTCTTTGCCCTTTCTCCTTTCCTTCACTTCTCTTTCCTGTCTTGCTTTTCTCCCCACCTTCCTTTTGCTGTTTTGACACAGGATTTTGCTTCACAGGTTGGGATTGAACTCTCAGTTACCTTCCTGCCTCGACCTCCCAAGTGCTGGGATGACATGTTATGTGCCACTCCACTGGGCTTGTTAAAACAATACTCAATAGATATTAACTTCACATACTTATGGATATCAGGATATTCTATGCATTCAGGTAACACGCATTATCATATCTTCCATTTTTGCACTCTCCCTCATACCTTTCCTAGCCTCTAGTAATCTTGACCCTGCTTTCAGGTGAATACTGCTTTAGCTGCCATAGAAGAGAGAATATGCCACACTTGTTTTTGTGCGTCAGGCTGGACTACTTTAGTGTAACGTCTTCCACTTCCATCCACTTTGGCTAAGTGTTAGAATTTGACCTCTGTTATGGTTTAATAACCTTGAACATTATATACCATCCTTTTACCTATTAATGGGCCCCAGGCTGACCCCTAATCTTAGCTATTTGCAAAAACAGCAAAAAACAGCATGCAGGTATCCTTTGGTTCCTGACTTCACTTCTTGCGGCTATCCACTGAGGAGTGAGACAGCACTATCACACACTTGTTCTATATAGCTGTATGAGGAACTTCTCATCTTCTCTAAGAAGTCAAGTTACATTGTCACTGAGAGTGTAAAGAGTTCCATTCCCAAGGGCAGCAAACTACAGTTGACCCTGTGGTTGGGTTGAAGGTGAGCCAACCCTGAGGGTGGGAGAGCTGGAGAGCTGACACCCTCTCCCTGCGAGTCTACCATGTGGTAGCATGGATGAGAGAAAGATGCCTTCACTCCCTCACCCATTACTACCTGTGGCAGATGAGACCTAGGGTCGCAAGAGTGGGAGAACTAGCCCTGACCCTCACTGGCTACACCCAGAAGAGCTGACTCCACCCCCCTTGTATACCCCCTACCTTAGTCTCTATTCACTTCTTGTTCTCCATCAACCACAGCAATGTTTGAATATCATGTTTATTTAAAATCTTTCCACCTTTCCTTTCTTTGTCTACTTTAAATCCCACTTCTCTCCATGCAACCTTCCCCCAAAAACAAAACCAAATATAAAAGAAAACAAACAAGAGGGAGGGCCGAGAGAATCTTGTCATGACAAGTGCCAGTTACTGAGAACATTATGTAAAGATGAAAGTGTTCCCTCAATTTCCACAAATGCTCTATAAATTTTGCTTGAGTTAGTCTTTGGTGATCTGCTTGGCTGACAGCACTCTAACTGGAGTAAGGAAGTATGGGCTGGCAATGCCTTCCCTTCTCCAGCTTTCGCAGGACCATGTAGCTCCCTATCCTTGATCACAACCAGCAGGATCCTGGGAGGACAACAGTATTCTTACTAACCAGAGGCTAGTCTTAGGTTATGGCTTCCCTGCCTGCCTTTATATCCACAGGTCTCCCTTTTTCCCCAGGGTCCATGTTACCAAATACTTGGTATTAGTAATCTTTTTTTTTTTTTTGTGACAGGTGCAAAGAATTCTCAGGTATTAGATGCTTAAAACATCCATAAAACACACTTGAGATAGAAACCTTGGTAGAGACTTAATAATTGGTCAAGGTGACAGAGTAAGGGTTGCTTTCATATTTTTCAAAACCAGAATTCTTTAATTTCACCTAAAAGTTTGTATTAGTGGATAGTGTAAATCACAGAAAGTAAAAAACTGTGAAGGCTTCTTTATTCAGCACTAAAGTACAATAATGCTGGAAAACTGCCCATCAACTAGCTAACATGAAGTAATTATATCCAAGGCACTCAAATGAAGAGGAAAATAACAAAACACTTCACTTTTCTCTATGACTGAACACAGTTTAAAGAAAGGCAAGTGAAAGTGGAAACAAATACCCCCCCAAAAAACCCACATCCATCATTTCCTCTCCAAAAAGGCATACTTCTAGGATTCTATTGTCATTCTGATTGCAATCTGATCAAGCTAAAGGGATTTTTCTTCCCCTGCCTTGTAAAAAATAACTTACTGTTATCTTTCTCATGATTTTAGTCAAAATCCAATGGAGTCTAAAGCAAATGATAATCTTTCATAAAAATTACAAAACCAAATGAATGGTGTATTTTGTTAAAAGCAGTTTTTTAAAATAAAGATGTATTTTATTTTTACTCCATATGTGTGTTTTGCCTGCAAATATGGAGTCAGATAACCTCAAACTGGAGTTACAGATGGTTGTGGGCCACCATGTAGGTGCTGGGAATCAAACCTGGATTTCCCAGAAGTGCAGCCAGTATTTTCAACCATGGATCCATCTCTTCAGCCGCCAAAGCACAAGCTTAATACATGTTTTATTCAGATATAAATATGAAAAATAAAGCAGCGCATGGCTGGAGATGTAGCTCAGCTGTAGGACATTAGGGCAGCATTTGTCAAGGCTCTGGGTCTAGCATCTTATATCAAAAAATTGAAGAACACTGTACAGCTGTTATAAACAATTTTACAAAGAAAATAAGGACATGCTGTTTAGAAATCTTACTCATAGATTTCAAATGCTTCACTGAATTTATCTGATGAAACAATTACTCTGGCATTTGACTCATTGCAGAAAGCTGGCTTTGTATATTCAGAGTGGAAAAGAACCTGCTTATGACTTTTAAGCTTTTTATTTGAGTCATTCAAGTTTTATTATTGCATTCTGCACTATATAGTACACAAGAGAAGCTGAATAGATAATCTTATACAAAAAGTTTATATTTTACTATCATCTACCTGACCGAAATGATTTTTCTTTTTTAAAAAATATTTATTTATTATACATATAGTATCCTGTCTGCATGTATGTCTACATGCTAGAAGAGGGCAAAAAATTTCATTATAGATGGTTGTGAGCCACCATGTAGTAGCTGGGGATTGAACTCAGGACCCTTGGAAGAGCAGACAATGCTCTTAACCTCTGAATCATTTATCCAGCCCCCTTACTTTTCTATTTATACAAAATAAAACAAACCTTAACCTTAGTAGCTTTTATAACAAAACTTACCAAAAATGTTGGTCTTCACAGTAAGTGCAAGATGAGTATTATTCCTCAAAATTTCAAGAGCTTTACCAAATGTAATATTTTCAAAGTTTTGTCCATTGACTTCCATTATCTTGAAAATATTTTTAAAATACAAATTAAGAAATAGTATTAGTATCACCTATTACCTCAAAAGTCTAATATTAGAAAAACCAAAATTGAACTTGAATAATCACACCATATATGAGCAATGTTTATTATTTTTAGAAACTGGACTACTATTCTTTTCCTATACTGTATAATTTCCAAATCCTCTATCACATGTGACATAAAAACTCTCAAAGGTAAAGAGGACACAAAACAAAATATTAGGAAAAGAAAAATCAAACAAAGCAAAATTCAGAATTTTAAAATGATACATCAGGCCCAGAATGATGGTGCACATCTTTAATCCCAGCACTTGGGAGCAGAAACAGGCAGATTTCTGAGCTTGAGCCAGCATGGTCTACAGAGTGAGTTCCAGGTCAGCCAGGACTACATCCCGAGACTCAGTCTCAAAAACCAAAAAACAACAAAACAAAAATATGACCTATATCTACATATCAAAATGCCATGGCACTAAGGAGATTCATATTTGAACAATTCTCAGTGACAACTTTGAATCACAAGAACAGAGAATAAAGGTGTTTATGTGTAGGAATTAATAGTAGAAAAGAAAAATAAAGGCTGGTTTTGACTTTATTAAGCAACAACATAGGTGATATTTTTTTGCAACTTTAGTGTTCTTAAGAAATAAATCACTGTTACCACAGAGCTTTAAGCCACACTGAACAAAAACATCTTCAGATCTATACAGACTTATGTCTGTAAAAACAGTAACAACAAGTATGATCTAGACAAAATGGATCATGGAAGAATGGATGCAAGATGCAAAACCATGATAAATTTCATTGTTAGGAATATAAATTTTGGATTTCACTGTTCTCCCATCTACTGTGAGGAATGATATCTTTAAATGTTTTATGATAAAATACTTGAAAAACCATATATATAGACTGGACAACAGGCTTTTCTGTTTCTTTGGAGCCTGTCCTGGAACTTACTCTGTAGACCAGGCTGGCCTCAAACTCACAGAAATCCACCTGTCTCTGCTTCTTGAGTGCTAGGAGTAAAGGTGTGCCCCACCATTGCCCAGCATAATAAATCTATTAATTCTAAGACACTGGCTGTTAAGATATTTTTAATGAGTAGACTGAGGAGTGGGACAATTAAAAAACAAAACAACCAAACAAAAAACTCCCTTAAGGAAATCAAAGGATTATACTACTATTTTTTCTTTCTTCCTTTCTTTTTTCTTTCTTTTTTGAGACAGAGTCTCACTGGCCTGGAACCCAGAGATCCGCCTCTCTTTGGCTTCTGAGTGCTGGGATTAAAGGTGTACATCACCATGCCTGGCCCACCATTTCCCCTCCTCCTACCCTACACCTCCCCATCTTCCCCAGTTTCTGACAATCTGGTCATTGTAGGTTGTTTAGTGGCCTCTATTAACTATGTACCAGCAATAACCCCTAGGTTTTGATACCCAAAAGTTATTTTTTAGGGGCTAGAAATGTAGTGTAGTAGAATACAGTGCTCACCTATCATGTGTGAGGCCCTGGGTTCAATCCCTAGATACATTGTCAACAAACCAAACAACAATGACAACAACACCAAAAGTGTATGTGCACGTCTATTTTTACACATTGCCAAATGATGGTCATATTGTACGTGAACTGAAGATCATCAAGAAAACAACTCTGGTGTACACAAGAGTCATCTATAAAATAAAGACAACAACAACAAAAAAATCCCAACAGATTCCTGACTTTTCTGTTGAGGATGTCATTAATACAATCAGTATGATATAAGCCTATGAATTACATTTTATGCATAGGATGCATTATATCACATTTTGAATTAGGCTACACAATAGCAACTTAATAACTAAAAAGAATAAACCAATCAGGTATAATAGCATATGCCTTTAATTCCAGAACTAGGTGGCAAAATATTTCTGTGAGTTCAAGGCCAGGCTGTTCTACTACATACTGAGTTTAGGGCTAGCCAGGGCTACACAGTGAGACCCTGTCTAAAAACCAAAAATGACAACAACAAACCAAAGAAGAGTAAATCCCTATCTAATTCCTCCCATGTCTCCGTTTTTCCTGGTCCCTCACTTAGTTGATTCTGCTTATAAATGTAGCTGTGGTATCATATAAGCATTAATCAATTTGATGTCATCACTTAATCTTTAGCCACTTACATTTGAAAGTAATATGAAGCATCTATTCCATCAAACTTGTAAGGTGCTAATTCATGAACGTCTTTCTGGAATATTCTGAAGTTGCAAAGGAAAAATTTCCTAATCCTTGGAAAATAGGAAGGGTCACTCAATGGAGTTTATACTGACTGAGCCCTGTAGAACACATGGTTTTCAACCATGCTATTACAAAATTCTCCATCAAAAGTAATGAATATATGATACATATTTTGAAAATAAACCCTATTTAACACTAGGGCTGGAGAAATAGCTCAATTGGAAAAAAAAGTAGGCAGTTCCTGAAGAACAACACTGAAAATTTTCTGTCTTCTAGCACATACATTCTCCTCTCCCCTCCCCCAAAGAAAAGATACAAAAGTAACAGATTTACTACTTACAAAAGTTCTTATTTAAAGTGTGGGATTATTTACCTACCTGATCACCACGTTTCAGTCCTGCATCAGCAGCTTTGCTACCAGGTTCTACTCCTTCAACAAAGACACCAAATCCTTTCTCACTGCCTCCATTAAGGCTGAAGTGCAGGGGTGACTCACGGGATGCCTTCTGTAGCACAACTTGCCTCCACTTAGCTTTTGCAGCACAGGCAATATTCAATAACCTGAGGTGACCATTCATTTTCTATGAAGCAGAAAAGATTAAAATGTACATTTAATACCTATTCCTACAGGCTTTGAAAAATTCTACAGGGTTTTAAAAAGACTTTTAGATAATGAAAGGTTACTCCTGAATCTTCTAAATTATTACTGTACTATCTTGTATACCTCCTGGCTGAAATGGAGTGGCTTCCTTTCTGAATATTGTCTAATACTCGGACATATTCAGAAAATATTTAACTCTTTTGTAAACTCAATAATATTCTAGTTTTAAGTTCTATTCCTATTTTAATATTCAATTATTCTCAAACAGGCAATTTAACAGGTTTGTGAACTTGATATGGCTCTAATAGCTCCCAATATTTTCTCTTTCTTTCAGGGCAGGAATCAAATTTTACATTTGTACATAATACCTTTTAGTGGGAGATTTTAATAAATACTTGATTATTTGTTGGGGATGACTCAATCTTTCCTTCCACTGTCTCTTAAATAACTACACACTGGTACTGCAAGAGTTAAATGATGTTGGTGTGCCTCAATGGTCTATTAGTGAAGTTCCCTTATCTCTGCTCATGTTTCCTCATTTTGCACAGGGAAGATATGCTGCAGGAAAGTCTACAGGGGTAAGGAAGGGACCAGAGCTGTCACTTTATTCCTTCTGTGTTCAACTTAATCTACTCTGGGAACTATGCTCTTGTATATTTTCTCTGTGCCAGTTTGTCTTCAGATTGTTATATTCCTTACCTCATTATAGTCCTCATATAAGCTATAAAAACTGGAGACAACCATTTTTTATTAAGATCTAAGGTATAAAGCTCAGGCAATCTGTTCTAATACACAGCTCTAAGCAGAGGCTAGCTCTAAAACAGAAATGAGTATGAAAGTTACATGGCCTTTTATTTTGGTAGGAATTCTCATCCTAAAACAGATCTGGGAGAAGAGGGAAATTGTTCTGAGTTGCTGTTTTGCTGAGGGAGACCCCTGAATTATGAAAAGAAAAATTCTTACTGTATCTTCCAGATTTTTTTCAAATTCTTCTAGAAATCGAGTCATAGCAGGATCACCTTCAAAATCATTAAAATGATTATTTACCCATAAGAGCACAATCCGGGTCACCTGTGGAATAGGAGAAAGCATATGGTTATGTGACGCATTCCTTCTGTCTGGTCGGCCACTCTTGAGCTTCAATTTACACAAAAGAGGCATGATTTAATATCAACGCACGTTTCCTTTGGTTTTGAAAGAAAAAACAAACTGGGATGTGTATTTCACATAGTGTCTTAAATACAAGTCCCTGTCTGTTGTAAGTGCAGGCACTCGTTTCAATCAGAACACATCATTAAAAGTGTTTCTACAATTAAGCATGCACTTGAGCAAAATTTTTAAGAAAAATAAATCTAAAACTTCACTAAATGTTGCCAAATTTTCAAAGTGGTGAGTTATTTTGTCCAACAGGTTAAGTAAAAAAAATTAAGACATGTGGGTGAAAAGTGGTACACTTCATTTGGTTTTGAGTGGACTTCCATATGTGCAATAATGGTGAACATATGCTTCTTGGCCATGTATAAATTTGCTTCAGTTTCTTGTTGTCATTTGTTCATTTTTCAATCATGTTGCTCATCTTTCAGCTCCTCAGTTCTAAGAATTTTTTATGTATTCTGGTTAGTAGAGCCTTATCAAATCTATGATTTGCAAATCTTTTTGTTGTTTTATGCATTTTCTGCTTATTCCATTTTCATATTCATAAACAGGTCTGAGGTTATTGTTGGGAATCATCCTCCACCACTTTTCTATCTTATTCATTAAATCAGAAACTCTCAGTCAAACCCAGAGCTTGCTGATACGCTTGTCTTGCAAGCTAGCTTGCACTGGGGAGCCTCATTTCCACTTTCTGAGGCTGGAACTGTAAGCTGGATGCCATGCCCACCTGAAATTCACATGGGGTCTGGTGATACACACTCCTGTCCCAACCTTTGCCCAGCAAAGTGTTTTAATCCCTGGACCATCTCCCAAGGTCCTATCCTGTGTGTGTGCGTGTGTGTGTGTTTTAGTATAGGCATCTATTTTTTTAATTATCTATTTTTATTTTATATACATTGGTGTTTTGCCTTCATGTATGTCTATATGAGGTGTCGGGTCCCCTGGAACAGGAGTTACAGTTGTGAGCTGCCACGTGGGTGCTGGGAGTTGAACCCAGATCCTCTGGAAGAGCAGCCAGGGCTCTTAACCATTGAGCCATTTCTCCAGCCCTGTGCTTCTTGATAGTACTGTTTGATATAGAAAAAAGGTTTTAATATTGAAAGTTCTGTTTGTTTTTTCTTTTCTTGCTTGTGCCATGGGTGTCACATCTGCATAACTATTGCCAAACCCAAACTCAATTAGTGTAAGAGCATTAAAGTTTTACTTCTTAAAACATTTTTATTTATTACTGTATATGTTCATGACACATGTGTGGGATACATATTCCATGGTGTGTATTAAGGTGAAAGGACAACTTTGTGGAGCTGGTTCTCTCCTTTCACCTGTATGTATGCTCTGGGGTTTGAACTCAGGTCTCCGGGTTGTTATTCCTCAAAATCCACTAACCAGCTTCATGCTTTATCTATCTACACAAACTGCCTAATTTTTGGGTAAAACCCTACACTACTACCATGGTTCCTGAGTTTACAGCTAGCCCTTACAGTCTTACTTCAGTTTCTGATTCCTAGTTTGTATGTATTTTCAAGGCACTGAGAAAACAACCAGACATATGTCTACACTAATTCACTAAGCTATTTAGGTAAACTTTTTTCCCCATAAAAACAAAAACAAAACTCTTATGATCTATAAAGTGCAAAAGTGTTTAATAAAATTTAAAGGTTAAAGTTAAGTCCATGCCTTTTATATTTATAAACCAACCTTATCCCTTAAGCTGTCCATCTTAAACCATTCCAAAAGCTTGATCCCAACATCCAAAGGACTTTCAAGAAATGTCCTATAAGTTAATAGGAAATCTTCTATATATGTTGGGTCCACAATAGAATGTTCTTCTATCAAATGCATGATGAGACGCTCAGGTGTTGCCTAAAAATCCAATGAAATACAAGATTAAGACAAAACAAAACTCCAGGAGTCAAGTTATCTCCCATTATTCTCCTTTAAAGCCTACTGCTGGGAGACTGTAGTCTTCAGATCATAATTCAGAAACAGCCAGAGGATTAGATCTGAGATATGGTAGAGGGGCAAGCCCCCAGCAACATCTGCTCAGCTGTGCTTGTTTCCACTGGCACTTCACCCCCGAAAAGCCTAGGAAATTTACTGACTTATCCCTTGTATGGGCTGTTACTGGTACTTCTGCTACAATAGGGCATATAATGACTGTCCAAAGCAAAGGAAACAGAAAGAAGTACGTTAGCCAGGCAGTGGTAGTGCACACCTTTAATCCCAAAACTCAGGAGGCAGAGGCAGGTGGATCTAATTTTGTGATTTTGAGGCCAGCCTGGTCTACAGAGTGAGTTCTAGAATAGCCAGGGGTATACAGAGAAACCCTGTCTTGAAAAACAAATAAACAATAACAAAAAGAGGAAGAAGAAAGTGAGCAAGTAATCTTTCTTCCACATTTAATCCATCTCAAATTTTCTTCTGTCCCAGGCTACAGGAATAATATACAGGTATTTACTCTTCTAGTCTTCCTGCTTGTGTGTGAAATGACTAAATCCCTTACTGTTTGTACATTCAGCATTTTAAAGGCTTGTGTATACATGTGTATATATAAAATACATTAATAAACATTTCCTATTGAGTTTCTGAACCAATGTTAAAAATTTTTATTGAGACTGCAGTTTTTTCTAAATTTATTTATTGGTGTGTGTTTGTGTCATGTGGAGGCTAGAGGACAACCTTGAGTATTTTTCCTCAAGCGCTATAGTTTTATTTTTTTTAAGACAGAGTTTCACTAGCCTGGGATGTTCCAAGGCTAGTTGGCCAGTAAGTCTTACAAGCATATGCCATCATGCCTGGCTTTTTGTGGGATGGGCAGGGTGAGGTGTGCATGTGTGTGAGGTGTAGGTCAGAGGATGACATCTTCCTCAAACCATATCTTTTTTGAGACAGTCTTTCACTAAATCTGGAGCTTACCAAGTGGTTGGATTAGCTGGCTAGCAAGCCACAGGAACCCTTGTCTTTGCCTCCCCAATGCAAGAATTACAGGTGCTCAGAATTACACCAAGTCCTCTTTTTCCTCCCCTCCTATCCCGAGACAGGGTTTCTCCGTGTAGCCTTGGCTGTCCTGGAACTCACGCTGTATACCAGGTTGGCTTCGAACTCAGAGACCCGCCTGCCTCTGTCCCCCAAGCACTGGGTTTAAAGGCATGCACCACTACCACCACCCCTCATACCAGTCTTTTTTAAAGAGACCTGAAATAAGATCCTTGTGCTTGCACAGCAAACATTTTACCAGCTGAGCCATCTCTCCAACCTTCTATGCTTGGCTTTATAAAAGTGGGTTCTGTGGATTAAACTTAGGTTCTCAGGTTTGCAAGATAAGCACTTATCAATTGTACTACCTTTGCAACTCTGCTCTGTCTGCTATCTTTTCAAAAGCAAGTAAACAGAACATAAAAAGAAAACAAATATTAAGTTGGATATAAAATGCAACTGTGGGAGATGGAGAAAACAGTTCAGTGGTTAAGAACACTTGCTGCTCTTAAGTAAGACTTGGGTTTGGTTCCTAGCACCCACATGGTAGCTCACAACCATCTCTAACTCCAGTTCCAGTGGATCCAATGCCCTTTTATGACATTTGTAGTCATGCCACACATGTGGTGCACTACATAATATAAATTTTAAAAATCTAACTGTGGTCCTTAAGTGCAAACATCAATTTGCTGCAACCATACAAATAATTAATTGATCACAACATCTGTACATAGTAAACAGACATTAATACTGACAATGCTATTCCCTTAGAATTTGTTTTCCAAGGGTACCCAATGCTAATAAGGTGTATAAATCACTTCTCTTGAGGTACTCAGGAGTAAGAAAAGACTTTAATATAACCTACTTATGGCATAGAGACTATAGGTTATTCATCTTCTCTTACCTTCAAAAATACTGTCTAAGATAAAAATGGTTTATTATTTAGGCTAATCATGGTAGGAAATTTATATGTGGTCTTAGGGTTTACAAGCTAAGTCAGTGTGGCAACTGGTCAACCTTAAAGGAGAACATCATCCTGTTTCTCTAAATAAAAGTCTCTAAAGAGTCTGGGCTATATATTCAAAATTTTTAAAAGAGCTCATTATCATGCAGAAATATATCACAAATGTCCAGACTAGCAACTAAGATAGTGGGATACTTGGAGAGAGTATTCCACTCTGGATACTTTCCACTTGGATAAAAGGCAAAAGCCATGGTTGGCACGGTTATACTGGCATGGTAGAGACTGGTTAAAACCAGCAAATAATTAGGAATAGGTATTAATATAAATGGAAGTAAAATACGAGAAGAATTCTGTAAGACAGTATTAGAACTGTATCATATAAACTCATGGCTGCATAACACAAAGTTGTATAAGTGCATTGATAATTAACATAAATACCTGTTATTTCTAGTTCTGACTCTTGAGAAGCTGTAAATATATATAGTGAATTCCCAGATCCTGGCTTATAAATGCTATCCTCCATTGGAAAGATCAAGAACTTTCTGGAGAAATGGCTGATTCCAGAGGAGAAGCAAAAAAGTTCACGATAATCCTTCCTAACTTCCAGAAAACTAGAAAGAGCACAAAGAATGATGGGGGAATTTCAAAAGAATGCAAGAATCAGTCTGAAGAGCACTGGCTGGCATCTCAGTATTAGAATAACACTAATAAGAAGTTTGTACCTAGCTGTTATTAAACACAAACTAGAGGTAGTATACTGATAATCATATCAGAACATCTCTTCATCAGGTACTCATCAATTATGAAGTGTCACAAATAATAACTTTATAGTAAAAACTCCAAACATGAGGTCATCAAGGTTAACTTCCCTAGAGGAAGGTCTGTCAACACTGAACAAGATGCAAAGAGAAGAGAATTAATTATAGTGTAATTCCTTATGGCAAGCATATGGGTAAACTTAACATGATATAAGACATGGATTCTTTTAAGTCTGCTGGGGATATGAGTAACAAACACCAAGCAACTGAAGTGGACCAAAGTGGCAGGACAATGAAATACAACTATGTTCTTAGATGAGAACCCAGGCGAGAAATGAAAATGCAACATCACTGGGACCACTGATGAGAGTCTACTAGGGACTTCAGATTGCCTCTATTAACTTAGCAATGCATACTTCCATACTTGGAGAATTCTATGATGTTTATGTAGGTGTGCTCTTATTTTTAGAAATGTTGAGGCACTGCATTTGTAAAATGTCTCAAACAGTTTAAAAAAAGACGGATGAAAATGGGGCAAATGCAGTAGGCGAATCTGACTCAGAGAGTTGTCTGTATTGTTCTTGAAACTTTTCTTTTTGTTCACGTGCATATGGGTATGTGCAGGCCAAAGGCCAATTTCAGATGTCTGTCTTAACTACTCTCCATCTTGTTTTGAGACAGGGTCTGTCACTTATCTGGAGCTTGTCAATTCAACTAGACTGGCTGGCCACTGAGATCTGTCTGCTTCTCCACTGCTTCAATTACAGGTGCAAACCAGTGTGTCCAGCTTTTTACATGAGTTCTGGGGAATAGACTCAGGTTCCTATATTTGCATGTGTGAGGCGAGCCTTTAACTAAACCAAGCAACTCCCTATTCTAGTTCTTAAAACTTTTCTGTAAGTTTGAACTATTAAAATAAAACAGGGGTCTTGTTAGGTGTGGTGGTGTATGCCATAATCTCAGCACTTGGAGACAGAGGTAGACAGATCTGTGAGTTCAAGGACAGCCTGGTCTACAGAGTGAGTTCTAGGACAGCCAAAGCTACACAGAAAAACAAAACAAAAAATGGAGTCTTTGCCAAAGATAAAATGATGAGTAATATGCATTAGCTTAAGTATTCTATTTATATATTTTCCCGTCTTCCTTCTTCTTCTTCCTTCTCCTCATCCTCCTTCTTCTTCTTGACTCCTGATGCTCTTGCGTCTACCTTCTCAAAGTTGGGATGACTACATCCAGAACACACTATATTTATCTTTACTACATACAAAGCTTATACTAGGAAGACAGTCTAAGAATTCAATTCCTAAGGAAGAACTGATATATCAGACTCATATTTCCTCTCTAAGTTACTAAGTTGTCTTCTATCTGTCAATCAATAACAACATACTTTGTAAATAAGGCTAGCTTAAAAAGAGAAACATGTATGTATTTTCAACTATACTTGCTCTACCTTCTATCTAGAGGTTTTCAAACAGACAGGAATGACAAAAAATATAGGAGAGTAAGACACATAGAAGGGAATACAGAGATTGCTGCTTTGACTGCAATTATGCTAAAGCTTCAGTTTTATCTAACTCAGTCTTAACTTTTCTTTCTGTGTCTTACAGTTTCAATTTAAAGTTCAGAGAAGCCACAGCTGATTTCAATGTTAGCAAGAGCATTGTGTCTTTGTTGCTAGTCTTTAAATTTCCTGTTTCTGTCTATCTCTAATACTGCTTGCTTTCTTTTCATAAGACCAATACCCACCATCAAGGGCTTATACATTTAAGAATTAAAAGATTTGGCTAGTATAATCTAAAATAATATTGTATCAATTAGGATATTAAGTGGCAGTAAGTATCCTTCATCCCATAAATGTGTAATGACCAGTTGGAAAAGGGACAGAAGATTCAACACACCCACTGAATCATACATCAACATGTTAGTGAAGAATTTTACATTATTCAAAAAAGTGGTTTAAAGGCTTTTTATTTTTAAAGCAAGATGAAAGATTTCAATGAAGTTGCTAGAATAAGAAGTAAAAACAAGCCTGGTAGTGGTAGCAAATGCCTTTAATCACAGCACTTGGGAGGTAGAGATAGGCAGATCTCTGAGTTCAAGGCCAGCTTTGTCTACAGAGAAACCCTGTCTCAAAAAAAAAAAAAAAAAAAAAAAAAGCCAGTAGGATTTTCTGAAGGAGGCAGAGACAGGAGGATCACCAGTTTGAGGCCAGCCTGGGCTACACATTTTTAAGGGAGAGGGACCTGGGATTGACATGTGAAGCAACCTTGTTTCTAATTTAACCCACCCACCCACCTAGCAAAATCACCCACCTTGATTACAATGTGTCCTTTCCTCGTTCCACTTCGGTCTAGTTCTCGGTGCTCATGTACCATGACAATTTCTCCCTCTTCCTCAACTTTATGGGTATTTTTTTCCACATGATTTAAAATCCTCCAATAATCTTGTTGGGCTATACAGACAAACTGTCCAAGAACAACATGGGGACAGTTAATGAATCTATAATACATAAACACATCACTATGCACCAAGGCAGAGCACAAAGGTAACAAATAAGGCAGCATCAGTTCTTTCTCATTCAATTTGTTTAACCTTAAACAAAATCAAGGCAGAGAGACTAAAGTGGAATCATCTGAATTCTGCTGTAAAAGGAGAAGTGAACATCTACTTCTCTTAAACAGACAAAGAAAACGCGAAGCAGGAGTAAGTCAGAAACAAACAACTCACAAGTTCCTATTTCCTTCCTTCTTTGAAAACAGAAAGATACTAAACTGGATAATAACACTTTGAATGTTCAAACAAACCAACATTTGGAACATTCTCTTAAAAATTTATACTTTGCTCAATTTATCAAAATTTGAGACATATAAAATCTACATTCTCTTGTCAACTGTAGACACTGGAAAATTCTAATTCTCAACTAAAGCTGTTTTATTTCCAGGAAGAAAAAGAAAAATAGCTTAGCCATTTTCAGTCAAAAGATGAGAAAACACTGAGCAGAGATCAGCTTACCTGACAATCATCAACTTTAGTCCTGACAACTCCATGCATGTACTGCTTATCTAGAGTGGGGACAATTCCAAAACTATTTCCCATGAAGAGATTTTCAATTTTCCCATCTGGATGACTAATTTCTACAGTGCCATTTAAAATGACATACCATGAGTCAAGCTACAAAGGAAAATAAAGGTGTTACATCCTTTTTTAAAAGACAGTCATAAGTTAACTTTGAACAACAATTTAGCAAAGTATATAATTTAAAAAAGAAAAAGAAGACCTAGCTCTATTATTCAGTAATTAGTTATCAACATCCTGTGTTTTGTCTATACAAAACAACTGGTTTCTTTCACTTTCTTCTTTTAGTCACAAAGGACTTTCATAATTGGTCAATTTTTCTGAGGCAAAATACTGTTATGTTTAAGAACATAATTCTTGTTTTAAAAACTATTTTATGTGCATGAGTATTTGCTTACATGTATGTATGTGTACAACATGTGTGTCCTACAAGGCCAGATAAGGACTTCATACTCCCTGGAACTGTACTTACAATTGTGAGCTGTCCCCTGGATGCTGGGAACTGATTCCCTAACCTTTCTAAGAACACCCAGTGCTCTCAACTGCTAAGACATCTATCAGAAGCACAAATACTTAGACTCTTAATCCAGATCCTGTCACTGAGCAACACAGTGACTTTCACCAAGTTATTTAATGTTCCCAGACTTCAGTTTATTGCTAAAATGGCTGTAAAAAGGCAATATAGATGGTCAATATAGATCAAATACAACATAAATCATTTTAATAATTAACTTACAAAAACTACAAAAAGCCTGAATTTTAAGTCACATTTAACAAAATGTCCTAAATTTGTGTTAATATTAAAAATTCTTCATTTTATATGAAATATAATTTTATTATATTTTAATTTATTTTTGGTGTGTGTGTACTCACATGTGTGCTACAATGTTTGTGTGGAGGCTAGAGGACAAATTGTGGGAACTAGTTCTCTCCCACTCTGTGAGTACCAGGGATATAGGTCAGGCTTGGTGGCAAGTGCCTTTTACCCATCTTGCTGGCCTGGAGGATGATATACATAATACATACATTTTAATTTTAAAGATTTAGTTTATATGTTGTATGAATGTTTTACCTGTATGGGTATATATGTACCACATGTACGACTGTTGGATCCCTTGGAACTGGGGTTATGGATGGTTGTGAACCACCATGTAAGTAATGGGAATTGAGTCTGGGTCTTCTGAAAGAGCAAAAAGTGCTCTTAACCACTGAGCCATCTCTCCAGCCCAGAGTTATATTCCTAAAGATATGCTATGTATCTGTGAAAGAACACTTATTCTTTAATAACCACGCTTATTAAACTTACAATGCCATTTAAAGAACATTTAGGACCATCAGTTCTGAGAGATAACTACTTCTGTCTACAGAAATATCTATTAGGAAGCTGGGAAACAATACATTTTTGTTTTTGTTTTTTTGAAATAAAGTCTGTATATAGCCCTGGCTGTTCTGGAACTTATTATATAGACCAGGTTAGCCTTGAACACACAGAAATCTACTAGTCTTCCTCTCTAATGCTGGGATTAGTGTGCAACTTGCCCAACCAGACAAAGAAAAGCTGCTTAAAAAAATCCTATTGTCTACACAGCTTTTATTTATTGTTTGTGCATATGTACATAATTTTAAGCTGTTTAAATATATTTAGATCACTCTGCCTTTGAGTGTATGTATTTTTACATATAGGTAGACATGTCTGTACATGTGGCTAACAGAGGTCAACCTCAAGTGCTGTCTACCCTGGTTTATTTTTGCTTGTGTAAGTCTGGGTGCAGGTACACATATGTGCTAGCATATGTGAACATATTCATTTGGAGGTCAGAGGACAACCCTGACTGTCTTTCTGTAGATACCATCTATACTGAATTCTTTTAGAAAGGGTCTTTTTAGTCTAGAGCTTGCCAAGTTGGTTGGTCGACGAGTCCCAGGGATCTTTAGATCTATACCTCCTCAGTGCTAAATTTACAGGTGCATACCATCATATCCAGCTTTTGTTGTAGTTTCTGGGGACTGAACTTGGGTCCTCACACTTGGTGGCAAATACTTCAACTATGTTCTCTCTAGGGACTATTTTATCTTTAAAAGCAAAAACTATACTCATCTGTCTCCTTCAACTTCCTGGGGATGTTCATCCTACTCATTAGGAATAAAACATGTAAATAAAACTGGAGAAGACCTTTCCCCCCAAAGAATTCTGAGCAATTTAAAAGGAGAGTGAAGGTGTGGAGTACACAGCTCAGTGGAACATCACTTGTCCAGTATGCTGGGTTGCTGAGAATGCTCTAATCTTTTATCCCATGGTTATGTATTCATCTGGTAAGCTATAGCTTGTTATTAAATGGTATTTTGGACTACTCAATTCTTTCTATTACAAATATGTAATGAGCATCTTTTGATATAACTTGAGATTTTTATTATGTTCTAAGGAGAGACACCAGTTAAGTAGAACAACAGACAGGGAAGGCAGAGGCAGGTGGATCTGAGTTCGAGGCCAGTCTGGTATATGAAAGCTAGTTCCAGGCAGTCAGAGCTGTTACATAGACAAACCCTGATGGCGGCATCAGACTTCCTTCTACAATTCCCCTTTTAGTCTAAAAAAGGACAACTAACTTGTGTCCATGAACAAAATGTATCAAACTTCTATCTAAACCTAAACTTATCTGAAAGAAACACCCAAATATGAACACCTCCTTCCAATCCCAACTCTAAAATAATTGAAAACTAACACTAACAGGTGTAAACTATCTTATAATATCAATAGTAGGGAGAGGGGGCGTGGAATTCTCAAAACTACTTCCTGCTGAGATGGGACGATGATAATCTCAAACCAAATTAAAATGAATTTTCAGGACTGTTAAAACAATTTACCTATAGTATTAAACACTGGTAATTCACTTCTCAGCATCAATCTTACAGTAGAGTTTTTCCAGTTTCACTACAGCAGGGGTTCTCAACTTGTGGGCTGCAACTCTTTCACAGGGGTTGCCTAAGACCCTCTCAGAAAATAGCTATTTGGTACAGTTCACAACAGTAGCAAACTTACAAAGTAGCAATGAAAATAATTTCATGGTTGGGGCGGTCACTACCTTGAGAACTGCAAGGGTGGCAGCATTAGGAAGGCTGAGAATCACTGCACTATGGTCTTGTTACATCCCTAGAAGGGAGGCATCAGTACCAATACACTGTCCTTCCCTCTTTCAACTCTTATCACAGACAATGAACAGGGTGGGGAGTGAATAAATACTTGACCAACATTTTCAAAAACAATAACAACATACATATACATGTACAAATGAAAAGCAATAAAGGCTTCTTTAAAGAGTTCTACTATTTAATTTTTAAAAATTTTTGCATCAAGTCCATTGATGTGACACCAACAGTTAAAAAAATGTAAAGCAAGAAAACAAAACAAGACTCCTCCCCACACACACCCAACCAACAACAAAAATAACAACCTTTCTCTTCAAGAGTTAACCACCAACAGGTGGTAGTGTTGCATGTCTTTAATTCCAGCACTCGAGAAAGTAGAGGCAGGCAGATCTCTAAGAGTTCAAGGCCATCCTGGTCTATAGAGTGAATTCCAGGACAGCTAGGGCTACTGCATAGAAAAACCCTGCCTCGAAAAAACAAAAAATAAAAAACTGAACAACAAAAGCCTACCTTGAGTCAGTATGCACTCAAAATACTTTAAACTCAAAAATCTTGGATTTATACAAGCTTAAAGAAATTAATGAGTTATTTGCCAACCTACCTCCTGCCCATCTTCAAGAATAACAGCCCCGGCCTGCTCCACTACTTCAAAAATCATGACAGAACAGAGTTCTCTCCTTACAGACATAGTCATGTTTGCAAATGCAGGGAGCTGGTGCATGAACTCAAGTAACTGTTCTATAAGAAAACAGAAATTCTAGTATAAGATCAAGACTACTACTTTTACAACAAATTCTATAATTCAATATTCTATTTGTTAATCAACTTAGGAACTTATACTGATAAAAAAAGAAAATCAAGATACATAACGTCATGACTATTCACATACACAAAACAACCAAACCATATAGGGACTGGAGAGGCAGCTAAGTGGTTAGGAGCAACTGGCTCTTCTTCCAGGGAATCTGTGCTCACAATCGTCTATAATTCCAATTCTGGAGTATCTGACACCCCCTACTGACATTTATTGTGAATCTTATTTTGCCTGCATGTATATCTGTGCATCATGTATATGCAGTGCTGTAAAAGTCATGTGAGCTACTGCATGCACCTAAACAGTGGCTAATTAATAATACTTTATCTTTAGAATGGCAGGGAACATTCAAATACTGATCATTGTTGATGAAAGTTATGATTTTTACTAGCACTGACTTCTAATATTAACAGCAATGATCATAAAAAGAAAACCCAAGATAAAATCTTAACTGAATAATAGCAATATGTAATTGACACTAAGTACACTTAGTTCCTTAAAGATATATTGAAGGGACCAGCCACCTGTTTTAGCAGCCATGACTGACTAACACGTGCTCGCATGACCTTGCCCTCCTGTCCTACTCACTAGGAAGTCAGATGCCCTCATGGCAAGGAACCAATCAGAAGTTAGCTGGCAGGGCTGTGCTTCAGGGCTCTGGGTGCTCTATGAACAAGTGCACAACAGTGACTACAGAGCATAGCAACTGCCCTGGGAGGGCCTATAGGCCATAACAACCAGTTGACTAATCAATACAGGACAGGTCGTTCAAGCCTGGAAGCTCACCAATCCTGAGACTGTGCATACCCCTAGACACTCTCCTTATGCTATCTGATATATTCCTCACCTTGTGGTTTCTCAGGTTTTTTCTCCAGCCATCTGCCATGGTGGATGGATGAAGGGCCCGAGTTAATGGGGTTAGCTTGTTAAACAACTACAATAAAAGACTCTTTGCTTTTGCATCGAAATGGGACTCTTGGTGATTTTGGGGTTCAGAATTTAGGCACAACAGTATCAGTACCTTCAGAATTCAAACTTCCAATTATAATATAGTATTAGCTAGTTCTCTAAGAAATTAAGGAACATGCAAAAAATTTATCTACAGTTTTAATGCACACACAAATAAAGGTAACACAGATATATTTGAAATTGATTTAAAAACTACTTCATAAACTCTAGACACAACTCTAGTGAGCTTTAAATGTCTTATCAACATAAGGAGAAAAATCGCTATGAAATTCATGGTTTTATTTTATAAATCCTCACAGCAAGTCTTAACAATGGCTCTTAATGAGCAGAATTTTTTTTTAACAGGTTAGCTTTTTAAAAAAAATTTAAATTAGAAATAAGTTTGTTTTACATGTCAATCCCAGTTCCCTCTACCTTCCCCTCCTCCACTGCCCATGATCAACTCCCTATCCCATCCCCCTTCTGCTCCCCAGGGAGGGTGAGGCCTTCCATGGGGGATCTTCAAAGTCTGTCATATCATTTAGAGCAGGGTCTAGGCCCTTACCCATGTGTCTAGGCTGAGAGAGTATTCTTTTATGTGCAATGGGCTCCCAAAGTTCATTCATATACTAGGGATAAATACTGATCCACTACCAGAGGCCCTATAGATTGACCAGGCCTCCAAACGGACACCCATGTTCAGGGGGTCTGGATCAGACCTGTGTTGGTTTCCCAAGTATCAGTATAGGGTCTTTGAGCTCCCCCTTGTTCAGGTCAGCTGTTTCTGTGGGTTTCTCCAGCTTATGACCAGATATCTTGATACTGATGTCTAGGTATAGTCTTTCGCAAACACGCTGTCTCAGTTTTACATGGTGTAATAGTTGTAGCAGAAGTGATGACGGTCATAAAAGACATTGGGGAATATTTACCCTTGGATTACCCATACTAGAGGAAAGCTACTGCCAAGCTGTCAGGGTGAATAAACAGCTACACGACTACATAGCATAGAATTGAGGTCTTGTGCTAGAAGCCTTGTGAGTAGGTCATCTTGGATATAATATTCTCATGCACTCCAGTGAAGACTCAGATGACTAATGCCTGTATGCACATTCTGACTAAGAATTAATAAATGTATGCTGTTTCAATAGGTTAAGCTTTGGTCCAATATGTTATGTGGCAATAGACTATTCTGTATATAAGGTTAAAAATGCATATTTGAACATATGCATTTCTTTATTTTTATGTTTTTTATTTGTTTGTTTGCTTTTTTCCAGACAGAGTTTTTCTGTGGAGTCACACAGATATATTTCTTACCAATATCATCATCAGTTTTGTCTGCAGGTTCCTTTTCAAGACATTCTCGAACAAGATCTCGACCTTGCAGTGGATCTGTTCGATCAATCTCCTCTTCCTCATCTTCTTCATCCTCAGAATCAACAGGTCCTTCTGGAAGACGTGTTAAGTCTACATCTCCTACTTCACTTTCTGTAGCCTATAGAAAGAAATTTCAATGAATAATTTCATGATAAAAATATTATACTTCACACTGTAAATTGACCAAAATGGCCTTAAGTGTCAAATACAAGAAACTAGGCAACAATGGTAAAATACTTATTTATAAAACATTGTTCTACCTAAAATGCAGGCCTATCTTTCTTCTGTGTTATCCACATAAGTCAGATCCAGTTAAATATAAGACACAAACACTAGTAAATGTATTAGTAATTGTTCTCTAGTAAATACTTGTTTTTCTTAAAGCAAAGCTTTCTAAAACAGGAAGCACAAGAAAGATGAAGAAGTATCTATTAATATATTAATATGGGCTGCTTATTGTGGAAAACGTTACTCTTTTTTTAAAAAATGTTATTCTCTTATCATAAAGATACAAAAGTCTAGTAAGACAGGCAATCATGGTGATTAAGAGCAGGAGTTTGAAAAAAGGCACAATAGTACTAAAAAGTACTAATACTGACATAAAAAAACCAAAGAAATACCACCACTTTCTGATATTTTACTGGGCTTTAAAAAATTTGCAAAAAGAAAAGTTTATTCAATTTCTAAAATCAACCCAACAACTACAACTTTGGAAACATCAATGTTTGCTTATCCTAAAAACTAGCAGGTTTTAAAAACTGTCATTCACAAAAAACCAAGATATCTTGTAAAAACTGATTAGGTTATACTTTTGAATATTAAATCAATTACAGAAAGAATGAGTTGAACACAAGAATTCCATAATAATACATATAAGCACCCAAATATGAGTACTAGTAAAGATTATGACATATGACAGCTTCACCTAAGATCTTGCTTTCTTTTATTTTTAGTTTATTGAGACATGGTTTCTCTCTGTAGCTTTGGAGCCTGTCCTGGAACTAGCTCTTGTAGACCAGGCTGGTCTCTAACTCACAGAGATCCATCTGTCTGCCTTTGCCTCCCAAGTGCTGGGATTAGAGGTGTGCACCACCACTACCCGGCAAGATCTTACATTCTTTTGGTCCTCTTTCATAGTCATTTATTCTCTATATTAACCTCCTCCCTGAGTCCAAAGACTCAGGGAAACATGACATAATAGGGTGGGAGAAGAAATGTAGAGACAGAAAATGGGAAGGAGTGCTCTGATATACTTCCTTTGTATTTAACATGTTGCACTCATGAACTCACACCAATTGTGGTTGTCTGCTTAAGACTTATACAGGATCAAGACAGTTAAAATAGCCAGTATAACATACTATTCTTATTTAGAAAAGTATTTTGGAATAATAAAAAGTCAGTATAAAGGAAAAAAAGTTCAGAGAAGAAATCCTATTCTGTGACTACCATGTACTTTCAAAGTAAAAACAAGGACTCTCATTACGGAAGCATAAACTATAAAATGAATAGATGGATAAATTTAACTGGATGTGGTGGCTTAGGCCAACAATCCCAACATACGAAAGACTGAATGTAGGTTAAAAGGGCCAGCCAAAGTGAGCCAGCACACTTTGACCAACTGACAGCAGAGCCAACTCTGCTCCTGATCAACTAAAACACAGCACTCTAAAAGCAGGAAACCAACCAATCCCTGAGCACCTTAACTCTGAACCCTGAGCCAGTGAAAGAAACACACCCAGTATCTGAAACTTGAGCGAGTGAAATGAACACTATCCCTGGGCCCAGAACCAAAGAAAAACACCCTCACTTTGAAACCGCTACCAAAGAAACACACCCTGTCCCTAGAATAGGAGCCAGTGAAAGAAATATGCCCTGGCCCTAAAATTAGAGCCAAAAGGCTAATAAGGACTAGTGAAAGAAACAGTGTGCCCTGACCCACTAAACTAACCAATCCCTGAGCAGAAAAACCTCTCCCAGGGAAGCTCTGCCTCCAAGAAGCCCTATACACCCGGCTGCCTGTTCAGTTGCTGGCTGCCCTTCACCACCCTGGCAGAGGCAGTCACTCTCTTGGACTCCTCCTTCCATAATAAATCTCTTTCTCAAAAGAGTCTTGGGTGAAGATCTTCATTTGCCACGGAGAATAGAAGAAACTGGGGACTGAGCAAGGCTGAGAAGAACAGAATAATCTTGCTGGGACTTTTCCTTAGTCGTCTGAGCAAGTCTGTAGCAGAAAAGTAACAACTTTTCTTCTAGGGAGCCAAAGGAGATTGCTACATTTCTGCAGGGGCTTCCCATTTAGCAGACTAGCTGAAAAAGAGCCTAGGAAGCTGGTAACTCTGCTTGGATATTCCCTTACTGAGGAACAGAACACAGATGTAATGGCCCTCTCTAGGAGAGGAGCAGGATTGCTATATCCTGTAGGGAGACCAGTCCCCATCCACCCCAGCTTCAGGTAGTCTCACTTCCCAATAAGTCAGGACACCATTGCAGCTCCAGAGCTTTAACACTCACTCACACTGAATCTATGAGTTCTAGAAAAGGAAGGGTAAGATGGGTGGGGGGGGGAGTGGCGTGTCGTGGTAAAAAGAGTAAATACTAAATTCAAACAGCAAAGATTGGCAATAGGCAACAAAAATAAACAGAATCATGGGGACTAGAATGATAATCAAGAGATGGTAGAAGAATGTGGGATCATTTTTTGTAGGTTAGCAAATCAAGTCCTAGGCAGCAGATCCTCTAAAAGGATTAAGCACAGAGGAAAAAATAGTAGGTGTCTGGTAGGACAAGTAAACTTCTTTTGACCTTCTTTTCCTGTCACATGTACTTTTTGTATTTAATATTTGGTGAGAGGACGAGTTGATTTTGTGATGATCTGGCAGTTACCAAATAAACCACCAGAGAATATCCCTTTCCTGTTTGCAGCTAGATAACCATAAAGCTACAGTAAGAGGTGCCATAGATTGCCATGAAAATGTTATACAAATTTATGAAAATCACATTCAAATGAGTGTTAAGTGTTAAGCCAGAACCTCATACTTCCATGGCTTTTCCTTCCAGCATTATCAAGTCCAGGGTTTCATTTAACCCTTTACAGGGACAGTGAGCTTTTAAACTCCTCTTTGTCCTTTTGGTCAGATTAAGAATTCTGTAAAAGAAATCTTCCACAGTTTTGCAGACGAGGATGGCCCCATCCATAAACTCTCCTCTGCCTTACAAAAGGGTATTTTAATCATCAGGGATCTTTTCCGTTTTCCTTGCAACCAATACTGGTACTTACTTTCAAATATAATTCGACTTTTTTTTCCTTGAATTATTTGTAAGTGTCCAAACTGCTTGACCAAGGTAAGAGAAACAGTAAAACAAACTTTAATCTGCATAACTTTAGATGATGCAAAACACCAAGCTTGCAAGGTACTGTTAAAAAGCACAGTGGAAAAAACACAGCTAAGAAAAGCCAAGCATGCTGAAGGACTAGCGTGTGTCCTGTCATGAAGCGGACTCTAGAATGTAGTGGAGGAATAATGGAATAGAGAGCCAGTTGGCAGAGGGTGGTGGGAAGTAAAAGGCTTGTAATTTGTAATGAACAATGTAAAGTTGGTAAGGGTGAGGCACTGAAATTTCGTTAACAGAGGCCTTTTTTTTTTTTTTTTTTTTGGTTTTTCGAGACAGGGTTTCTCTGTGGCTTTGGAGGCTGTCCTGGAACTCGCTTGGTGGTCCAGGCTGGTCTCGAACTCACAGAGATCCACCTGCCTCTGCCTCTCGAGTGCTGGGATTAAAGGCGTGCGCCACCAACGCCCGGCAACAGAGAACTTTTTAAACCACCACATTCTTGCAATGTTTCAAGTAGGAGTTTAAATTAAATGACTGTGTGTGTGTGTGTGTGTGTGTGTGTGTGTGTGTGTGTGTGTGTGTGTGTGTGTGTGTGTAAGGGAGAGTAACTGAGCCTTCAATAAGGATACAGATGGTATTTTTTTACCTGTATTTTTCTTAATACTAAGGACTTAACCCCAGGACTTTGTACATATTAGGCAAGCACTCTACTGTAAGATATCAAATCTTCTAGCTGCCTTTCTCTTTCAGAAATCAGGCCACAGCTCATAGCAGCTCAGTCTCTCATCAGAGCTCGTTAAGAATGCACACAAGCTAAATTTATGGTCCTACTTAGTACCTGCCTCCATGGACATAGTATGAAGCTTGTCTACTCTGTTGGAAAAAGAATCTGAATCAATCAGGAACACAACCCTCTATCCCCCACCAGATTTGAAGTGAAAGGTCTCTTTCATACTCTCAATCCTCACTCTCAGAAAGAGTCATACTATACAGCATGGTAGTTATAGCTCCCATTATAGTATCCCTCAAGATCTGAAGGGAAGCCCTCCTCACAGGCTGTGTCTCTTCTAATGGTCTTTTGAAGGCCTGACGTGACACTCCCCACAGTCATGAGGCACTCTCTCCTGATAAAGCCCACTTCTGAAGGGTAATTTTGTGCCAGCTCTTTTCTGCAAGTCTACCACTGAGTGCCTACCCTTAGGCAACATATGATATTCTTAATAGAAATGTTAAAGACAGGTGGTTGAGAAAAAAGAAGGAAAGCAGCACTAGTGGATATGGTACCCAATCCTGGCAAGGTGGACACTGGAGATAAAAATTAAGGGATTTTTAGAAGTCTGTTTCTTTCCCATAAAGATGAGGATGAACAGGTCTGAGCCTTGGGATACTTGCAAGACAGTTAAGAGCATGTATTGCTTTTCCAGAGGACCTGAATTTGGTTTCCAGCACCTAAGTGGCTCAGAACAACCTGAAACTCCAGATCAAGGGAATCTGATGCCCTCCCTTTTCTAGTTCCCAAGAGCATGCCACTCAAGTACACAACCCATGCACAGGGACACAGATACATAAAAATAAAACTATTCTTTTTTTTTTTTTAAAGGACACGCTTTTGTTCACAAACTAGTACTTTACAATTGTCCTGCTGCAAAATAAGACTAAAGTTAACAGGAAACATAATTTGGAAAGAAGCACTCTGTATTCTCTTAAACATTCTTGGAAGAAACATAGAAATTCTATCTAAGCACATGCTAGCATCTTAATGTAAACAATGACATAAATTTTAAACTAATATGATTAAAACATCGGAACTGTAATTGCAATCTTCATTTTAGACTGTGGTAAATGCTTCAGTTTCTTTGAGGCTAGGTTCTTTCTTTTTTTTTTTTTTGGTTTGGGCTTTTTTTCTTTTTGGTTTTTTGAGACAGCGTTTTTATGTGTAACAGCTCTAGCTGACCTGGAACTCCTCCTGCCTTTGCTTCCCAAGTGCTGGGATTAAAGGCATGCACCACTGCCACTCTACTCTGTGGTTCTTTTGTTTTTAAACCACAATAAATAAAAATTCCAAAGAAGGTAATGCCTATGAGTATAGCCTCACATTTGGCTACATGAAAAAGAATAAACAATTTCCTCATATCCAGTATAGTTTTCTTACCTCTTCCAACTCTTCAAAGTAAAGATACTTGCATGATTTCATAAAACTTTGCTTGCACAGTTAAGTGCTAAGTGTTCACACTTAAATACTTCAAATGCTGGGATATTTATAACCATAAAATTTAACTGTTGTTGCTCAGTTATCAGCAATATTCATGTCTAACTTAAAAAGTATTCTCATAGATTTAACAAGTACTCCTCTAAAGGTATTCTTGGGTACAGTACTAACATTTAACCTTTCTTACCTGTTTATTCCCTAGGCTCTATTAGGAACATACACACACACCCGATTTTTCTAAATATTTCTTATCCTATACATGGTTTCTTATTAAAGTTGCAGGTCTAGAAATTTTACATTTTTGAGGTCTACTGTACCATCCTAGTTTCTTTTTTCTTTTAGATTATTTCCTTTAATCATTTTATCACACATTTAAAAATTATCATTTAAGTTTATTCTATTTAAGACATAAAATATAAGAATTTCCTTCTACTTTTATCTTTGTTAGCTTGTTCTTTGTTTTATGGTATGTGATGGATAATTTAATTGTCAACTTGATATAATCTAGAGTCACCTGAAAGGGAGCTTCAGTGATGGACTATCTAGATCAGGCTAGCCTGTGGGCATATCTATGGAGGACTATCTTGATTCTGCAGAGGTGGGAAGACCTGACCAGGGCATTCTGACTGTGTAAACATAGAAAAAGAAAGCTGAGTACAAGCATGCATCCATTAATTCAGTGTTCTTTGCTCCTGAATGTAAATGAAATTTGACTAGTTGCTTTCCCTCAATGATGGGCTGTAAACCTGAACTTGTAAGCAAACATAACCTTTCCCCTAAGTTGTTTTTGTCAAGGTAAGATGTTTCTACTTCTAGGCAATTGCCTCAAGAGTTAGCTGTAAGTAAGGGTCTGAGAACTCCTACCATAACTCATCACTCTTAAAAGATTCTTATCTTATACTTCAGCGTTTTGGGTTTAATACTACCACAATTTTCTTCTTTAAATGGTTGAGTTCTGTTTTAGTTTCTAGAATTTCAATGCCTGTTATCTTTTTGCTTGTTCATTCTCTAAATTCACTAAAACTTAACCTCTGTCTTACTGGGTAATTTATAAATGCACACTCCCTTTTTTAGTTATATAGACTCTATTTAACCAACATTTTGGAAATGCAAAACAGTAAGGGTAGAACAGACTAGTTATTTACACGGATAGGAATCAGGAGAGGAACTGACTACAAATAAGCCTAAAATGTTTTCAATTTCCCATATTAAAAGAGGGTAAATTTTGTTATATGTAAACAATGTGTTAATGACCATGAAACATGCACACATGAATAATGATATAGGAAGCTGATGGCACAGTACTGAACTCAGTAAGAAAGAATAAAAATTAATGTTAGAGTTTCTGGATTATTAGGCATGTTCTTCAATACTCTATAATATACAGGATAACTGGTAAGGCATCTACCTATATTCTAGTTGTAAAGAAAATATTAAAAGATATAATACAAACTACAGACTGTTATTGATGAAGAAAGATGCATGGAAGGCTGCAAGCTGGGTAGCCACACAGAGGGACAACATCATCATGCAATACAAGACTTCCAACTAACAATAGTAAGTGGACAACCTGAAGAAGCTACTATCAGTGCAGTTATCTCAGACCCTCTTCCAGCATCTTCAGAGAAATACCGGCTGTACACACAACTCACCCTCCAGTTCACAGCAAAGCACTGACTTGCATAAAAATGTGTTCACTGCCCTTTCATTCCTTCTGTTACAACGATTCAGGGCTTTGCTTCTTGTCTCAAAAAGGCAATTATTTATGTCTTGGAAATGGAATATCCCAGCAGGTCAGGTACCTATAGTTTGTCAGTGCCATATCTTGCTTACTGTCTCTCTTAGCAAGGCTTAAGTTTCCAATTATTTTGAGAGAAACCTACAGTCACAACACTCAATTTGATTGTTTTAGAGCCAATCTTCCTTGGGATTTCTTTATTTAAAGAGAAGTAGAGCATACTAACCCCAACAATTACTAAAGAAAGGGAGTAAGTGGCTAAGACTTACTGTATTATTTTGATTTTCTTTTTTAGATTCCTTATAGTATTTCTACAGAACAGTAAGAGTAAACACCTAGTTTATAAATACTATAAAAGGGTAAACAGGAAGTCAGAGATGGTCATAGTAACTTTTTGTTAAGAAAGCTGTATGTAGACCTAAAATTGCAAGCTTTTTTTTATATCTGCCTACAAATTCTCCTTCATAGAAAGAAGCTATTTTTCTTAAGATACTATAATCTGGGAAACTCAATGTAAATATTTTCTTCAGAAAAAAATGACTATAATTTTGCTTTTTACCACATGGTAGCCAACACACACACACACACACACACACACACACACACACACACACACACACACACACACACACACACACACACACGTGTCAGGGCATTAAAGTATGATCAGTCAGAACTGAGGTGGGCTGTTTAAATCTAAACTAAGCATGAAAAAAAAGTGCAAAGAAACTCATTTACAATATTAAATATTGCTTAAATGTTAAAATACCTTCAGAAATACTACAAATAAAATATATCACTAAATAAATTTTATGTATCCTTTTAGATGACTACTGAAAATCTTAAACAATTGGCTCACATTAAATATCCACTTGTCAGCCCAGAAACATAATGTATCTGAATTCATGACTAAAGCAACCATCAATACCAAATCACCAAATCTCTAGCTATTTACTACCACTAGCCTTTAGGCTATAAGTCCTTAAACCTAGGAAACTGCTCTGGACATGTGACACTAAAGACAGCATCATAGTCCACCGTGAGGAGTTAACAAATCAGCACTGGCCTCTTTTTATTTCAAGGATTACTGGTGTGTGTAGGGGGACCTCATTTAGTTTGGAATTTTTTCTGTTCAGCTTTAAAAATGGGTAAGTCCATAATTATGTTCCTTATTTAACTTTCTATTTTTATTCATCTTACAAAGGATAGAAGCTTGATGATGCAAAAACCCTTACTTTTCTACATAAATTTTATTTCTATGATTATAATAAAAACCAGTACACCCACAAGTGCAAGCTATTGTTTCAAAAACCTTTTTTAAAACCAGGCACGATGTGTGTAATCTCAACTCTCAAGAGGCTGAAGCAGGGAGACTGAAAATTTCAAGCTAGCCTGGGTTATGGGGCAATATTCTGTTTCACAAAAACACACAGACCTTTTTCTTCTATATCATATGCATTCTATATCCCATGGATTCAACTGGATAAAAGAAAGAAAAGAAAATCCCTCTGCCATATACTATTGGATTATACTAATCCTCTCAAAAGACAGACTGCCTCTTTAATCAGGCTGATGAATCTGAGACAGTATAAAGCATACATTGCTGAAAACACAACACTTGAATTTCACACTTGAATTAAAAGATACATGATCATCTAGAGCAGTGGTTCTCAATCTTCCTAATGCTGGGACCCCTTCAAATACAGTTTCTCATGTTGCAGTTACCCCCAACCACAAAATTATATTCATTGCTATTTATAACTGTAATTTTGCTAGTTATGAATCGTAATGTAAAACATCTGTGTTTTATGATGGTCTTAGGTAACCCCATGACAAAGTGTCATTCAAAACTCCAAAAGGGCCACAACCCACAGGTTGAGAACCATTCATCTAGATGGTTTGCGGAGGGTATTTTGCAGAATAAAAAAGCGTGTATGCACAGCACCCAGTCTAAGGTATTACCTGGTAGATATCGGATAAACTGCTGCTCCCAGAGTCACTGGCAATGCTACAGCCAGATTGACTAGAAGACACATGAGTCACCTGTGGATGAGGGTTGTCTGTGAGGTGCATCTTGGTAAGATCAGCTGGAAGCTGAAGAAAAAAGGAACTTGAGTTATTCTGAATGCCAAGCTTTACTTAAATGGAACTTTACAGCAATTTTATGCACACTGTTCAGAATCCATGAATAGAAATTCTTCTGAACCAAAGTCTTTCATTTTTAGTAAAAAATTTTTGGAAATAGTAAGAACCAAACGCATTTTCTAAAACTGTTGCACAATTTTAGCAGAGGCAAGCCCACTGAACAGTTATACTTAGGAGCTATTTGTTCACCCAAATAAAAGTATCAGCTTCAGGCTGGAGAGACAGCTCAGTGGTTAAGAGGTCTTCCGGTAGACTTGCATTTGATTCCCAGCACGCACATAGCAGTTCACAACTGGCTGTAACTCCAGTACGAGGAGATTCAAAGTCTTCTTAAGGCCTACATGAGCACTACACATATATGGCAAAACACCCAAACAAATAAAAGGTTTAAAAACAAAAACAATGTCAAGAGTAAAACACACACGCCACAAACACAGACAGACACACTGATAGCAAGCCAGAATAGAATTAACAGTAATGTTTGAGATTACAGAAGAACACCTGCAGGCAGTAAGATTTAATGTTTACAAAATGACTGTATACAAGATTTAAAATTTTACATAACCTTTGTATTATGTTGTAGTTGGCTCCTGAAAATTTTTTTGGTTGTCAAAATTATTCAATGAGGGTCTGGAGAGATGTCTCAGCATTTAAGAGCACTGGTTGCTCTTCCAGAGGTCTTTAGTTTAATTCCCAGCAACCACATGATGGCTCCCAACTATCTGTATGAAATCTGGCGACTTCTTCTGGCAGTGCACGCATCATACATGCATGAAGAACACTGGTTATGTAATTAATAAATTAAAAAAAACCCTCATTGAATGCCTGTGCTAAGTGCAGAGACAAAGAAAAGAACAGGAAGGACACGGGTCCACCAAAATGGCTTAGTGACTAAAGGTGCTTGTTTCTTCAAGTATGATAGCCTGAAATGGCTTCCTGGACTCATACAGAATAGAGAGAACCAACTCCACAAGTTGTCCTCTCATCTTCACATGCTTGTCATGAGGTGTCCATGTCCATACAAATCAACAAAATGTAATGAAAAAATAAAAAATAAATAGGAAATGACTCTACCACTTGATTCACACACACACACACACACACACACACACACACACACACACACACACACATTTTGTTTGTTTGTTTGCTTTTCGAGACAGGGTTTCTCTGTGGCTTTTGAAGGCTGTCATGGAACTAGCTCTCGTAGTCTCGAACTCACAGAGAAGCACCTCTCTGCCTCCCCAGTGCTGGGATTAAAGGCGTGTGCCACCAATGCCCGGCTTGATATATGACTACTGTTATCAAGGATGCAGACTGTACTGTGTATTTTATACTATTAAATTAAACAGGTACCTCATAAGCAATGCTATGGAAGTTAAGACAAATAATTCGCTATGCTCCAAAGCAGCCAAGGTTTAAGTAAGAGATTCACCAGCCTTCCATATAATCTCTTCAATTTGCTATTTACCATCATTAAGTAACCCTAAAATTTGAAATAAGTTTCCTTGTTGTACACACTTAATGTATTTTACAGGTATTTTAAGAATTCAGACAGCCGGGCGGTGGTGGCGCACGCCTTTAATCTCAGCACTCGGGAGGCAGAGGCAGGCGGATCTCTGTGAGTTCGAGGCTGGGCTGGACCGACAGCCTCCAAAACAATACAGAGAAACTCTGTCTCATTAAAAAAAAAAAAAAGGATACAGACAACAGAAATTGCACAGACCAATTAAACTATGAACTACTACTGATGAGTTACATAATTCAGAAAAATGACATTACTGAGATAAAGAAAAATCACACAACAACATAGTATCAAAATGTGCAAGGAAAAATAAACAAGAAACAGAAATGACAAATATTGTATGATTTAACTATCTAAATTCTATGTGGAACCAAAATGTTAAAACTCACAGAAGCAAAGAATAAAATGGTGGCTACTAGAGAATGGGAGTAGCAGAACTGTACAAAGTTTCATACAAGGAGAATGAATTTAGTCACATATTACACAGTACAAGTAACAATCATTGTAAAAAAGATATTATAGATTTCCAAAACCTAAGATTAGATTTTAAATGCTCTAACCAAGAATAAAGAAGTATTTTATATGATGGGCAGGCTAACTAGCCCTGATTTGATTATTTCACAGTATACACACTTTTCAACACATCATCACAAACACAGTTTATTTTTCTTTTCTTTAAAGATTTATTTATTATGTACACACTGTTCTGCCTGCATGTCAGAAGAGGGCACCAGGTCTCATAGATGGTTGTGAGCCATCATGTGGTTGCTGGGAATTGAACTCGGGACCTCTGGAAGAGCAGTCAGTGCTCTTAACCTCTGAACCATCTCTCCAGCCCAACACAGTTATTTTTCAATTAAAAGATAACTTAAAAAAATGTAAAGTGAAAATAAGAACAGTGGAAGATGAAGTCATAGTCATGCTGAGCAATATTAGTACAGCTCTCTCTACAACAAAAACATAAGAAATGTCACCTACAGTGTATATTCACAGACCATAACTCAAAACTATAGAATACACATTCTTTAAGCAGACATAAAATGTTTGTAATAGTAAGGCTGAATAAAACTTAGCACTAAAATCATACAGAGAACACAGCTATCATGTGCAAAGGTAGAAATAATCAAATACTGAATAATATTAAAATAATCTCTTAACAATCTCAAAAACCAAATAATATCACATTAGAAACAAGAAAATAAAGGAACTTCCAGAGTCATCACCATCCCTGATTTCAAGCTTCTCTATAGAGCTATGGTAATGAAAACAGCTTGGTATTGGCACAAAAACAGACAGGTAGACCAATGGAATCAAATTGAAAACCCTGATATTAATCCACACATCTACAAACACCTGATTTTTGACCAAAAAGCTAAACTTATACAATGGAAAAAAGAAAGCATCCTCACTAAACGGTACTGGCATAACTAGATGCTGACATGTAGAAGATTGCAGATAAATCCTTATCTATCATCATTTACAAAACTTAAGTCCAAATGGATCAAAGACGTCAACATAAATCCAACCACATTGAACCTCTTAGAAGAGAAAGTGGGAGCTAACTTTGAATGAATTGGTACAGGAGACTACTTCATGAACATAACTCCAGTAGCAGACACTGAGATCGACAACTAATAAGTGGGACCTCCTGAAACTGAGAATCTTCTATAAGGAAAAGGACACAGTTAACAAGACAAAATGGCAGCCCACAGAATGGGAGAAGATCTTTACCAACTCCACATCTGACAGAGGGCTGACTTCCAAAATATTATTTTGGCAGTGCTGGAGATGGGACCTCAGACTTTATGTATGCTAGTTACATCCCTCTACCACTAATTCATACCCCAAGTCCCAGATAGCATTCCTGAGCACTTACAACTCCTGCTTTAAAGTGAACCCCTTAAGAGTTTAAAGGAACAAAGTGTAAAAGATTTTTGGATCTTTTTTTTTGTTTTGTTTTGTTTTTTTGTTTGTTTTTACGAGACAGGGTTTCTCTGTATTGTTTCGGAGGCTATCGGTCCAGCCCGGCCTCGAACTCACAGAGATCCGCCTGCCTCTGCCTCCCGAGTGCTGGGATTAAAGGCGTGTGCCACCATCGCCCGGCAAGATTTCTGGATCTTAAAAACTACTCTAGAAACATTCAAGGTGAAAAGAAAGTCACAGAGATAAGTCCAACACAGAGATAAGGCCTAATTTGAAGGTGGAGGTGTTGTCAAGTTAAAATTATTAAAGTTAAACCACCAAAATTACAAGGGCCCTTTGGTACAGACCAAAGTACACACACAGAAAACTGTCAGATAACAGTGAGACAGAGAGTTAAAAATAGATTCTAAGATCTAAAAAGCAGCCTTCAACAGAAGCCTGACCCATCTTAGTGGTCTTTGGATAGATGGTAGAGACTGTAGCCTCAGCTCTGAGGCACATCAAACTTAATTTGCACTCATTTTTTAAAAAGTGAAATTTAAATGCTGTTAAACCATTTTATTAAAATCAGTGTTTTTCCATTTGAAGACACATCCTTTCTCATTTAAGCATTTTTTAAACCACAGATTTTAATCAATCTTTGCTGGTTAATACTTATTAATGGAAGAGGAAATCAGTATAAAAATGCAACATTATACCTCCCACTATGTCATGGTCCAAATACTGTAGAGAAGTGAAATAAGGCCAAGCATGACTGATAAAGTTAGCTGTTTATTAAAGTTTTCATTTGCTCCCAGCTGTAAAACAGCTAAAAGAAGGAAAACAGAAGCCAAAGCACAATTGCTTCTCCAATACAGAGAGAAGCCATCTCAATCAAGCAACCTTACCCAATCATAAAAAGAGCACCCAGATAAAAATCTCTTGAGTAAAGTCAATCCCTGGAAACCAATGGAGCAAAGACAAGCATCTATATGGAGAAAAAAAATCACTTCCATAAAATCAAAACCACTACTAAAACAGCTAATTATGAAAAAGCATGTTATGAGGCATCAGAAACAACACAAATGGTTACAAACTAAAAATTTACGACACGCCTTACAATGAGTTAGTAACTTAGAAAAATCAAGCTGAAATAAATGTTTACAGAAATTATTGGCAGAAAAGGGTGAGAGAAAATGAAGGAGTTGCAATTTTGATAAGAACAACTTCCACTAGGTATAGTGTACATGCCTTTAACCTAAGTACTTGGGAGGCAGAGGCAGGCAGATTTCTTTGGTCTATAAAGCTAGCTAGCTCAAGACCTGGCAGGGCTATGTAGTGAGATCATATGTCAAAAAATAAAACTGGGTTTTCATTGTTGCCGTTGTTAGTTTTCTTACAAATAAAGACAAACAAGACTCTCTGGCTCGAAAGAGTCCTCAGAGAGCTAAGAAATAAAAGCAAAACATTTTGATGCTTGATAAAATTTCATGGATAAAAACCTAAACAAATACACAACTACAAACATTACACTAAAGTTCAAACTTCTCATAGCAACAGTAGATACCAAAAGTCATGTATTAGCTTCTCCAAAAGCTAAAGAGAAAGGACACTGAGATTACTTTTACATACAACTAAATAATAAAAAGAATCGTTAAGTAAAAGTAAAAAGAGTAAAACAAATTAGAAAATCCAATATGGTGAGTATGGAAATATAAAAATCAGTATCTAGCCAAATGTGTTTAAGCATAGAGCTAATTTTTTTTAATTAAAAAATTTATTTTATGTGCATTGGTGTTTTTCTATGGGTGTCAGGGTCGACAGGTGGAGCTACAGTTGTGAGCTGTCATGTGGGTGCTGGGAATTGAACCAGGGTCCTCTAGAAGAACAATCAGTGTTCTTAACCACTGAGTCATCTCTCCAACCCAAGAGTTAAACCTTATTAATAACATAAGAGAAGAGGGAGACAGGAAGGAGACATGTATACTTATAAATAATTTATATAGGAAAGAACCCATTACAGATACTTAATGAAAATGTATATTTGGATCTTTAAAATCCCCTTTACTCTTTCTATACTTGTTAAACCGTTGTTTAAGAGTGGCAACTAGTACTCCTGTCCAAGGTTTGTGTGTGTGGGGAGAGGATGGGGGGAGGGTCTTCCAAAAAAATTCCTCTATCCCACATTCTTAATTTTATTCATTTTTTTCTGGTTTCACCCAAGTCCCTTCCACACAAAGCTTTAAATTTTAGTAGTGCCAATGTTATTGTCAGCAGTGCTTGGGCCCCACAGGTGGCGTCTTCACTGAAATGGCCACCCTCTTTGTATGTGCAGATAAAAGCATAAATTGTGTACCTAGGCTCCTTTCCATCTCTTTACGCCACAGCTAGCTGTTTGCCAAATGGATAGTACATTTAAATGTCCTCCCAAAGAACATTCAGAAAAAATGCAATGAGCTAGGCCAAATAAACTGTATCTAACACACTGCTGTCAAAAGTATTTCCCCATTAGTCACCATCAATAGGAAACCTTTGAAACAAAGACATGATTTCAGACCTTCCTAAGAAAAGCCTCCAGTGTGTCAGAGTCTAAGAGAACCATAAAGAAATCTCGACATATTTAAACTCAACATTTAAGCATTTTCTAAAATATTTAGTCTTTTGTTTTGAAATTAATATACAAGGTAAGTAAAAGAGCTCCAAACACTATAAGTAGCCACTGTCAATAATAAAACTGAATTTTAATAGACAAATTTTAACAACACAGCATTTTGTTATTTTGACAGCTAATATGTTTGCCTTAAAATGACAAGTGGTTTTAGTTATTACTACTTTGAAAACGCTTTGGAACACTGAGTGTTTTTACATCATTAATTTTCATTCACAATTTTCGTTATATAATTCTTTAGGAATGAACACCCAGTTTAATAAAATAGAACAATTCATTTCTAAGTTACCAGGTAGCAGCACATTACTGAGCTATGTTATATAAGCCTACGACTAGCACAGTATGTCTAAACATACCAGCTATTTAGGTTAAAAAAAAAGACAAAAGAATGGATCAAGTTAAATATAGTCACAAGTAATTTCAGAAACATCACAGCCAAGTGCTGATTTCTGTCTGAGGTATGTATCTCAGAGGTACATTTAAGTCTGTAAACTATGAAAATGAGTCTTCAATCCATCTCAGAGGCTGTATTAGACTTTCCCTGAATTAAATAACAATGAGTCAAGGCTTTATAGACTGCTTTATAGTTCTTTAGTTTTAAAAAATTGCACAATAGATTTCATTTAGAATTCAAATACAATTTAATGATTAAACTATACCAATAAAAATAATTACTTACTTTGGAGGCCCATGGTTGAAGACAATTGGCATAACAGCGAACAAGAAAAGCCATTTCCCTGGCTGGAGGAGGTAGTTTCTCTTTTAAACGAGAGCCACACTGATGAGTATGCTGTCAAAATTCTGCTAAGTTTCCTTTTACAATCCATACACCACTGTTGTCACATAAAGGCAGCTCCTCCAACCCTCTTTACAAACAAAAATCAGAAGCTTTCAGAAGCAGAGTATTGTTCTAAGTATAAGAATTCTCCTTAAATGCTACTTTACAAGCAAGTAACATCAAATAAAGATGCTTAGATTTCTGGCTTGGTACACATAGTCACATTGCATCCTCAGGCACCTGACACAGACACACACACGCAGCACAGAAGCTAATACTGTATCTATCAATCAAAGCATATAGGCAATATGCTTGGAATCTGTGTTCCTGGAATCCGTGAAACCTGTCTTCTCTGTAGTGTGGCTGTTTTTTCTTCAACTTATTTCGTTCTGAAGAATAAGTATTACAGTCTTTTGCATCAAAGGCAAAGCAAATGCTGCATCGTTAAGATTATAGTTTCTTCTTTAGATATCTTTAAATGCTAGAAAACAACACCCCCCCAAACCAACACACACACACACACACACACACACACACACACACACACACACACACACACACACACACACAACCCAACCCAACCACAGAGCAAATGGTGGCAAAGACAATGCTCTAACAGGTTTGTCCTGTAGATGTGAGAATATCCAGAATTCAAGCAACCTTCTCATCTCCCAAGCACTTTCACAGCTCTGCAGTATGGCTTCTGATTCCAAGGCATCAGTAAGGAAGCACTGGTGATCTAAGTCTGCTCTTTCTGGATAACATGCATATACGATGCAGCACAAAAAACAAAACAAAAAAAAACAAAACAAAACACTACATCTTTTGTGAAAGCAAGAGTCTGTTAGTGTCTTAATTCCTTCTGTCCTTGCCTGATTCACAGCAGCTCCCTAAGGAGAAGCTCCTATTGATTCTATGCCCTGCAGTAAGATGAAATATCTAATAAGAAGGAAGAGAGTGGGAGGAGAATAGAGCTAAAAGGATGACATCACCTGTGCAGAAAGCCCTCACAAACTGCATTAGATCAATTGGCTACTGTATCTGCAGATGTAGCCCAAGAGCAATTTACTGAACACACACACACACAGACTCTCTCTCTCTCTCTCTCTCTCTCTCTCTCTCTCTCCCTCCCTCCCTCCCTCCCTCCCTCCCCCCCCTCTCTCTCTCTCTCTCTCTCTCCTGTGAGACACGCTGGCATGCTAAATTCTGTAAGAAAAAAACTGGCTAACATACCATTCTGTTTCATAGTTTTAAAAATTCATTAAAAATTCTGTACATTAATATCCAGTTGTATTTGAGAAGCCTCTTTCCTAATATTATTTAAATTTAACAAAGAATTGTTCTCCCAAGGGAAAATAATTTGTTATAGTAAGATACTACTGAATTCCAAATGCACAGGCAGTCTGGTTCAGAGATGTCACATCAAAGTAATTTAAATACCAAAATCCATGGGTTTGTGCATAAAACTTGCTATTTACTGAATGAATCTTCTGAAGGTTTAACCTTCAAGCCCATACTAAATTAGCATTAAAAATAAAAACAAGCACTAAGATTTATAAGTAAACAGATTTAAATGAAAACAATCCTTGCAAAGGGGAATAAACCAGACAGGAACAATGTATACCATTCCTTTGAGGAAGAACAATTTATACAATATGGTACTTCACTGCAGCTCAATGTGCAATTCCTAGAAAGAGGCAGCCAGCAAAACACAAGATGAATCAAAAAAGGTAATAAACCTGTTTCTGATTAGAGTGTGGACTAAAAGGAAGATATCATATTTTTTCTTTAAAACTTAAAGAAAAAATTTTGCCACACCCTCCTCAGTAAGAAAAGAACATTGCCCCGAGCAGCCTCCCTTTCCTTTATGCTTCTGCTACACAGCTCCTATTGTATGTACACCCACCTAGTACTTTATCTCCTAATGGTGCTTCCCAATGGCTAGAGTCCATTTCCAAAGTATAGTCACGTATACCTCCAGGCAGCAAAACTGTGAGTCTAGCAGTCAGCGAGAAGAGTAATACAACTATCTTCTCCATATACATCTTGGACACACACACACACACACACACACACACACACACACACACACACACACACACACACGATTTCTCAATTCCCTCTGGAGAAGTCTCAACACAATGCTCCCAATCTGAAATATGCTGCCCTTTATACAACTAGAATTTAATGTAGTAATCTATTAATTTGAGCACATTGTCATGTTTGCAAAATGATTGTTTAAAAGCCTATGAATTATGTTTTTAAAAAACCCAATCCTTTCCCACAAAATTTACAATGTAAAATTTGTTCTGATGAATGCAAATAAGCACTAGTTTCCTAATAAACCATTTAATATTTGGATAGATTTGATTTTCAAGAACTAAAGTATTTTTCCAATTTAATAAATATAAACTGTAAGTTGGAATTTCAAAAATACAACTTAAGTACAAACGAAAAGCATTCACTTCTTAAATAGAAAAATGTGGGGCTTTTTTTTTTTTGCTAAAGATAAATTTCCTAACGAAAAATTATTAAACTCAAAGATTAGTTTAATAGAACTCAAGAAATATTTTAATTATAAAGCCAGACTATGCATTTATGTATGTGTTGGTAGTATAAATGACAGCCAATCAAAAAACAAAATCTGCAGTGGCTCCTTATTCCTTTTATAAATCGTGCTGATACCTTTGACACAAAGGAGGACCTCAAGCTGGGCAAGGAGACAGTCATCTTTTAGCTGCTGCTCGGGGAGTGAAATGTAATCCACTAACGCCATATGTCAGACCTACTACACATCGACCCTAATAAAGGATCAAAATATTCTTTCTCTCCTCCTCCCTCCCCAGTTTGGCTGGCTTACAAGTGAAGATGACATCATCTTGTTCTATCAATTATTTCACACTATTTGCTATTCCAGAAATCAGTATAGTGAACTTATCATGCAAAAACATCATGAAATAACAACACCAGGAGATGAAATGAACAGGGTTAGCTCGGCATTCAAACTCTACAAGCAGTGTCACAATTCTATTCTCCACTATTCACATACAATGATTAACCTTTTAATTAGAAATACAAGGTCAGTAATTTGTTAAATAACCAAAATAAATGACTATGTGAATCAATCATTTTTCATGAGCATAAAGTTTAGAATTTATCACGATAGCATCTTATTATCAAGTGAGGTCAGTGCAGCAAGGGATGGAATCCTGATTCATATAGTTTAGATCATCACTACAGGCTATGCACTGCAGAACACATTTCTCCTGCATAGGAAACACCAGTATGCTAAGTCACACAGACACAATCTTTAGCATAAAAATGAGTATTTGACTACGGTGAGATCAAAGTTTCCAATAATTACATTTTTTATAAATATGTGAATGATCTAGTTACTAAAATTGGTTATCTGAATATATAATTTATAAACAAAATATAAACTGGAATATTGGAAATTATGCTGCATAGAACACCAAAGATAAGGTTCTAATAGTTAACACTATAAACATGCTACTTCTTTATTTCAATTTTTGATGACACTAAAACAGAGCAGAGAAAAGCTTACCATAAACAAAGGAGAGCTAACACACTTACGAGGCAGTATGAAAAACAAAACTAGATTTGCACTAATTTCAGGCATGCAATCCAATCCCCCCCAATCTGTACAGTGAAACAGTGCAAGCACTAGAGATGCCAAATGCCAAAAGAGAGAAACGAAAGTAAAGCTGTTATTTTTACAAAATAAGATGGTCAGCCATTTCTGCATTTTATGTAAGCATTTGGCGTTTGAAACATAAAACATACTGATTTTCATAGTAAATCCTACTGAAAAATAAATCAATGACGCTATTGCAAGGTCAGTGACTGCACACTAGCTTCTGTAAAGTAACCACATGCTGACCCACTTTCTTTCCTTCTCATGCTTCAGAGAAATGAATCTGTAGTTAACAAACATGGTTAACTCTAAATATGTTGCCCCTTAGTGATTTCTGCCTTCAAGCCGTATGTCCTATCTACTCATCATTCCCAAGGAAGTCAGAGTATCAAAGCTTTCTTTCTACTCTTTTATAAGAAACAGTATTCTTCAGCACAATGATGTGTTCACCGATTGCCTGCAATCAAAAATCCTTGTCAAAACCATGAGAAGTCCATATGTACTATGAAATATGATATATCCTTAGGGAGTGATTGAGGAAGAAAGAGCAAGGAGGGAGAGGAAAGCTGTCATCATCAACGAAGGTGATGTAAGCTTCTATAATTAGAATCAGTGAAACTGAAGGAACAATAAAAGACACCACCATGCTTCCACTTTGCCTACCAAAGGTAGCTGTATCAGGCATTTTTTATATACATATGAAGGAATATATTTTGCACATAGAAGTTGGTCAAGTATATATTACTATAAGCATAGTTTTAAGACAGCATTTCTTTTAAAAAACAACTAACAATTTAAAAATTCATAAACATGATGAGAAAAATTCATAAACATGAGAAAATAAAGTCTCATTTTAAAGTTAAACTGCTAAGAATATTTTTATCTGAACCTGACCACACTACTACCTCTAATTTAAGTACATCATTTTCTAGAACTGTGAAAATTGAATACAGAACACAGTTCTTAGTGAACAGAGAGCAGATCAATCTAAAATGCAGTAATAATCAATGTTAATTTGTCTGCCATTTTAGGAGCTGTTATACTTGTCTACCTGAAATTGTGTCACAAATTATCCTTAGACTGCTAACATACAATAATACCTGAGTTAGCTTAAACAATTATCCAAAGAGCTTTCTTTAGTGACTGCTGTGCAAATAGTCACAAGTCTGATACTCTTTCTCAGTCTGGGTCCCTGGGCACATCCACACAAAATATCATCCTGAGGGAAGCAAGAACTGTCCTAGAAGGCACAGCATGCCTGACTGTCTTCCTCCCTATAGTACTAATGTTCATGTACAGTGACTAATCAAAACAATTAAAATATTCTTTTAACCCAGCAATTTATTTCTATGTATTAATCCTAAGGAAATAACCAGTCATTTACAAATTTATAGATAAAACGTTGTTTTGTTAACTGAAGAAAAACTACAAGAGGCAAACATGTAGCATAGTATGAATGCTAAAATGATACTTTGGAAAGTTTTTAAATGACAAAAAAAATAAAGGCATCATATATAGGCAGTTAGCATAATCCAATATAAAGGTCAATAAACATTTCTTTGAAAGTCACTGCCAGTACTATTTCCAGCTCTGAGGACCATGCCTTAATTTATTATTCTTCTATATGTTACATTTCTATAAGAAGCATATATTTTACCAAAACTATTAACAGCTCTTAAAACTGGTATTTATCTCACCAGTGTTAATTTTACAATCTTTTTATCTGTGGACTCACAGCCCTGCAGTTAGGTATAAGCAGCTTCTAGCAAGAACTATGTTACTTTATAGAAGGACAGTGAACCAAATACTACTAGGAGATATAAATAGCAGTGAATAAACACACACCCATGGGTACGGGGAGAGAGGAGAGACAGAGAGAGAGAGAGAGAAAGAGAGAGAGAGAGAGAGAGAGAGAGAGAGAGAGAGAGAGAGAGAGAGAGAGAGAGAGAGAGAGAGAGAGAGAGAGAGAGAGAGAGAGAGAGAGAGAGAGATCCTTGAAATTTTTTAAGGTAGAAAGCACCAGAAACATGACAACCCTTGTACATAGCATTCTGAGTTGTAAGTAGGGTGAGAAGAGCTGCAGATTCTCAGAGGCTGGACTTCACGTTTCTCAGTAGCAGGATGATCATTACTCACTGTTTTATATACAAGCAAGACCAGCAAAGGATCCTGGTACAAACCTCTTAATTTTTCGAAGCAAGAGAAGACTGATAACTATTTATCAAGTATCAAATATAATTAAGAAGAGTTAAGATGGATGATGTCCACAAATACAAAGATAAGACTGACAATTTCTTTACCAAAA